AACACTGGGGGTGCAGGTTATGAGCTCTCTAAGCATCTCGAATCACTACTGAATGTAAACATGCATAACACTTACCTGTGCGTCCACAGCACCAATGCATACACATATAAATACGACTAACCAATCATAATCAACGGCAATATAAAATGCATGGCATATAAACTAATTAATATTTCAATCAATTAGTATAAAATGCATATAAACTAATTAATTAATATAAAATGCATGGCAATATAAAATGCATGGCATATAAAATGCATGGCAAACTTTAAATATTTTTCATAAATAAAAATATAAAAGATACGAACGGGTCTGTCTTTTGCTCTATTTTTTTATGAGAATTATTATTAGTACTTCAAAAATCTCATTCTACATTCCTCACTAGTGTTTTTTTTTTTTCCTAATTATATAAAATTTGAAGTACCAAATAAGATTTTTTAAGTGCTAATAATAATTCTCTTTTTTATTTACAAAATTACATTCGATGTCCCTATATTCCGGCCTTGTATTAATTTGGACAAATTTAGTAAATGAAATCCTTTAAAGTTGCGTATTATTATTATTGTCTAAGAAATTAGAAACACAAAGCACTACCAAATACTGATCACATTCAAATGTCTCAAATTTGCATTTTACTCACCTACTTCCATCATCAAATGTCTTGATGTAATTAAAAATAAAAATATTCATTTTATATTACATTTTGTCAATTTTGATGTGCAATCTTTTTATTTTTTCAACACACTTCCTAATCTAAGCAATAAGCACCAAATTTGTTGTCCATATAACGGCTTACCGTGTCAAAAGCCCCCCTCACGTAACGTGAAAATTATTATATTCACACTTTGCATTCTGGCTCCATTCACCTCTAATTTTATATTGTGAGTTTTATAAGTTTGCTTGAACATAAGATTCTCTCCTCACTATCTATTGAATATCTCTTGAGTATATATTGCAAAGTATAATTAGCACTTTATATAATTTATTGATTGAATTCGAATTTAGATTCATATTACAGTGGTTTCGTAGAAGAAAAAAAACGAAAGATTTATATATGCGATGGGATTTATGGTGGCAACTAAAGAGAAGGTTCTGAGTTAGTGGGTATGACTTAGAATCGCGGTGGATGGCCAGCTCCCTCTCTGCAGATTTTCCTCCAATTGTGAATTTGTTGATTTATATCGCACTTATTTATTTGATTGATTACTATTATTATTGATTTAGAAAGAAAGAAAGACCCATTCATGGATGCTTAGTCTTAATGGTTATGAATTGCGTGTGGCAGTCTAAGATTAGGTGTCTTTCCATTTTTATTACTATTATTATTATCGCAATTGGGAAGCCTCACCATCTCAGATTTTGCAGTGTCCATAAATTTATGGTAAGGTTTTGACTCTCTCGTTTCTTCTATGGGTGGAAACTTGGACAAAGAATATTCCATATTCTATCAAAGATACAAAATAAAATAAAATAACATTGTCACCGATCTTTTAAAATAAAATAAAAGTTTGAATTTTTGAAGTAACATAGTTGTAGAATGGTTAAACAAAAAACTGGCAGTTTTTTTTTATTTTTACTTTATACATAAAGAAAGATTAAATATGTAGATAAACGTGCATATAAAAGGTTAAAAGTCTTAAAAGTAAAAAGCAAATGGGTAAGGGTAAATGAAGGTCAAGGGGAAGCAATTAAATACTTCAAAAAGCAGGCACTCTCCTGTCCTTTCCAGTCCATGTGATTATAAATATAATGAGATTAAGCACTTTATGTCTGTTGCCCAAACACAAAAGCGAATAACACGAACGAGGATCATTTTTTTTATCCTTTTTGTAAGGATCTTAAGAAATTTCTAATTATGTTTGTTGATATCGTACATTGTACGATTAAAAATTATTGTAATTTTTTTATTTAAAATTGAATATAAACATTATCTGAAGAAAATTAAACACAAAATGTATGATGAAAAGACGTGATTAGAGGATTTCCGGATTCTTACAAAGAGAATTTGGAGAGGATCCTCGTTCGAATAATACAAAGAAACGTTCAGATGATCTAGTCCGGTGACACCTGCATGCCAAACACTAACAGGTCAATTACGATAATCCATTGCCTTGTTCTAAGTTTCTCTATATCATATTCTTATCTCATGAAGCAAAAAAAAAAAAAAAAAAGGAGAAATAAAAAAGAAAAGGGTATTGAGGAGATGTTAGTGATTACTGAATAATGAGCTGCCGGTGTTCAAGTCACGTGTGAAATCAAAATCAAACTTGGTTTGAATAAGAAGAAGAAAGAAAGCCTGTAAATTTCACATTAACTAATAATTATACACACACACACAACTGTATTACCAGTTTACCAAGACAAGAGGAAAAGACAACTCCACCCCACTCGGTTACCAAATGGCAATGAAATACTATGAGAAAAGGAAAATGACTAAAGATGCAAGGGCAATCTCTATTCTTATAAAAAAGTGATTAAGTATCGTGGCAACGCTTCCTTTTGTATTTCATTTCATATAAGGGAGTTTTAATGAAAAACTCACACTAGTGTTCACTTTAATGAAAAACTACATTTTTATATTAAAAAGTCAAACCTGATACTATTCATTTTATCATTTATTTTATCTTTCAAGCCATTTTCATTAGTTTTCCTTTTATATAAATACTCACTGACCAAAGATAAATTTATCCTATCCCTATCTAGTAAATTAATAAATTTGGTTTTTGCTTGTGAGTCATGAATATATATGCATGTATTAGGTACATTGGTGCGATTTGTCATGGCATATCTGTCATGATATCGGTGCCACGACGTATCTTCTTTTATATTCTTCTTCCGTTTATAATTTATACGTATAATTCTATTAAATAAATAGAAAACAATTATACCTAGAATGCCTACAAACTAATGAATAAAATAAGGAAAAACTTGATATAAGTCCAATTTTTTTAACCAATAGTAGGAATAGTCCAATTTATTAAAATAGGTCCAATTCCTTAAATTTAATTATTTAATTATTAATAATTATCTATTCAATGATAAGATTTATTATAAAAATCAAATTTCTTCATAATTATCTTTTTGATTATTTCTTTTTATTTTTATTTTTTATTATTTCTTGTTCTTCCTCCTGCTTTAAACCCAACTTATAGATTTTATTTTTAATTTTTATAATCAACCTATATCACAGGTTAATTATTTTTATATATCTATATGACAAATTCTTTTTTATAATCAACGCGTCACAAATTAATGTGTTTTGCTTATAAATATATTTTGTTTTTTCCTACCTTTTAGTTATGTTTCATATCTCGCTTATAGGTATAATATATATTCATATATTTGTTACTTGAGCAAAGGTAGAATGTTTTGTAGATAATTTATGTTAGAATATTAGTTTTTGTTGTTGTAAGATATTAATTAGATTTTTTGGAATTGAAAAATGCATAATATTAGAAGATTTTTAATTGATTTTTAATATTTAAAAAAATATATAAAATGAGTATAAAAGAAATAAAAACATGTAATTAGATAACTGAACTCACTCCTAAAACCATCTATGTTTTTGGACCTAGATCTAAAAGCCTCATAAAATAATGTTTGAAAAAAAAAAATATATATATATATATATAAAGATTTCAAATGGGATTATGAGGTGGGTTTGAGAAGATTTTGCAAGTCTATATTAATCTAATAAGATAGAATTATTAATATGAGGAGCAAAATCCGATAAATGTTGGGCACGTCTAGTCCAAGGTTTGTCTTTCTTGTTGGCCCGCCCCTCCTGCCTCGGTCCTCGGCGTATAGTGACCGCGTGGGCCCCCCGATTCAAGCAAGCACATGCATTCCCCACCGCTTTGCCACGCTTTGCCCTTTCTTTGTTTTGAACTTTTGAGAGAGAGAGAGAGAGAGGGAGAAAAAAAACATGCTTTATTTGGTCTCTTTACCCAACCCAATCCAACCCAACCATTTACCAAACCAAGCTCGTACAGTCGTATGAATAACAAACGGTTTCACGAAAGAGAGATTCATTTTATATTGAGAGATGATGCCTTTTCCAAACACGCATTTGAAATTTGAACTTGAGAATTGAGATACACGCAGAGCATGTCGCTATCAACACTGCTACATTGGGCCGAGCTCTCTACATTCCCACACACTCATTCAACTGATGGTGCTCCGCTCCCAATGATCTAAGATATGCCAAGACCACACCAATGACCAATTTTATTTAGGATGGACAATGATTATGGCGGGCGGGTAACCACGGTTATTTACCCATAACCGTTTATACTCATACTTGCATAACCGTTTACTCGTTGGATAATTGCCTAAACGATTATACCCATACCCTTAACCGTTTATAAACGATTAACCATACCCTTAACCGTGTACCCATTTAACAGTAACTGTATATCCGTTTATCCATTTTTTAACCCATTTACCCCTTTTTGCGCCTATTTACATATTTTTTTTAACTGTAACCGTTACAACTCCAATAATTGAAATAATAAGGACGAACGATAGTTTTAATCAATCAAGGTAATATAATATATTTGCTAATAATTGATTTTTTACTAACAAAATACCTCTCATTACTTGAGCAAGCATATTGGAAAGAAAATTCATGTATTTTCGACATATTTTTCTTCCATACCCAAGTAAGTATTCAATTATAACATCCATATGATTACAAAGTAAAGCTTCTAAAAACTCAAGGCAGTCATTATCACAAAAAACATGGGAATTTACAATGAAATTACTAATCTCCATCAAAACTTTGAGAAAAAATTACATGAACCCTTGATATATCATTCGGAGTCAAAATGACTCAGAACTATAATCTACATCCAATCATGTCATAAAGTATCCAAATTTGGCAAGACAAGGACTCAGAAATATAGTCTACATCCAAAATTTTCAGCAATCCTCAGTGCAACGTTAAGAGAAACAGAAATTTAAAATCTTCAGCTTTCCTGAAAGATCCCAAGGAATGTTACTAAGTCTGAATGCATGCCAACTTGATATATTGTGGACCAATTTCCTAGTCCAGAAATACCGAGAGGTGAATACTAGCAAATGGTTCAAAGCATGAGAATTTATATATCTATTAAAATAAACGGGTAAATGGGTAACGGTTATAACCGCGGTTAATACCCATAACTGTCATTTAAATTTTACGGGTAAACGGTTATACCCATAACCATTTAATTATCTAAACGGTTACCCATAACCGTAACCGCGAAATTTAGATGGGTGGATAACTGCGGTTACCCAAAACTGATGGGTATTTGCCCATCCCTAATCTTACCCTACACCCCCATGCTACAAATCGTTGCCGCCTCTGAGATCCGGATTGAAGAATGAAAATAACGGCTGTTCTTCCCGGTTGTTCCTTGTGATGAAAATATGGTTTTGTTTTTGTTTTTTCATATATCTTTAATTACAGTTACAAGTGACCTGCGGTTGTAGAGTTGGCACGCTTGCAATCACAAGTGCAGATACTTCTCGACTCTTTCACCACTCGTTGAGATCTCCGGGTGTGAAGCTTTATATTAACCAACTTACCAGCCATCTGTTGCACAACAAACAAACCTTAAATCAATACTTCTAAACCGGAGTTGGGCTTCTTATGTTTGTTTATGCAGCTGCATGTAATAAACAATACAGTTTTGTCGACCAAGATAATCATACCATTCTCCAAACCAAGTCTTCCGGACCCAAGGGCTGGGCTGGACTTGAGTAGAGGAAATGTCTTGAGTACTGGGAAAGACAAAAATAGTATAAATCAGTCCCCGTGAAGATCTATCTCTACTCCAACCTTTTGACAAGATATACGAGTACAGATAGCAGCAACAACAACAAAATAATAACATTTCACTTCAAATTTCCAGTCACAGACCTTGGCAAGATTCTGACGCATTTCCTCTATTTGAGCATGGCTAATGTTTCTTAGAAATGTTACAAGCCAACCTGGTCGTACAGCATCACTAGAAGAAATAAATAAAGCTATCTGCAGGCAAAGATGAAAAAGCAACTGTTGAGTACAATGGGTATACGACCAACGATATAAGTAAACGCCATGAAAGATGGATTTCGACAGACATTACTGTGAGCAATAATCTGAACGTTTAGGTATACATACCTTCCTATAATCTAGTATTCCTTCAAAAGGAAGTTCCAGTTCATCACTAACTATAACTGGTATGCAACCACTAACAATGGCATCAAACAATCTAGCAGAGGATGGAGTATCACCAGCTGGACTTAAGCAAAAGACAGACCTGACAGAGAAACCAACTCAACTAAATTAACGATGATACAATGAAATTACATCACAAAGCAGGGCAAGGATCCAAAAAATTTTACTTGCGCATTCCATTCTGAGCTGCTGCCTTTCCTGCTTCTCCTGCTGTCCCTTCCTCTATAGCTACACCCTCAGAACCACTTAGTTCTGCTACAAGTTGTGAGCGTATCTTCCCTCCCTGAAATCAGAACACAATAAATTAGTTATACCTGTTGAAATACAATTTGTGCGCCTGCAAATAAGAGCCAGGTGTTCTTAAGCTGAGAATGGGCCAAAATTTTATCCCACAATGATTCTTTAGCTACACATGTTCTTTTATCATTTAAAATCATTTTGAATGCACTCAAGCCTAACTCCTCTAGTGTACGCGTCTCTTGCTTTAATTAATCCCGAAAGAAAATGTTACATCACTTCCAGCAGGTTCAGTTCAAATCAACACATTTTGTAGCCAAAAATAAGTCAAAAGGCTTACAGCATTTCTTTTAAGCCGGCCGCGAAAAAAGAGCAATGTTGTTCTCTTGGATCGAGTCTTGGATATGCATCTTGCATCACAAAAATCAACATTTGCAACGTAAGGAAGAATTAGATCTTTCTCCAGATAGACTTGTCCAGGTTTGTACCTATAAGTAGAGCAAAATAGAGTTAAACCAGTTTGAGTGGAGTAATGATCTTTAGTGAATTTAGAGCTCAGGAAGGAAATAAAGTGGAATAATGACCAGTTGCCAGTGGAGTCCATATCAGGAAGCAACCAAATTGCATTCTTCATGAGGCGGCGAACAGACTTAAAAGACCAGGGATGGTGAACAGGAAGAATGTGATCCCGTCCTTGGGATCGATTCCAGGCAGGCTGATCAGTGACCCACTTGACAACTTCCTTCGTACACAAATAACAACAATAGTACTAGATAAGTTTAGCAGTACGAAAGGGTCAAAATACAGTCGAACCCGCAGAAGGGCACAAAGGTTTAAGTTGACTGCGCATTACATGATGCTAACAATGTAAGATATGTTATGAACTTATGACACACACACACACATATATATGTATGGATGATGTGCAGCAATTAGCAAACAATTAAGGGAAACCTTGGGAGGAGTGGCAGTCAGACCCTGTAAAGTGCTTTGCATTGCTGCTTCTCCAGTAAGAAGAAGCTGATGGTGGTGAAGAATGGGATGTAGAAGAGGTCTGCCTCCTCCTGCCTATGCACTCTCACTACGCTTTTCAACAGCCTCTCTGACTCCGGAGCTATCAAATCCGCCCAAAGCCAGTAATCGATTGAATGCTGCACAAAATTAGCCCCGTCAATTCAGTTCATCCGCATCCAAATGCTCCATTAAGAAAATTAGAAAGGAATTAGTAACAATAACAAGTAAAAAAAAAGTAAAACCTGCTCAATGAGGCGGTGGACGGGGCTGCCATTAGAGGTGAGATTGAAGGTCTCCTTGTAAGAGTTTCGGAAGAGCCAGAGGAGATCGTAAGTGAACTTGCTGGGCATGTCGTACACGTAAACCCTCATGGGCAAGCTAAGCGGGTAGTATGGATCGGCGTACAACCTGTGGCTGTCGCTCTGGAAGACCAGATCGTCCAGGTGCTTGAGTTGGGATTGGGTGGGCGTGGTGAGGACGGTGTCATCGCGGGGCTTGAAAGGGCGGGATTTGTGGGCGAGGAGGAAGCGCTCGAGGGAGGCGACGGAGGAGGTTTCGGGTTTGTAAGTGGGTTGGTTAGGGTGGAGGATGGCAGAGGGGTCGGCGGGGGAGGGGCTGTGGAAGGAGAAGAGTAGGAAGATGAGGGAGAGGGCGAGGAGAGCCAGAAGCAGGGGAAGCACTGGGGATTTGGATCTAGCCATTTGCTTCGCAGGCATTCTCTGTGAGCCTGTGAGAGCCTTCTCTTCAACTATTGAACTCCTCATTGTTTTATTCATCTCCGATGACGGCGATGCAAATACAAATTAAAATGCCCACTTGTTTATCGACACACTGGAGCCTGCTTGGACCTTTACATATTCTCCATTTTAATAAATATTAAAATTACGTGACGAAGGAGATAAAAATAACATGTCATACTATAGCTTTGAACAGAAGTACTCACTAGGAGGTCGACAGGTAATGGGTTAATGAATGGTTAAGGCCGGCAGCTAAAACTTGTTTTACAAATAAGGAAAATTGGATGGATTACGAGCAAGGCCTTGATCTGGTAGCCATCAAGCAAAGAGGTTGTGTGACATACTTAAAAACTAAGCACTAGCCCGTGCGGATTTCACAAGACATAAATCAAAGCGATAAACACGCGATTATATACAACTCAACGATATCTGAGCTATGAAGGCCACTGCATAGATACCGTGCATCCAAATTCGATTACTTACACAAAATGTGCAGAAACAATGGTCAATGTACTGAGAAGAACAGGAAGAAAGGAAAAATAAAAATAAAAAAGAGACGACATATATGTTCAAGGTGAAATCTTTCAAACATCAAACTTCAACATCTCCAACAATCAACACCTAACTTTGCTGGTGCTAACCAGCAAAGTTTTCCAGTAAGCATATTGAATTATAAATTTAAACCATATCAAAAGCTGATCAGGTCATCCTTTGCTGGCGTCTGCTGCTTCTTTGGATCTTGGCTTCCTTCAGATGAACTTCCACCTTTCTTGCCAAATATCATCTCATCAAGATCATCCATCATGTCATCGTTGCTCCCTGCATGAACCAAACCTCGAGAAGCAGCTGGTTTTCTAATCAAGTAATCCTCTCTCACACGACTTGGCGATTCATCTGGCTCCACCGCAACAGGTATCATTGCAGGTTCTGGTGCAGTTGGAACAACTGAAGGCCTTACCAGTTCTTCATACTTGGACAGAGCCTTATGGATCTCATCATTCACATTCAATGCTTCAAACAGCAAGGCCTCGTTCTCTCCAGCTGTCTCTATAATTCTCTGGACAGTGGATAGAGATTGGCGGCACTGCTGTACAAGTGTGGCCGTCAAGTCATCCTGCCAAGGAGGCAACAACATTTTAATCCATATCTCTTTTGATCTAATTCTTAGTTCCTAAATATAACTAGTTATTCTTGAACAAACATACGTAATTGAATAAGATAACATATGCCCTCTTGCAGCATTATAATTGCATCAGGTTTTCATATTCCTTGTTGGGCTGACGTTGTACTATGAGTTAAATTAGCTTTGAACTGGCTGTCCCCATGGAAGATGTCGTCTTAAGGTCAACCCAGTATCACTTGGCTCTAGAATGGATGGGATATGGTCTTATGGAACAGGCCAAGTGGTATATTCACCTATTTTCAAAGGCCCATTTTAAGTTTGCGTATAGGTAGTGTCCCTAAAACCGACTTGCCTAAAAAAGAAAAAACAAGTAAAAATCATATTGATCAGTCGATAACACAAGAAAAAGTTGCGACATTGAAAGTTCCATGCATCTCACAGAATGTAGGTGACAGAAATCCCATATATTAACAGATTAGATGCAGGAGTCAAAGAGGATATGCAAGTGAGAAAACAAAATAAAAATCACCTGTAAAGCATCTTGTTGGGGTGAAGAGGAGAAAACAGTATTAAGAAGCTCAATACTGTTTCTTGCAACATCAAATGCTTCCTTTGTTTGTTCAGCCGTAAAGCCTTGAGCAGGAATCTCAACCGGAATCTGCTGGGAAAAACTAGCATCTGATTCTGAAGCAGAAACTGAACGAGGGGGAGTGAATATTGGTGCCAAGCTCTCATTGTCGCGACCGGGAAACCGAATACCCCTTGATCTTAAACTCTGAAATTGAGGTGGTCCAAGCATAAAAGTATAAGTACCATGAAACCACTTCTTCAAATAACAGAAATATAGATCTAACAACTGCACCACCCAACATGATGGAGGCTCAAGAAAATCAGATTGTGGGTAAGGATAATAGTAGCATAAAAGCCACATAAATTATGAACTACTGTATACTTTCAATTACCAATGGTAAACTGGCCAGCTAAATTATTTTCTGATCAGTCTAGTACCAAGGCTAAATTGTACATTTCCTAGTCAGCTGCAATCAGACCTCATAGGAAGAACCTCAGGACAAATTGTGATGGCTGTTTCAAAATTTTAAGTACTTCCTATGCGTCCAGCTAAACTCAGGGGTAACAGAAGTGGTATTTGTCTTTAACTATGTTCTAGTCATGAAAGAACAAGATGCAAGATAAATTTGACACAATATATGAAACAGGAACCAAAGGTTTACAGGTACCTTGTATGTTTCCTCATAAACAGGTAAATACCGGAGCTCACCGGTCGATTCCCCCCATGCTTCGATCAGCATCAAAGCTTTATTGCGATTATTAACAACAGTCTGAGGGTCGTCAATCAGCTTCACCATCTCATCGAGAACTCTCTCCGCAGCTATTTCTGAGAAAGCCTTTTCACAGTTCTTAACACATGTTTCAAGCAGCATTAGCGCAAGGTACTGGACCCTAGGATTCTTCAACGTAATCCGCTTTTTCAGCCCACGAATCAATTCAACACTGTTAACTCTTTCAGTATTGATCATGTCGCAAATTTCAAGATTCATAGCCCAGTCTGGTTCTTCGAGTGCCTCTGATGTGGCATCTTCAACGATCTTATCTGCTTGGTTTGGGCCTTGGAAGAGCTCCTTCACCTTGAAGCTCACTGAGCTAAATCCAGCACTCATTTTTCGACCAACCTCAGAGCCTTCGATCTTGAGGCGCTCGCCAAGAGCGCTCACTTTCTCCATCAAATTGTCGCTCATCGTTGCAGACCTTTTAAGTCTTAAACAAAAACCTTCAAAAAGTTTTCCTGAAAATGTATGATAAATACTAATTAATTGTCATCAAAGATGGGAAAGATATAATTCTGCTGAAAAGAAGAAATATCATAAAGATTTCTAATATTCAAAGCCAAAGAAGAAGAATTTTCACTCCGCTTTATCAGGGGCCAAGCCTAAAGATCAAGCAATCTAATTACAATTCTAGTTTTTTTTTTTTTTTTTTTTTTTCTCCATCTTTGAGTAACTCCAAACCCAGGATCCATAACTAATGGAAAGAATGAAATCAAAAGCAGAAAACTGTAATAAAAATCGACCTTAAACCCCAAAATGATTGGCAAAGCCGTAACTTTTCTTTCCTGGAGTCCCTCCCTTTTCTGCCCTTCAATTTTCTTGACAACCAAACTGAACAGAGAACAATTAAAGGAGGATACTTGAAGGATACCTCAAATAAAAATTCTTGAAACCGTTCAAAGGCTGTAACTTTTATTTCCAAAAACCCTATATAAAGTCAACAATCCATGATTTAGTTTCTTAAGCTCTTTTTCTTTTTTGGTTTGATGACTTTTCTTATGCTTTTCTCAGCAACCAAGCAAGTATTTATGGAAAAAGGGAATCGATCAGACCAGATATCGTCATGATGAATGGAAAAGAATCCGATATTTGGTTAAAACTTAAAATTGGATGGAAATTCAAAGAATACGTAATTGAAAACAGAGGGTGACAATTGAGTGCGTGCCTGCTTACCTCTTTCGTTTGTCTCTGGAAGGAAATGGGAGCTCTCTCTCTCTGCGCCTAGGAGTGGGGGGTGGGTTGGGACTCTCAAGTCTTGAGATGACAAGGCGCAACGACTCAGTAAAGTGAAGAAAGGCCCTCTCCTTCCTACCTTGGAGTTTCATTCAGCCCTTGACCGCCCTTTTCTCTCTCTTCTACGTTCGCTAACGTATTTGCATTACCTGAATATTTTATATTTTTTTTCATTCTTTTCTTTTTAATTAATTAATTACTTTGGAAAACAAAATATAATTATGGGAGGCAAATTCTAAAATTAATTTTGTGTGTTTGTTGATCATCAAATTATTATTTAAGTATTAATTAATGTGTTTATTTTTTTATTTGTCATACATCATTTAATTTGTATATTTTGATTTAAAAACTTAGTCTCTTTAGCATTTTCCTATAATTATTTGGCACCATCACTGATTTAGAATTAAAGGTTACACTAACCTCTGTTTAGCGTGTTAATCAATTTGTAGGTTAATAGGGCATACACCCCCGCAAAAGTAAGAAAGATCAAAGATGTAATTATTCGCATTCACACTTCATTATCATAATAAATTACAATTGTCCTCAATAAGTAAAGTAAGCGCGTACATGTTTATTGATTAATTAGGAGGACAGATGGCATTTTTTCCCATCTTGTGATTAAATTTGACAACAATTATTAACAAATTGGAGGTTTTAGAAGATGAGTAATACTAGGAGATTAAATTTGTAAACTAAATTTTGTAAATTAAATGACATAGAAGTTGATGATTGAATTATTAAGTAAACATTGATAAACGTACTTATTTCTTATCGGTGATACATCATTTAGTTTGTTTTTCCTAACATTACTCTTTAAAAGTTATATATGTGAAATAACGTATGTATGACATAGTTCACTGACTCCGCTCTAAACTAAGAATTTTTTATTACATGGAGCGGTTGTTGTCTTTAGTGACTAATTGATCGTGTATTAATTCATTTAGTATATAAAAAAAACACCTTTCTATTGGGGTATACCTTCATCTTCAAGGCAAGAAGAAGAAATTGAAATGAGAAAATAGAAAATAAAAAATTGGGTTGGAGCGGTTGCTTCTAAGCCGCGTGGACTATTCTCATTGGCAGTTAGTCAGTCCTCAACGTCAAAGTTGTTGAATGACGAATTGTTTATATTCTCATCTCGCACCGTCGGATTTCAATTCCTAGAATCCTAACCTTTGCCCCACTAACACGCAAACTAGCATTACAAGGACCCAGATATTCTCCCCTGCTCGTGTGCTTGATCAAATCTGAGCCTCTGTTTCTTCAGTCAACTAATCAACGGTTCAGATTTAATTTTAACAAAGCACTTGCAAACTCATTAGAAACTCCTGCGAACCTCCGCCTCATCCTCCCTCAACAGCCAGTCAACCCTCACTTGAAACGTTCAAGTCTGAATTCCACAACCTTTTTTCTTGTCTGTTAATCTATTAACTAAGAGCTCGTTTGAATGTTCTTTTAAAATAACTGAAAACGTTTTTAGTTAAAATATTTTTAGAACTAATCTTTAGTAAAAATGCAAGTAAATATTAAAAAAGTACTTAGAAGTGCTTATTGGAAAAAATACATAACTGATGCTTCTTGCAGAAAATATTTCAAGTGCTTTTAGAACCCAATTTTTTTTTTTTTTTTTTTAAACGCTTTCAATCATTTTAAAAGTACAACCAAACGAGTAATAATATAGTTGGACAGCTTTGATCAAGTCATCTGCAAGTTTACAACACGTCTCTGTAAATATTGGTTAATTGTATTGGTTTAATATGTACATGGTTTGATCAGAATGATGTGACATGTATGGTTGCTCGTATGAAGCAAACGACTGGTACATGTATAAAACAATTGATGTTGTACATACTTATCTGTATATGCGTAATTTGAATTTATATAAGCTGCAACGAAAGAACATCAAAGTTTTCATTCATGAGAACATCACACGTAACATCAATTCCTCCTCCTCTAAATTACAACTTCCATTTCCAAACAAACAGGAAAGTACTGCTGCTACTACTGCCAACCGTGTACTTGTAGAAGGAAATATCAACTTTGTATAACACTACTTAAAAGCTTACGCAAATGAGACCGTGAACCCTTGGTTCCGTGCTAGGCTGGGAAGGTTGCTTTTAGTAGCTAGCAGATGTTGGAGAATGGACTCACTAATGGACCGGACCACTTTCTTCCACTTTCCTTCCACCCTCTTCCTGCGCTGAAACCTTATCCGCCGTCTTCTGGCTCACTTCTGTTGCTGCCTTGGCAGCCCTTTTAAAAGCATCGGTTACCCATGATGTCCCAGTTAATACGTAACGATTCTGCATGATTGCAGATCCAGCACTACTCACCGTTTGCTCAGCAGCTGAAAACGCAATCTTGGTCTTCTCAGAAACCTGAAACCTTTCATCCATTTGCTTCACCTTATCATTTACCATGGTTGTGCCAGCACTAAGCTTATCAGTGAAACCAATCTTTTGGTCCAAAGAAGAAACTGTGGCCGTTGCAGTGGAACTAAGCTGGTGTTTCTCATCAAAGGCCTTTGCCTTGTTGATCGCATCTTTCCCCAAAACGAATCCTTTGGCGAGCATGCTGCTCACGACATCCTCTGCGTTGTGAACAGCAGGTTGAGCACCAACAGGATTAACATTTTCCGTTGCCTGAGGAGGATGAAAAACCAAACGCCGTCAGAAGCAATTATTATTGATGATAGACGAAAAGGTGCCCTTAGAAAATAATATTACAGTTGGAAGTGCTGAAGCCACAGCAGCTGGAAGCTTGTAATCTGGAGCCAGATCTATGGTAACGGACTGATCGACAATTGTTGCTCCCTGAAAGATAAGACACATAATTAAGAAAATCAGATGAGATGACAATAAAACTGATTTAGAGTAATCAGAATATCAGATTCCACCCGGTTTCCATTAGATAGGCAAGTTTACGAATAAAAAGTAAAAAGTCGGGAACATAAGTTAAACGACTAAGGAGAAAAAGGACAAGAAGAGAAAAAGGAAAACTAAAGAAGCGTTCAGAAGTGAATGACCGAAAGAAGCACTGAAGTTTCTGCCCCCTTGAAATCCTTGAAGGTAACATATGCAACCTGAGACCTCTCGTTGTCACTGCAATAAAGAAGAAAAGAAATCAACTTCCTGCGTCTCAATGCATTAAAACAATTAGCAAACGGAAAAGAGAGAGAGAGAGAGAGAGGAAATGCAACCCTTGAATTTCAATGTATTCAATATCACCAGAGAAGGAAAAGAAGTCCTTTAAATCATGTTCCGTTGCACCGAGGGAGACATTGCTAACTTTCACTGTCCTTATCTGTCATGTGAAATTGAGAAGATGCATGTAAGCATGAATATGGAGTAAAGAAATGACGATCACATTGTATAAATCATAGCACGCCCATATTAACGATGATCACATCTGCACAACTGCCCTTCTACTGAAAAGCATCAGAAAACCATATTATGTTCTCTTACAGCCAAAGTTTCAAACGGTAATTACCACAAACAAAAGCACTTTCCTTTCGATAAAGAGAACAAGTGTAATTATGGAAAGGAAATGCTTTCTAGTACAAATTAAAGAAATTAAAATAAATCCCTTTCCTTTCCCAAAAAAAAAAAAGAAAAAGAAAAAGAAAAATGTTAGATCGGGCTAATATTGTATAAGGGGATGTGTTCCTAAATGCAAGAAGCACTAAAAGACTCACAATTCAGATTCCGCAACAAATTTTCTATTTGAATTCATCACAATTTGTAAATGAAAAACAAAAACAGAGCTTAAAATCATAAAATCAAACAACATAACATAAAACGGATCAAACATTCAAAACCAATGTTTTTAATTTGGTAAGGTAATGATATTTATTTAAGAAAGGAGATAACAAAATGAATCAAACCATATACACTTGAAAAAAAAATGACATTACACTCACCTCCATCATCAAACCGAAGGCGTGTTTGCAGTTTGCTTGATTCCACATAGAAGAAAGAAAAAGAGAGACGGAGGGAGGGAGGAAAAGCAGTTATTAGGGAGGGAGACAGGAGGGCTGCGTGGCAAAGTATGTTACGAGTGAGACAGGTGATGTCAGTTGCTATAATTTGGGCCGAAAACCCAATCCAACGTTATAAAATTGGGCTGGCTCTGAGGCCTACTAAAGCCTTGAACAGCGGTTGTGCCGTGGCCTAACAGAGCATTGTGGTGAGCTTGAGGGTCCCACAGGCGGAGATTTAGGGGGTGGGGGGAGAGAAGGTGGTGAGTCCTTCTTGCTTGCGGAATAACAACATAGTTTGACCTTTCGTATCAAGTAGAGGTGAATTTTAATTTGAGAGAGAAGAAAGAAGTGATTGGATTGAATCAACTGTACTTATTGTAAAGGCATTGTAACAAAAACAACCAAACCAAACCAACGAAATTTCCTTGGTCAGTCTTTGTCTGCAGCCAACCACCAAACAACGCAATCCAAGGGAAGCAACCCCATAACACAAGGAAGGGAACAGCAGCAACAGCAGCAACAGCAGCAACAGCAGCAGCAGCAAACAAAAAAAGTGGAAGGAAGAATGAGTTTCCAAGATCTTGAGGCTGGTTCTTCTCCCCAACAGCAACAGCAACAACAACAGCAGCAGCAGCAACAACGACGACCTTTCGTTTACTCGAATGCAATTCAGAACCAGCAGCAGCAGCAAAATCGAAATCAATATCTTTACGAGCCGTCTCAGGCCCTGTCTGCCGGGATTTTCCAGATCAACACCGCCGTATCCACTTATTACCGCCTCGTGAATTCCCTCGGCACCCCAAAAGACACCCTTCAACTCCGCGACAAGCTGTCAGTACTACTTTTCATATTCTCATTTTCTTCTTCTTCTTAATAATAATAATTCTTCCCCTCTTTTCAATTTCTTGTTAGGTTTGTATAATTAAACATAATATTTGCTTAATTGATTGATTGACTGATTGTACATTGAGAGTTATCAATGTTCCGACCTAATTCACTGTTTATCTAAATTGGGAATTGGGAGTTGACACTGGCAGGCATAAGACAAGGGCGCACATTGGGCAGTTGGTGAAAGATACTTCAGACAAACTCAAGCAAGCTAGTGAAACTGATCACCATGCCCAAGTTACTGTAAGCATTCAATTCATTGTACCTGTCTAACTATGTTAAGTAAGTTGGTATTATCGGACTTCACCCTTTTTGGGTGACAAACTGCAGGTTGTCAAAAAGATTGCGGATGCTAAGCTTGCAAAGGATTTCCAGGCGGTTCTCAAAGAATTTCAGAAGGCTCAGAGGCTTGCAGCTGAAAGGGAAACAACATATGCTCCCTTTGTTCCCAAAGATGTTCTTCCATCCAGGTATTATCTTGTTACATGTTCTTACTAATATAAGGAACACGCTTTTACACAAGCATTCAAGTTTCTGTAAAGTGTAAACTTGCACGTCTAAGTTGATCGACGATTTAACTCTAATTCTTCTCTTTATTATTTATATGTTCTACTCATCAATTCCTTTCATCGTATTGTGCAGTCATCCTGCCCATGAGCAGGAGATGAGTTCATCTAGGAGTCCCAAACAGCAAGCTCTTCTTCTAGAATCAAAAAGGTGGGCAACTTAATATATTTCAAGAAGTTTAGACACTTCTGTTATTTCTCTCTGTAATACCCTGAAGGAAAATTCGTCATCCTAAAACCATAGCAAGTTTCTAGATGAGTCACGTCCCTTAAAAGGAAAGGAATACCTTTTTAACTAGTTATTGGGATTTTTCTTTTGTGCCTGATCCTAAAGGTTCTCCATTTCACCGGTAAAATTGTTACATGGATTGTGTTGACCCCTCTCATTGTTTTGTGAGCCTTGATAGGCCAGGTGAATGTATATTCTTTCCCATGGTGATGTTTTCTCCTTTTTCTTAATTTTTTTTTTATATGGAAACACGTCTTCTAACTGCGTAACATTCTCCAGTAATTGGGACCTGCCCTGCAAATTAGTTATTGCCCTTGATGTTGAGTGTCTTATGTGATGCAACTGGAGTCCATGGTTAAGTTATAGATTTGAATATTTTGTATGCAGACAAGAGGTTGTACTTGCGGACAATGAGATTGCATTCAATGAAGCCATTATTGAAGAAAGGGAGCAAGGGATCCAAGAAATTCAACAACAGATCAGTGAGGTTAATGAGATTTTCAAAGATCTAGCTGTACTGGTCCATGATCAAGGAGCTATAATCGGTTAGTCCAGTTTCTGTTCATTGTTACTCAGAAATTGAATTTGTGTTTGTTGAGTCACTTGTACTTTGTGTGCCCTACTTTGAACGATGCTGTCTGTACATGTGTGTGTTTCAGATGATATTGGTTCTAACATCGAGAACTCCCACGCTGCAACTGTGCAAGCTACCTCCCACCTTGTGAAAGCATCCAAGACCCAAAGATCTAATTCATCTCTGGTAATTTTGTTTTCCTTCAACATGAGTTTGTTCAACCCGATTCCTGTTTTCTCTTGTTTTGTGTATTCAACTCCAAGATAAGTTGCTATTCAACATTTTTAACCAAAGGATGCGATATATTGGCTGGATTGATATACGTAGTTGTTTAATTTCTTTATTTCAGCTATTATATATAAAGCATTGGATTAATAGAGGTTGCTAATTATTTGTGCTATTTGGGCAGACTTGTTTGCTGTTGGTGATATTTGGAGTCATCCTCATCATTGTGATTATAGTTGTCGTGGCTTGAGCAGTGTTCAAAAGGAATGATATATAAAGTATTGGTGTTTCCTTGCAAGAAGAGCTCCTTTCCATGTCTCCTCTCCTCTCTTTCAACTTTGAACTAGGTCTGATGCTAATGCCAAACGACTCAGACTCACCTCTTGGCGTTGGAGTGGTTGGCATCCTGAACAGTTACTATGTATACGTGGGGTATAATACCTGAACCCTATCCAAGACTAGAAGCATTAAGCATAGAACAAGCAAACAGATGTATTTATCATTTTTTCCGTAAACTAATGATATATGTTCTATTTTTTCTTTTGTAAGTTTCAAAGGGTAGGGATTTTTACACTCTTGTTTTTTCCTTTTATTGTCATTTCCTTGTTTCTATCACGTTTCTGTCCCTTTATTCTGTTTTGATATATTAAATTCAAAGGCTAGAAAAAGAAATGGAGTTGAAAAACCACTGCCGTTTCCATTTTTTTTTTTTTTTTTAAAGATATGTGCATATGATGAAAACCAATGAATTCCTATTTTATATAATTAAACATGCCCTTAAATTAATTGATTTACACACAAGAAAAAAGGTAAATAAAAGGAAAGCTTGGCGGGGAAACAAGATTGGATCTTTTATGTTTGTGTAAGCCCGTTTGAGAATAAGAGTTGAGCCCAAGAAACTCAACCCAACCCATCTTGAAAAGCGAAGAATAAAGAAAAAGAGAGAATAAACTAAAATAAGGGAATAGGTTCCTTGCTGCAAAGTCTTGGTCTCGTTGGATTGGAATTTTGATGGATTGATGTTTCCTTGTTCGACAGAGCTTGAGCTGAGATGAGACGACAAACTTAGTGGATTCCAAATCTCCATTTTCTCACAGAAACCCATCCTTCCTTCCCTTACTTCCGGCGTCGCAGCCACCCACCCCACCCCACCAAGGTAACCTGACTGAGATCTCTCACCTGGGTTTGCTTTCTGTCTGTTTTTTTTTTTTTTTTAATCAAATCATTCTTCAGGTCAGGCATTGCTTGTTAATATTCTTTTCTTTCTGTGGAACAAGGATTATTAATACGCGGTTCTTGCTTCTAAGAATTCAATTCGATTCAATTTGGTTGGTATTACTATTAGTATTATTACATGATTTCTTTCTCTTGTCTTTGCACTTTGTGTTATCAGTTGCCTATGACACTTTGGTTTGATGCACTTGTGGAATTGACCTTGTTTCTTGTCGCCTTTGGTCTCTCTCTCTCATTATAAGAAGATTGTAAGATGTTCTTCTTACAGTTGCAGGCCCTTCCAGTTCATAGAATTCGATTCAATTGGACCATTACACAATTTCCCAACTACTCAATTGCCCTCTTCTCTTCATATTCTTAATTCCAAATATATCGTGTTCCTTATCTTGACTTGAATATACACGATCCTGTCTGTATTCACTCCCATAAACCTTTCTGATAATCTTTCTTATGGAATAAACTTCAAGACTTGATTTTTGGTAAAACAAAAACAATGACGTCCCTAGTTCACTCTGCAGATCACGTCTCGAGAGTCCTTTTCCCACTCACTGTCAAGGAAAGCGTCAGTCCAGGTAAATACTTGTTGTACCCATGATTTTATGTTTCACCTCTTTTCCTGTAATAATGCGTAAGCGTGCCTGCTCTGTAATGGTTCTTGTGCTTATTATCTTGGCAAACATTGCCCTTACATCGGTTACCTCCACGTGGTACACTACTCGCCTTCAACTGTACAGGATAATGTACTCAACTTGTTATTCTCAATTTGCTTTTTACCAATTTTTTTTCTTATCAATTCTGGAAGCAAAGAAGTTACATTCAAGCGGCCAATAAATATGAGATCAAGAAAGGGAATTTGGAACTTGCAGAGTAGTTGAACCTGAATGTTGTTTTCGAAGAAGATTTCTTTTTCAAATCTCTCCTTGGAAAGTAAATGGGGCATTAGAAAATCATCTACCACCTCACTTTGCTAACTTCTATAGTTCTATGTTAAATTTTGAGGCAACCTAGTGATATTTGAAAGTTCGAAGGTGCCAATCTTCATTAGCTTGTGGATTTCATAGACACATCAGGTTTTTCAACCTGTTAATGTCATATTGCTGTTTGTATTTATGATTTGCAAATATGAAAATTATTGGAAGGCGTCATTCCTTTTGCAGTTGACGTAAACTACTGCATGGCCTCTGTGGCTGATGTGGCATAAATGGAAGGAGAAGTTGGGCAGATTCTCCAAGTACATCAAGTCTTTGCTGGGGATTGACAACACAATCCCAATGGTGAACCCAAAACTTCCCTGTCGTCCAGCCATATCCTATAGGCCTATACAACCGTCTGACCTTGAGATCTTAGAGAAAATCCATGCCGATTTGTTTCCCATTAGGTACATAATCTCATCTGCAACTTTCGCATGGGCATGTTCTTTGCTACCGTGACACAGCTTTCTACAAAAGGTTTTGCCAATCTCTACAGGTATGAGGCTGAGTTTTTCCAAAATGTTGTCAATGGACATGATATTGTGTCATGGGCAGCTGTTGATCGAAGTCATCCAAATGGTCAAAGTGATGAACTTATTGGATTTGTAACTGCACGAGTTGTTCTTGCAAGAGAAAGTGAGGTATGTCCTCTATATTCCTGCCTCTTTCTTTCCTGTGTGAATTTATGGGGAGGAATCACCACTAACTGTAAATTATGTTGGTTATTATTTGGTCTTTCTGGTTTAATTGAAGTCATTGGAAAATTGGGAGTATTTACAGAGGTTTACATTCACGATTTTGCAAGTATATAGAAGTATGGTTTGATGCATTGTTTTGTTCAAGTTTCCTGAATTACCCTAACTCTTTTATGAAAGAACCATTGGTCTTGTAGATTGGGGATTTGCTCAGTTTCGACTCATCAAATTCAGATCAGACGTTGGTCTACATTTTGACACTGGGAGTAGTAGAATCTTTCAGAAATCTTGGCATAGGTAAAAGTTTGTCTCTTTTTTGATATGGAGGCTAAGACTTTCTTTCACTATATGGTGATTTTTTTTCCTTGGACTTGCAGCTTCAGCACTTATTCGTGAGGTCATAAAATATGCCTCAAGTATTCCAACCTGCCGAGCAATTTACTTGCATGTCATTTCTTACAATAATTCTGCAATCCATTTGTACAAAAAAATGTCATTCATGTGTGTAAGAAGGTTGCAAGGCTTTTACTTGATCAATGGTCAGCATTATGATTCATATCTGTTTGTGTACTATGTAAATGGTGGCCGATCTCCTTGCTCACCATTGTAAGTATAACACGCTTCTTTTTTGGTTCGTTCTAATATACCATGTTGCTTTGATGAAGAAAATATTTTTCTTTTTCTTTAATAAAAGATGATTGCAGATTTTTTAGAAAATAAAACATTTTGGCTACCTGCAGTGGACATGTTTAGCTCACTCGATTGGCCCATGGCATGGATTTGCATTCTTTAGAGGCAATGTGAATATATAAACAAGTTTAAAAGATTAGGAGAAAGACATAACAAAAACCAAGTTTTCAATTAATTTTTGTTATTAATATGCATTTATCTGCTAGATATAGGTATCTTGAATCTCTGAAGTTGTAAGTTATTATACTTCTATGTCCAGCTATTAAAAACGTAGAGTTTACACATTTTTTTTTGAGATTCCTCAACAAAATGATGCAGGGAAAGGATTGTCTAGTAGAAGATAATAAGAAACATGCAGTAGTGGAGAGAACCATAGCTTAGATGCATGTGACATTGTGGTTTTATATACTTGTAAAAAATAAAGTCTCTGTCTTGTCAAGTACTTAGAAACTGAACAGGTTATTGATTTTTATTTTGGGATTGTTTTATGTTGCAGGGAGCTGGTTACAGGAACACTGAACTGTATGAGGAATGGTCTTAAGTCTCTGCTTGCAATGCTACGGAAGAACGATGACAGGAAGGTGTCAAAGTGGGCGAAATGTAAAGAAACTCAGAGCCATATATCGATCACACAAAACAGGAGAAACCTGACTGCAGCGGAGTGTACAGGGTATGAGTGTGTTTGATTTGTTTGTTCATGTTAGAGGTTGGATCAACGGACGGCGATGAGCAATGAGTGAGCAGGAGGGGAAGTTAAGTTGATGCAAAGTTATAAACGCTGCTTTCTACCATGCATTCAGGTTTAACCATACCAATATACATTTACATTTACCGCGGAATAACATGTCAATGTAATAAGCGTTGTAGTGTTGTTGTGTTGTACTTGGATTGGATGAAGTTAAAGATAACAAGCAGGGTGTCACTTGTGAGATCCTTGATTACTTGTTCATATGTTCTTTTTAATCTTTAAGTTATTCTCAACCTCAAGAATCTGGAAAAGAAGCGTTCTACGACGCATTAGTACATTTTATCTTAATGAAATGTCGACTCACATATTGTATAAGATTTAGGACGAGGTCATCTCACAGTCACTAATAAGCTCTCCGCCTCCCTCCAGGCTCCAGTCAAAAATACCTAAAATTTTTTTGGAGTGCACGTAACTTTAGCATATATTGCCCAAAATGTAAATGGGGGATATAAGCCTCCATTAATAGGTAGAAAGGTGGGGACTTTTGGCAACTCTCCCTATAGTTTCCCTTCCTCCTCCCCAACCCCAACTAAATATAGTCTCCTCATTTTTTATTGGCAGAAACAGAAACAAAATTAGTGTGTGGTCTAGTCTTGTGGTGTGTCCGTTAATTAAGATAATAAAATATTTCGAGGGAGAGTTGCCCTTAATTTGTGGGGCGGAGGGAAACTCAGCCTCCAGCCTTACGCATGCATGCATGCATACATACACGTTTCTTCCATATATATGTAGGGGCGAGATACAGAAGAGAGGAAACGACAGAAAAGTGGTTAAAAAAAAAAAAGAAAAAAAGAGACAAGGAATAAATTTATAATGGCAGCATCATCCTCCCTCCCAGTGGTGGCTAGTCGCCTGGGGAACCGGCGGCTTGCAGCTCTCGCTCTCTGCCTTGTATTGCTCATCGATATTACTACCACTACTTTGGTATTGGCTTCCAACAAGGGAAGAGGCCGCGGTGCAAATAAAGGTGCTGCAAAGAAAGGTGGTGGTGCACACAAAGGTGGTGGCACACACAAAGGTGGCGGTGCACACAGAGGTGGTGGTGCACAAAAAGGTAGCGGTCGAAAAGGTGGTGCACCTGTCACTGCTGGCGGCAAACCCGGTGGTGTCGTACACGCTGGTGGTTTAGCACCTGCTGCCGGCGGCAGCGTCCCAGCTCCTGGAGGTGGCGGACCCATCACATACCACGGAGGGCCTCTGATGACCGGCGACATTAACCTTTCCATCCTATTTTACGGCCAGTTCACAGCCGAACAAAAGAACGTGATCCGGAGTTTCCTGAGGTCCCTCGAGAACACGGAGAACGATCACGTCGCCGCCGTGCACAGGTGGTGGGACGTCATCGAGAGCTACCAATTGTTCGCTGGTCCAAACCCCGGTAAAGGTACCCCACCCAGACTCCGCATCAAGGTGGGGACCCAGCAGAGCGACGACAAGTACTCGATCGGAAAAGTGATAACCTTTGAGTTCATCAAGAGACTGGTGAATAAGGCTGGCTCCGGAAAGCCCAACACTATTAACGTGATCTTCACCGGGAGCCAGGTGACGGTGCACAGCTTGTGCCGTGGCAAATGCTATGAGCACGGCTTGATTGAGAACAGACCCTACCTTGTCGTCGGAAACCCCGAAATCGAGTGTCCCGGGGCTTGCGGTTGGCCATTCCAGAGGCTGGACTACGGTACGCCTAATCAAGTGACGGTGAAGCCCCCCAACGGCAACATGGGCATTGACGCCATGCTCTTAAACTTCGCCTCCGGCTTGGCTGCCACCGTCACGAACCCATTCAACACTGGATTCTTCAAGCCGGGACGAAAGAGCGACCCCGTCGAGGCCGGCACCGCGTGCGAAAACATCTTCGGAAGCGGCGCTGTCCCAGGGAAGACCGGCAAGGTTGAGGTTGACCGCGCTACTGGTGGGTCTTACAATGCCGTGGGAGAGAAGGGCATGAAGTTCATGCTCCCCGCCGTCTGGAACCCACGAACTTCCTCCTGCTGGACGGCCATGTAATATAAATTACATATCTCGGTTAAATACAAGCATGCATGCAATGGGAAGAAGAACGTTACGTACAGTACTAGTCCTGAGTCCTGGGTCCTGCGCCCGACTGATGATGGTACACCCCCAATCCCTAATATCCCAATCCCCATGATGATCAGGTGTTACTTAATGCTTGATCCGTGTAATTTTTCCCTTTTTGTAATTTATTATTTAATTGTGTCCGTCCGCCTGACATGACTACTAATCGTGCATGAATTCTCGATAGTATTAGTTGGAGCTAGAGACCCAGAGGGGATCTTTGCCATAGTATTAATTAGTAACCAAACAATAGAGAAATTTTTAAATGTGACGGGAACACAAGTGATACATCACGTGTTTCAATAGAAGTGGTGGAAAATTTTATTTTTTAAGTTATTAACTTTTTAGTACACATATCATACCATTTGTATAATGACACGTTATGTACTGATCACATTGAAAAATCTCTCCTAACAACGGTGGATGCATGCATGGTAATTGCTAATTGGTACAGATCGCGCGAACCAGGCACCAATTGAAATTGGTAAGTGAAAAATTAGACAATTCAAGTTACAAGAGCAAGCTAATTCCTTCTTGTACAACGACAACAAGGGTACCCTATAAATATATTGAGTATTGACCTAGCTGTAAAAGCAACTAACATATATACCTATATCCTTGCCAAATATGTATAGATTATTCTCACGGAAAAGAATCCTCGCAAGATCTTTTCCTGAGAATTCGAGGATTTCATAATCATATTTGTTCATCGTATATCGTGTGATTAAAAATAATTTAAAATTAAATATAAATATTACTTAACGAAAACTGACCGTACGATGCACGATAGAAGAACAAGATTACGGGACACTCCGGATCCCTAGAAAAGAATCCGTACATGCGTACCTGCCAATCAGACCATCGAGACACGTGTGTGTGTGTGTGTGTGTTATAGGCTTAAATTAATTGACTGGGACCTTGGACTTGGATTTTTATTTATTTATTTTGGTTGAGCAATCGGGAATCGGCAAGGAAAGAGACAGTTATATCGATTTCGATACACTGGACTGAAGGGCTGAAGTTGTTAACGACAAGTAAAGTACAGAGGCACGTATAAATTATTCTTTTTTTTCTTTTTTCCTTCTTATTTGAATGATCATTATTAAATTACGTCAATATCTTGTATTAATTTTCTTATGCATAAAAAAAAATTAAGTGAAAAATGTAAGGGAAAGAGAGGAAAATAAGAAAAGAGAAAATCCTAATTCAAATTATTTAGGACAAGGATTCATCCATTTAAGCATCAACCTTGTATGCAAAGACAGAGAGCATGGTCAACTTTAATAATCTGATTTAAATATAAACTCAGCGATTTCGTTTTAAGATGATATTAACACCTCAAGCCTTGATTCAAACCATGCATTATTCAATTTTAACACTCTCCAGAGGATCAAACGAAAGGAGGTTGCACTTGTTTTCCAAATTCTCAAAATTAATTGTTTCAACCTTGTTCTGCCGAGAGTCAGTGAATGAGTGAGAGTACGAGGGAGGGAGATAGCAAAGTGAGGGAGGGTTAGCCTAAAATCTATCATTTCATAAACAACCAGCTGCTACATCCGCATCTGGGAAAATAAGAAGACCAAAACCATATATATATATAGACACATACATATGATTTGCAAATTTAAAGGTAGCTGCTGCAATTATTCAAATATTTATTTGTGCACATGATGATACATGTTACAAGTTACCCAGCGTACATGTAATTCGTATCTACATGTATGCTCATGATGATGACGATGATGATGACGACCCATTAAATATCATATCATGCACTCACCACTCTCCACTACATTGACCATATGTATGTCTCTCATCACAAGAAGAAATCAGAGGTACCTAAATTGGAAAAACCCAACCAAATCCAATCCAAGTAACACAATTTTTATTACTCTTCAACTGCCAAATCTCCTCCTCTCCCTCGTCCTCCCACTCCTCCTCATGACCCCTGTTTTATTTGACATCGGACTCGAAACAGGTAGCACCTTCTTCTTCCTTGAGCTGCAGCAGCTCCTTTTGCTTTTGGGGATGGCTACTAGTTGAAAGCAGATTCAGCAAAAAGTCTGTAAAGGCATGCTCATAGTTAGGCAATTTGGCATATCCAGGAAAGTAGTTGATGTCGATCACAAAATAGCTGTTGGGGTCCTTCGAATCTCTTATCATGTCAAAGTTGAAGAAGTTGAGCTTGAGGCCCACGCGTATCCTCTTCGCCGCCTCCTCAACAAACTCCAGAGGAGGCATTTCGTGAGGATCATGAGCCAGATTATGCTCGTCATTCGCCGAATTTGATATCTGCGAAAACGGAAGCACCGCTTCTTCTAATGCGGTCACCCGCTCCTTCGAAATGTCCGGCAGCGACCTCCGCTTGACGCACTGGACGTGCTCCCCAATCGCGTAACCCTTGAACACCACCCCGCCGTGGTTCGCAAACTGTTGCAGCAAAATGGGACTATTAGTATCGGCTAGAAGACTGCGCAACCCCTTGGGACTAAAAATCAAACACATCTCGTGCGACTTGGTGCTGCCATTCACCAGTAATGGCTTTGCAATCACCGGAAACTCCAACGCGGCCAACAACTTAGCTTCTTCTTCGCCTTCCGGGTAATGATCAACCAGCACCTGTTTGGGCACCGAGATCTTCGATTGGAACTTGTCGCCTGACTGACGCGGCTTCAATTCAAAGGCGGCGAAGACGTCGAGCATGGAGACCCGATTGTGGAGGCGCTCGATGGACTCGGGCGGGTCAAGAATGAGCGTTTGTGGATACTGGGACGAGTATTCCTTGAGGTGTTGGTTCCAGTGGGGGCCGTAGATCTTGTGGATGATGCAATCGAAGGGGCCTTGCTCGATCAGGGTCTTGGCGGCGGTGGTGGAATCGGGGATTGAAATGGGGACGAAATCGATGCCGTATCGGGAGGCATGGTGGAGGAGAGAGGGCTGGATGAAGGTCTGCTCTTTTTTGGGTGCGAAGGCGTACCCGATGCGGTAGCGACGGACCGGTGCTGCTTCTGATTCTGATACTAGTGACTTTGTGCTTGGATCCATCTCTTCCTCCTCCTCCTTCCTGATGGACCTGATTTGCTTTTTTGCTTGTTTGGTATTGCTACGGTAAGAATGAGCACTCATATATCGTAGCACTGCCGCGACCTTTGGTGGGCGGGACCCACTTACGTCTCAAACATGATATTTTTCTTATTTTTGGGGGTGGGAAACGACCCAATATATTTTATTCTCCACCCAATATATTTTATTCTTTTCCCTTTTTCCTTTGGACCGTCCATCTGTATAATAATTGTTGATAGAAAGAATACTTTTTTCAAATCATATTGTCTAACTTTTTAAATCATATTGTCTGACACTAACAGTTGGATGATAAAATTAGAGATCTACTATCCACACAACTTTTTTTTATTTATTATACACCATTTGTTAATTGTGTTGGTTGATTTTTTTTCAATTCATCTGATCCGACGGCCGAAAACCAAAAAGATATGGGAGAAGTAAAAATGATGTGTAGATATCACAACCCTATAATTATTAGTTAAATATTAATTAATGTGCTCATTTTTTATTGGTAATACATCACATGATTAATTAACGTGTTGATTTTTTATTGGTAACACATTACATGATTTACAAATGCAGTCTAAAAAGTTGGTCGACCTAATATTTCTCTAATATATAAAAGGGAAATGTTAAGGAGATTAAGTTTGGAGATAAAATTTGCAACCTAAATGATGTGTCACCAATATGAATAAGTACATTTCTTAACGCTTCAGTAATAAGCCAATGAGTAATGCTAGGAAAACAAAATTTGTAGACTAAATTTTGTAAACTAAATTATATGAAAGTTGATGAGTGAATTATTGGTTAAACATTGATAAACGTGCCTATTTCTTATTGGTGACACATCATTTAGTTTACAAATTTAGTCTACAAATTTAGTTTCTCTAGCATTACTCTAAATGAATTATCAATTTTTATGTCCTTTAATTTTCAAAATTTTGTCTACACATTTTGTCTTCATTTACCGACTAAAGAAAGAATAGGAATCGAATTTTGGAATGCTCAGCCACAGATGCTGTAAAGAAATAGAAAAAAGAAAAAGAAAAAGAGTAGATACTTTACTCTATTTTGCTTCCCGTACCTCGTATCGTTCGTTCCTTCTTGAATCAAGTTTCTGCAAGTAAATGATTCTTTCCATACAAGCCAACCCAACCCAACCCCTAATGAATTACACATACGACTCTCTAACAGCTCACGCAAACAAGTCAACTCGTCGAACAAAAAGCTCACGAAATGAAATGAAATGCACAACTTACAAAACAAGTGTTTTACACGGGAATTACCAATTGAAATCCAACTGCTTCCCACCTAACTGCACAAAATATAATTTACCAGCAACCACACCTGACCTTTACTTTTACTGCAGCCAGTCCGTCCTTCAGCAGTTCGTCTGTACAGGCATACTGGTCTGAGGTCTCTCTTTAAAAGAGAAGGTAATGTTTGAGTTATTGAGGGATATTATTCTCATGCACATGTGTTGAGGCCATATTATGGAGCTGTGTGAATGTGATGAGTATATTTTATATTATATATTTTACCCTATTCTTAGTATATTTTGGTTAATAATTTGGAAGAATTTTGATACTTTGAATTATATTTCCAATATAGGATTTTCGACTTCCTCTGGAGCAAAAGATGGTCAAATGGACGAATTTTGGAGTAATTCCAATTGGAGGACGTTCGTGAGTCACTTAGCTTGATCGTGTCAAAATATCAGATTTTTCTACCAAGCGAATATTTTCTGGTAATAAAATAAAGGAGCAATGTGCAGTGCTGGAATAGTGACGTTTCGGGCTTGAATTGCATTTTTGGAGCCCAAGATGACCTCGGATGGGTTTGTGGCCTTCTTGAGATGTGTTCAGAATGTTCTTATCTTTAAAACAAGCTATCTTGGGCCGGATTTGGAGGAGATTTGAGGCTAAAACGTGGCTGAACAGTTTCTGTGCAGTTTTTCCTAGTTTAATTAGGAATTTATTTTCTATTTTATTTTATTATTATTTAGTTTCTTAGTGGGAATAAAATACTTTAGGGTTAGGGTTTTTGTGTTAGCTTTGAGGGAGATATTAAAAGGGCTTGGCCGTTCTCATTGTTTGGAGGCTTTTCTTTATGCAACTTTTGGAGAGAAGATTTTGGGCAAAGTTTAGAGATTTTCAGATTTTATTCTACAAGGTGTTTTCATTCTTTTTTCTATTTCAATAAAGACTATGATTTTAAGTATGAATATGCGTAACTAATTCTTTTTGCTAGGGCGAAGCCATGATCCTTAGCAAGAATATGTAGTCTCTTTTTACTTTGCTTATGAATTTATGCATGCAGGTTTTGGAATGTTAATCACTATGCTTTAAACTATCTATTTGTCTTAGTGATTCGCGACCATCAGGATATTTGGAAAAGTTATTTGATGCAATTTTGGCGGAGGATTGTCCCTAAAATTGACTAAAGCTTCTTGTGGTTAATATGTGTAACCTCTTAGGATGGACGACACGTTTTAAGGGTTATATGGTTTTTTAAAAAAGTTTTCATAAAACTTAATGAGTCTTGCATGTTCACATTCGATCTGAACACCACGGACGGGTTGCATGTTAGATATACGTTCTATGTTGGAGGTTCCAAGTAGGATATACTCTAGGAAAACCTAACTTTCAAAACATACATGTATTGTTCATAAGTAATTTAGAAAAGCTACATAGGATTGTTAGGGTGACGGCGGAACCCTAGTACTTTCTCTCTTTGAATCCTAAAAATTGTTCCCCTTATCTTTCTTTAAAGTTGTGGTTTTTAAGTAATCTTTTTAATTAAATTCGTTTTTCTTAGTTTAGGTCATTAAATCATCTCCTTCAAAAGAAAAACTTTGTTTTAATTAATTAATTGAGAATTGATTTTGCTTTGATCTCTTTAAATTAATCCTTGTGGAGAACGACCTTGCTTGAGTCAATTATACTACAATAACCTTGTTTCTCTTGCAAGTATTTTAGATGTTTTTAACCCTTTTACGCAGGTGGTAAAAATCCTATCAAGAAATTGGCGCCGCTGCCGGGGATTGATTTTAAATAGATTTTTGTCTATCATATTCTCAATTAATTCTTCCCGTATATATTTAAAAAAAAAAAAAAAAAAATTTAATTTTCATTTTTTTTATTCTCTGCAGATTGTGCATGGTCTGTACCAGATCACACAAACAGAAAATTGCAGATTTTGATCCAGAACCTGAACGTACTGCCAGACAGAGACTTAGAAAGCAGAATCTACAGTGTGAACCTTCACTGCAGGGAACAGTTTTGCATAATCGGTTTACTGGGGTTTTGGACAGCGGGGAAGATATGGCATTTGTTCTACCAACAGCGGGACAACCATTGAGGGAATCTCTGGCTGCTCATGCCACAGAGGTGCCAAGCTGCATTACCTATCCTGAAGTTGAAGACGGGTCTACGTTTGAGATACGACATCATATGTTGGAGATTCTACCTTCATTTCATGGTTTATCAACAGATGATCCTAACATGCATCTAACTGAATTTCTAATGGGATGCAAAAACATTTTGGTGAGAGGATTTTCAGCAGAATCTATCAAACTCAGACTTTTTCCGTACACTTTGAAGGATGGTGCAAGGAGATGGTTACTCACACTTCCATCTGGAAGCGTTACTTCGTGGAACCAACTTAGCGCTACATTTTTAAGCAAATACTACCCAGCTTCAAAAACACTTGATATGAGTACTCAAATTTTAACATTTGCTCAGAAACCTAATGAAGCAATTCATGAAGCATGGGAACGTTACAAGGATCTACTCAGGAAATGTCCACATTCAGGCATTAATGGTGACACTCAAATGAATTTATTTTACAGAGGGCTGAATTTGACTACTAAGACTCTTGTTAATGCTTCTTGTGGAGGAACGTATTCAGACAAAAATGCACTGCAAGCGTATCAATTGTTTGAGAACATGGCGACAGAATCTCAACAATGGGCAATTGATATACCTCAGACCAGGGGTGTTTTTGAGATGTCTAGTGGTTCACCTCATGTATATGCACAAATAGAAAAGATGGAGAAGAAGTTAGAAAATTTTGATGCAAAATTTGACATGTTTTTACAAAGAATGGCAGCACCTATGCAGCAGGTTGCTGTCCAGCAGCCTACTGCAGCCGCCTGTACCATTTGTGGCATTACAACACATGATTTTATGGGTTGCCCACATAGGGACGCATACCCGGAGCATGTTACAGAGCAGATTAACGCATTCAATAATTATCAAAGGCCTAGAAATGATCCGTACTCAAATTTTTACAACCCCGGGTGGAGAGATCACCCAAATTTCAAGTGGAATAGAGACCAACAGGTTAAACCACAGTTTCAACAACAAATACAGCAACCTGATGCTCAAGCTAAACCTTCTTGGGAAGTCGCAATTGAAAAATTGGCAGATCATACTAAGGCAAGTTTTGATGCAACAAAACAAGAAATTCAAAAAACCAACCAAAACATTCAGAACATACAAGCAACAATGAAAGATCTACAGCAGCAAATGGGGCAGCTTTCACTCCAGTTTTCGGGCAGAGAACCAGGAAAATTTCCCAGCCAAACTATCCCAAATCCACGTGGAAATGCAGATTGTAATGCTGTTAGAATATTGCGTTGTGGTAAAAGTTATGACAACCGTGATGCAGAAAATAAAGAAAACAGTGCTGGAGCTTCACGGGTAGCACCTGTGCAGCCACAAACAGGTTCTGAAAGTTCTGCAGAATCTGCCCAACCACTGGACAGATCCAAAAATACTGCAGTGCCTACTGCAGAAAATGCAGAAAAGTCAAAACGTGTTTATGTTCCACCTATGCCATATCCCGAAAGATTGAAGCCACATGCAAAAGATCAACAATTAACAGATTTCATGAAGACATTGGCTAAAGTTCAGATTAATCTACCATTAATTGATGCAATCAAGAACATTCCCTCATATGCCAAGTTTTTGAAAGATGTGTGCACAAATAAAAAGAAGCTTGTCGACTTCGAAAAAGTGATTCTCATAGAGCAGTGCAGTGCAGTTCTATTACAAAAGCTACCACCAAAGAAAAAAGATCCAGGGAGTTTTACAATTTCATGCACAATTGGAAATTCTGAGTTTAAACGTGCTTTAATTGATTTGGGTGCTAGTATTAATTTAATGCCTTTCTCTGTTTTTCAGAGACTGGGACAAGGAGAAATCAAACCAACATCTGTTATTTTACAGTTAGCAGATCGTTCAGTTGCTTATCCTAGGGGTATTATTGAAGATCTTATTATTAAAGTGGATAATCTCTACCTTCCAGCAGATTTTGTGGTTTTGGATATGGATGAAGATATGCAAACACCAATTATTCTGGGGCGGCCATTCATGGCAACTGCTAGAACTTCGATAGATGTGGAAGCTGGCACATTGACGCTTAGAGTACAAGAACAATCTGTTGTGTTTAATTTATTTGAAGCAACTAAGAGGCCTAGTGATATGCAAGACTGTATGAGAGTTGACGTGTTAGAAGGCATCATGCATGCAGATATTATGCCCAGTTTGACAGCAGATCCACTGTTAAAAGTTTTACATGGTTTTGAAGACGCCAAAACTGAAGATGAAGAAGCTTTTGAGTATGTTACAGCTTTGGAAAGTGTCCCTTTACACCAGCCAAAGTGGAGGCACGTTTTTGAGAGTTTGGGAGAACCAAAAACACCATTACAGCCTTCAAAAATACAGCCACCTAAGCTGGAATTGAAGCCATTACCAGCACACTTAAAATATGCTTATTTTGGTGCTAATTCTTCACTGCCAGTTATTGTTTCTGCAGATTTATCTCCAATTGAGGAAGACAAATTGCTGCGTATTTTGAGAAATTTTCAAGATGCCATTGGGTGGACAATTGCAGATATTAAGGGGATCAGCCCAACACTCTGTACGCACAGAATTTTGATGGAGGAGTGTGTCAAACCCACCATTGATGCTCAACGCCGATTGAATCCGATCATGAAGGAAGTTGTTCGAAATGAGTTTATGAAGCTTTTAGATGCTGGAATGATTTATCCAATTTCAGATAGTAAATGGGTAAGTCCTACTCAAGTGGTACCTAAACGCACTGGAATTACAGTTGTGACAAATGACAATAACGAGCTTGTGCCTACACGTTTAACTACTGGGTGGCGAATGTGCGTTGATTACAGGAAGATCAATACAGGTACTAGAAAGGATCACTTTCCGCTACCCTTTACTGATCAAATGTTGGAAAGATTGGCTGGTCGGGCTTTCTATTGTTTTTTTAGATGGGTATTCAGGCTACAATCAAATTCCAGTTGCACCAGAGGATCAGGAAAAGACCACATTCACCTGCCCTTTTGGTACATTTGCTTACAGAAGAATGCCTTTCGGATTATGCAATGCACCTGCCACATTCCAACGATGCATGATGAGCATATTCTCAGGTTTGGTTGAACGAGTTGTTGAAGTATTTATGGATGATTTTTCTGTTTTTGGTGATTCGTTTGATCATTGTTTACAAAATTTATCTTTGGTTCTTGAGCGTTGCAAAGAAACTAATCTCGTATTGAATTGGGAGAAGTGTCATTTTATGGTTAAACAAGGAATTGTTTTAGGGCACTTAGTATCTAGCAAGGGTATTGAGGTTGATAAAGCTAAGATTGATGTTATTGCTAAGTTGCCCTCTCCTACTACTGTGAAGAGCATTCGTTCGTTTCTTGGACATGCTGGGTTTTACAGACGGTTTATCAAGGATTTCTCCAAGATTAGTCGACCTTTGTGTAACTTATTGGCTAAGGATGCACAGTTTGTTTTTGATAATGCATGCTTGGAGGCTTTCAACAAGTTGAAAACACTCTTAACTTCAGCACCGATTATTGCAGCTCCGGACTGGAACTTACCTTTTGAACTAATGTGTGATGCATCAGATTATGCAGTTGGGGCAGTTCTTGGACAGCGAAAAGACAAGATTCCTCAAGTCATTTATTATGCTAGCAGAACTCTCAATGATGCACAGCTGAATTATGCAACCACTGAGAAAGAATTGTTGGCAGTTGTTTTTGCATTAGAGAAATTTCGTTCTTATTTAATTGGGGCTAAAGTAATTGTCTACACAGATCATGCTGCTTTGAAGTATTTATTATCTAAAAAGGATGCTAAACCTCGACTTATTCGGTGGATTCTTTTACTTCAAGAGTTTGATTTGGAAATTAGAGACAAAAAGGGCAGTGAAAATGTGGTGGCTGATCATTTATCAAGATTAATAAATTCTGCTACTGCAGAAGAAGACACATTGCCTCTCAATGAAAATTTTCCTGATGAACAATTGTTGGCTGTCCAGCACAAAACACCATGGTTTGCAGATTTGGTTAATTATTTGGCCAGGGGAGTTATTCATCCAGATTTAAGTTATCAGCAGAAAAAGAAATTTTTGGCAGATGCAAAATTTTATTTTTGGGATGAGCCGTATCTGTACAAATACTGTCCAGATCAGATTATTCGCAGATGTATTCCAGAAGAGGAACAAGACAGTGTTTTAAAGTTTGCACATCATTATGCTTGTGGTGGCCATTTTGGGCCTACAAGGACAGCAGCTAAAATTCTACAAAGTGGGCTGTTTTGGCCTTCTCTTTTCAAGGATGCTCATAATTGGTGTAAATCTTGTGATCGTTGTCAGAGAGTGGGAAATCAGTCCAAACGGAATGAGATGCCACAACATGGTATTTTGGTTGTTGAATTATTCGATGTTTGGGGTATTGATTTTATGGGACCATTCCCATCTTCACATGGCAATCAATATATTTTGGTAGGGGTTGAGTATGTTTCTAAGTGGGTCGAGGCAATTGCAGCACCAACTAATCAAGGATCAGTGGTTCTGAAATTCCTCCAAGGAGTCATATTTCCACGGTTTGGCATCCCGCGAGTTATACTTAGTGATGGGGGTAAGCATTTCATTAATAAACAGTTTGCTGCATTACTTGCAAAATATGGGATAACTCATCGTGTTGCCACTCCTTACCATCCACAAACATCAGGGCAGGTTGAGGTTTCAAACAGGGACATAAAACGTATTTTGGAGAAAACAGTTGGTTCCACTCGTAAAGACTGGAGTTTGAAATTAAATGATGCATTGTGGGCATACAGAACAGCATTTAAAACACCCATTGGGATGTCCCCGTTTCGGCTTGTGTATGGCAAGGCTTGTCATTTACCTATGGAGCTAGAGCATAAAGCGTTTTGGGCTATCAAGGAGTTAAACTTTGCTTACGATTCAGCAGGGGAAAAAAGAAAGCTGCAGCTCAATGAGCTTGATGAAATTCGCCAGGAGGCTTATGAAAATGCACGCATATACAAAGACAAAACAAAGGCCTTCCATGATAAACACATTCTCAGGACAGATTTCCAGCCAGGGCAGAAAGTGTTGTTATTTAGTTCTAGATTCAAGTTATTTCCAGGGAAATTGAAATCTCGATGGAATGGACCCTACTTGGTTACTAAGGTTTATCCTCATGGAGCAGTTGATATTACAAGCGAGATTAATGGCAACACATTCAAGGTGAATGGTCACAGGCTGAAACCATACTTAGAGTCACCCTTTGACAGTGCAGCCGAGTCTATAACTCTGAAGGTTCCAGCAAGTTAATCACCAGGCTTCTGTTCAGTCTAGCTACAGACGTTAAATAAAGCGCTTATTGGGAGGCAACCCAATTTTCTAACTTTTTCATTACTTTCTGTTTTTTTTATTTCATTATTTTCCGTCTAGCTGCATTTAAATTCCTAGGCTATCATTTAGTGTTGACAATCATCTAAAAAAAAAAAAAAAAACAGTTCAAAAAAATAAAAAATAAATAAATAAAAAAATAATAGTAATAATAATAAAAATTCTCATTTACTTGTTTAATTTTTAGTTTATAGTTAGTATTTTCTATAATCTATCTCTGATTTCATAACGTGGGTTTTTGCAGACAACAAACAAAGCAAACAAGCATGTATACACAGAGAACTTATTTTAGGTTGGAATCACGCACCCAGTGGCAAGTCTACATTACCATCAACCACATTCCTAGACCTTGCCGAAATATAATGCAGAAATTACAAAGCTCTTGCAGAATCACAGATCCAGCCACAAAAGGATAGAACATTATACCTCTGTTTTGCTATGCGGCCATTCTTCCATGCACGCCTTAGCCACCAATGAGCTGCTTTTGGGGATCTCCGGTGTTCCTGGGAAAAAAAAAAAAAAAAAAAAAAAAAAAAAAACATCAAGCTGATACGTACTGAGGAGCTATCATTATTTCTATGCAGATCTACGCCATTTAGTTTCGAAGATGCCGGGTATGCCATAATTTAAGTTTGGGGGTGAGTTCTTTATCCGTCCTCCGAACGGGTCAAATCCAAAAAGTTCGCACATATGTTCAGGGGTGATCCAGATTGTCATTCACGAATATTATAGGGAGAAGCAGTGTTCTAAGTTCCAAATGGTCCGCATACATGGTCCCCATACAGATCTCAGTGTTATTTCTTTTGTCCAGCAACTACAGTGTCCAGTTATTATTTATATCAAGTTTGGGGGTGATTGTTGCAGATCCAGCGCAGAAACATATTTTTGAGCAGTTAATTTTCTGCAGCTCAGTTTTGCGATGCATGGATGAGAGAAGCACAGTTGAATCACATATCCATACACCACAGAACTGAGTGCAGCTATTATTACCAGATCTACAACAACTAAACTTGCAGGGATTTGAATTTTACCTCCCAGATGCACAGATCTGGGTCCTGAGGGCCTTTCCTGTTTTGTCCAGCGAGTTTATGTGTTTATTTTTTTTTTCCTCGGCTCTATCATGGATCCGCATATCCCTACACACAGCGCACTAATATGAGTACATGGAGGACATAAAACGAACATCTATGCAGATCAGGACCCAACCAAAGTCTGGAATTAATCTTACTTTTACCTTCCTCATTTGCTGCGGCCGAAGCCTTTGCTGTTTATTTTTGACTTCTGGGACCACTGGATCGGCAGCTGAAGGGTTGTTTTCTCCCGGCTCTACCCTAGATTTGAGTATTATTTTTTCAGTCACAGTAGTGGTTTTATTGTTAAAATACCAGATCACACTCGATCAATCAAAAGGGTTACGATTTTTACCTCAAAAGTTGTAGATCCGTGAGTTTGGGGACTATTCGAGTGGGTCTTTTCAGTCTCTTTGTGAATCTCGGGTATCTAATATAGAAAAAACATTAGTGTCAGCTTCTTCAGAGATTCATCACAAAAACATAGCTCTCAGATCATTTTCGCTAGCTGAGAGAGATGTATATTGAACCAAGTGGAAGATGATTACCGTTGCATGTGTGAAATGGTCTCGATCTGCATGAATGGAACTCGAATCCGTGATGGTTTGAATTTGGGCGACACACTGTTTGGTTGAGAAAAGCTGGCGACTCAGGGTGTATTTCTTGTGTTGTTTGTTTCGGATTTGCAGCAATTAGGGGTTTTCACACAGATGAAACCACATGCACGTGTTAGTTTACCACATAAATCTGAAAAGGAAACAAAATAAATACAGACACACATGGAGGAGGGATTTACTTTCATTCCTCTCGGTTTTCATGCTTACTCCACCATGGATGGGTACTCCCGGAGGAGTGTCTGTTGCTGGGTTATGGAAAGCTACGGATGCAGCACTTAGAGAGGATCAAGAAGCTGTTGTGAGATGTAAGGGTTGTAATCATGAGCGCTGGTGTGACTGTGCTGAGAAAGATGAGGGGGCTGATTTTCTAAAGAGAACAGAAGGCTCTTTGCGTTTTTTTTTTGAGAAAATGAAAGAAAAATGGGAGAGCTATTTCTGATATGGAGGTGTGCTTGGGTTGACAGAGAGGCCTAGGATTTCTCACAAAATAATCTGAAATAAAAATGGGTGGATGAGATGCATTTGTAATGGGAATCCAAAGAAGTTCATTGCCCGGATGCGTGCCATCTGTCTAAATCATGTGCGTTCCGTGCTTTTCTGAGGAGGGTGGTTTTCAAATGGAGAGGTAGAGAGCCGTTGGCTCTGACTGACAGAGGTTGAAGACTGATCGTGACTTTTCGTCCTCGGGGTTGAGACATGGGAACCTGCGCACGCCATTTTCCAATTATCATGCCAGTTGCATGCCATTAGAACCATCTCATGGGGAATCCAATGTTCCCTTGGACCTTTGCTTTGCGGAATGGTAATCAATTGGCCATGTGTCTCATGGCCCAACGTTTGTCAAGCCCAGGTGTGTCTTTGCATTTTTATTTTATTTTATTTATTTTATTTATTTTTCTTTTCTTCTATTTTCTATTTTCTGTTTTATTTTATTTTCTATTATTGTTTTTTTTTTATTTTTTTTTCTTAGGGTATTTTCTTTATCTTTGATATTTGTTTTACATTTTCTAGGATTTAGTAGTTTTGTTTATGTTCTTGTCTCTTCTATTTATTTTCCACACCTTGAGGACAAAGTGTGAAATAAGTTTGGGGGTGGGAAATAACATTTTAGGTTTTTAATTTTTGTGTCAAGTTAAAATTTTCATTCTTTGTAAGTTAATATCCATAGATTATTTTAAACGTTATAACAAATGGACATGGTGAAGATTAATCCCACATTAGAGTCTTTTCTACTTATTGTTGCTTAGACACTAATTCATGAATTATACTTTGACAACTTGCACATTCACATCAACATGGCTTGTGGGGAGTGAGATTGAAACACTTACTTTTAGTCTAAGTTTCACTTTTAATTTTTGTTCTACATAAAGTAAAGTTAGTTTGTGTTATAAAGTAATAATTGTCTCACCCGAGACTTTGCCTAGTAACCGGGCCAGTCCTGCCTAATCAGCAGTGATTCTCGCGTCAAACAGTAGAGTTTTGGCATGGGGCAGGGTGGTTAGTTGGTTTCGTAGCCTTTTCAGCTCGGGTTAATAAGTCCTTAGGGGTGTTTTACACCTAGTGCCCTAAAGCCCTAGTGGTTTGGGAGTCATTGACCTAAAGCTCCGCTACATGGGTTGGATCGAAAGCTTAAGTGAACCGACATTGCACGACCACTACTGTTACTGAAAAAAAAAAAAAAAAAAAAAAAAAAAAAATCAAGAAGAAAAAGAAAAATAGTTATATTTAAAGTTAGTATGTGTGAAATAAAGAAGGACAAGAGGTAAGGGTTTTAGTCGAGTCTCCTTAGCTATGTTGATTCACTTTACACCAAAGGAAGTTCGTGAATTCTTTTCTAATTGATTCTAAATGGCTTAGACTCTGTGGTGGGATTGGTTGGAACTTTTGAAAAGATGTTATGATTTTTAACATGTTCTATGGATTGCAACTTTGAAAGTGAAAATTTTTGTCAGTTAGTTTTAGTTAAGTTCTAGTTTGTTAGTGTTTATTGTTGTTTTCGAGTTTTGTTTTGCTTGAGGACAAGCAAAAAGCTAAGTTTGGGGGTATTTTGATGAGTATATTTTATATTATATATTTTACCCTATTCTTAGTATATTTTGGTTAATAATTTGGAAGAATTTTGATACTTTGAATTATATTTCCAATATAGGATTTTCCACTTCCTCTGGAGCAAAAGATGGTCAAATGGACGAATTTTGGAGTAATTCCAATTGGAGGACGTTCGTGAGTCACTTAGCTTGATCGTGTCAAAATATCAGATTTTTCTACCAAGCGAATATTTTCTGGTAATAAAATAAAGGAGCAATGTGCAGTGCTGGAATAGTGACGTTTCGGGCTTGAATTGCATTTTTGGAGCCCAAGATGACCTCGGATGGGTTTGTGGCCTTCTTGAGATGTGTTCAGAATGTTCTTATCTTTAAAACAAGCTATCTTGGGCCGGATTTGGAGGAGATTTGAGGCTAAAACGTGGCTGAACAGTTTCTGTGCAGTTTTTCCTAGTTTAATTAGGAATTTATTTTCTATTTTATTTTATTATTATTTAGTTTCTTAGTGGGAATAAAATACTTTAGGGTTAGGGTTTTTGTGTTAGCTTTGAGGGAGATATTAAAAGGGCTTGGCCGTTCTCATTGTTTGGAGGCTTTTCTTTATGCAACTTTTGGAGAGAAGATTTTGGGCAAAGTTTAGAGATTTTCAGATTTTATTCTACAAGGTGTTTTCATTCTTTTTTCTATTTCAATAAAGACTATGATTTTAAGTATGAATATGCGTAACTAATTCTTTTTGCTAGGGCGAAGCCATGATCCTTAGCAAGAATATGTAGTCTCTTTTTACTTTGCTTATGAATTTATGCATGCAGGTTTTGGAATGTTAATCACTATGCTTTAAACTATCTATTTGTCTTAGTGATTCGCGACCATCAGGATATTTGGAAAAGTTATTTGATGCAATTTTGGCGGAGGATTGTCCCTAAAATTGACTAAAGCTTCTTGTGGTTAATATGTGTAACCTCTTAGGATGGACGACACGTTTTAAGGGTTATATGGTTTTTTAAAAAAGTTTTCATAAAACTTAATGAGTCTTGCATGTTCACATTCGATCTGAACACCACGGACGGGTTGCATGTTAGATATACGTTCTATGTTGGAGGTTCCAAGTAGGATATACTCTAGGAAAACCTAACTTTCAAAACATACATGTATTGGTCATAAGTAATTTAGAAAAGCTACATAGGATTGTTAGGGTGACGGCGGAACCCTAGTACTTTCTCTCTTTGAATCCTAAAAATTGTTCCCCTTATCTTTCTTTAAAGTTGTGGTTTTTAAGTAATCTTTTTAATTAAATTCGTTTTTCTTAGTTTAGGTCATTAAATCATCTCCTTCAAAAGAAAAACTTTGTTTTAATTAATTAATTGAGAATTGATTTTGCTTTGATCTCTTTAAATTAATCCTTGTGGAGAACGACCTTGCTTGAGTCAATTATACTACAATAACCTTGTTTCTCTTGCAAGTATTTTAGATGTTTTTAACCCTTTTACGCAGGTGGTAAAAATCTTATCAGAATGCAACGGTCGTAGCTTCCAGCTGAGGTACCTGTTATGCCAATTAAGCAAACTTGAGTCCTTAGTAATGCTCTATCATTTTTCACTACTCACCTATTTCCCAAATTCAGAAAAACAAATTAAAAGCTATTTTCAAAATGGAAAAACAATGAAGAAAATGACCGCATAAACCATCAGGTACCTTTCCTTTCTTGCTTGTGTTATTCCCATTCCTAGCCACCTCCTTCCCGAACCCGGCTCTCCTAGGAGTCTTGTTGGCACTAGATGTAGTGCTGCATTGATTCTCTTCATCAACACCGCAAACACCATGCATTGCTGAATCATGAGGTTTTGCATTGTTCTCAATAGAGTTGTTTAAACTTGCACATGTGCTTCCACGCTTCTTTTATGGCAGATAATGCTACATCGTAACTTTCTTGCGAGAGTGACCCTTCTTCACCCAATATTATGGCTCTTCGACATAAATCATTGTAGCGACGGACTTTAGACTGAACTTCATCCACTCTTTCACCAATGGCATGCCAGCTCATAACAGCATTTGTCCATCGCTGCAATATATATTTGGGAGGGATGATGAAAACACCAGACATTTGGAGAACAACAATAGCATGTCTACAGAGATAACCTTTATACTCGAATAAGTGGCAAGAACAATATATATCTGATTTTGATTCATTCCACTCTACAGTATAATTCTGATTGTCTTCAAAGTCTTTAACACTGTACGTAGTTGATGTCTCGCCTTCATTTTCTTTCTTAAGATGACAAGCAGCTGCTCCCAAAACCTCAACTTGAAAGTATTTGAAAACCTTATGTGTGTACACTAGGGACATTTGTTTCACAAACGGTGACGGAGACTTAAACTCAGGCGTTTCATGCCAACCATCAAAGTTTGCTTTCAGTTCCTCTTCATACCTATCTTCAAGAATTGCTCTGTATCTTTCCATAAACTCTCGCAGTGAAGTTTCCCCTTGAATATACTTGTTAAAGGAAGAGTTCAAACTTTCTGACCGTGAAGTTGGAGACAACCCGGCGAAGGATATATCTCTCATGAAAGTAGGGGCCCAACGAGTACGATCTTCCAACAATGACTGCATCCATTCAACGTCCCTAAGATTTAAATCTATCAATAAGTTTCCACCATCTCTTTTCAAATTGTTGTTCTGACCAGGATTTGAAGATACACTTACTAAATTTTTCCATAAAACTATCATGCCACATGCTTAGAAACTCGAGCTGCCTGTGCATCTTCTCCATTATGTTCCATAAAGAAAAGCAATGGCGTGTGCCTGGAATACTGTTGGAATAGCCGCTTTGACGGCGTCGTTCTGATCGGTGAGTATTACTCGCGGAGCTTGTTCCCCCATTGCTATTAACCATGTTTGCATTAGCCACATAAAAGTATGAACCGTCTCATCTGCAATCAAAGCACAGCCATGTAATGTGGGCTGAATATGATGGTTCACTCCTATAAAAAGAACCAGCGGTATTTTATACTTGTATGTGAAGTATGTGGTGTCGTAAAAAACAACATCGTTGAAGTTAGTGTAATCTTCCATTCCCTTGGCATGAACCCAGAACACATTTCTCAACCCATGCTCTTCATTCAGATCAACTGCATAGAAGAATTTTGGATTGTCTTCCTGTATGCGCATAAAATATTCAAGCAGCAGTTGAGCATCCCCTGCTTCTAAAGCCAAACTCCGTCCATTGTCATGCTGATTTCGCAAGTAACTCTCCAGACAATCAACATTTCGATAGGCACTGAAGAGGCTGGACACTGCAGCTAAACTCTTGCGTCTCCGGATTCTAACACCATTGTTAAGGGGGTCAGTGTTTCTGTGGCTGCGAAAGAAATGTGCTTGATCTGGTAAAAGCTGATGGTTGTGGTCCTTTACGAAACTATAAACATATCAATTACCACTTGGCCTGCGCTTGACATGCATGCTCTGCAGCCAATTTTGGGAGAAGGTCGAGGATTGATGGCATCATCGGACTGCTGCTTGTTTCCGTATCGGATGCATGAAAATTTGGCATCAATGAACTCCCCGGATACTCTAGAGCGACGACTGCTCAACTTAGCAGTGCCGAAACCGACGGACTTGGCATATGCTTTGTAGAAGGTGTATGCGGCTTCATGAGATTCAAACTCCATGGCGTCATGAGGCTCTGCAATTGAAGGGGGCGCGAGCGCGAGGGCAGGACCAGAGGAATCCATGAAGGTGGTGGGAGCGGTGGTGTTGAGGAAATTCAAATCGACTCCGCATCCGGCATCAAAAGTGGTAGGGAAGGGAAGGGGTGTAAAGGTTTCATGGGTCCCACAAACATGGAAGGAAAGAGGCTTCTCCCATGGACATAAATTCAAAATTTGGGAGCTCAGTGTTCCCATCACCGAGGTAGTCTGCCTGATTGATTGACGAAGGTGTAATTTTTCTAACTGAATAGTGCGAGAGGGAGCGAGACATATACAAATAGGAAGTGATGAGACTGAATAACCCTAATCATAATCCTAATCCTACCTGAAGAAAGCAAATTGAAGGCAACTCACTCACTCACTCACTTCTCTGACTGCTGAAGAGATGAGATGAGATGAGATCCACCTGACCTGGAGCTCCGATTTCAATTGTCAGCGTCTTCTTCTACGTCAAGCAAGCTCTCCTTTTGTGATTTTTTTTATTTAAAAAAAATATATATAAAAAACTGAAACTCCCTGCTTATGCCTTTATGAACTACTGTAGTAGTGAGAGATAGAGTCCAGAAAGGCGCAGACTTGGTTTAGAGCCCAATAGGCCCATATAATGTCGTATGGGCTCGCTGCTCCTGCAGCCGCCGCCTATCGGTATCACTATCAGACGCCGGCAAGATAATAAAACTCTCTACTCTAGTCTACTCTCTGGTGGTGGTGGTGGTGCCGTACAACGGCACAGGCTAGTAGCATAGCTTATTTTACGGCAATTATAACAAACGACCGACATCCCCAAATCAATTGATATTGATACACTGGATAGCCGACGGAGGAAGAGGAAGAGACAGAGAGGAAGAGGAAGAGGAAGAAGAAGAGACAGAGAGGAAGAGACAGAGGAAGAGACAGAGAGAGGATGATGAGAATCCTCAACTTCAACTTGGAGCGGTTCATTGAAGGCTCATTCAGTTCAACATCCCTGCCTTTCTTCCTCTCCTCCCAACGCGTGCGTGCGTCACTCTCTCTCTCTCTCTCTCTTCATGTAAATGCATGTATTGGAATGTGCAGAAAGTTGCAGTTTCAGCCTTGCAGCTCACTTGCTGATTCGCTGACTCATGGCTTAATCTTTATTGCAGGGGCACGGCCGGCAGGGACGGAGGCAGGGACAGGGACAGGGAGGGTCCTCGATTTCTCGTGTGGTCTTAGCATGGCTTTGGCCGGCAAAGGTGTAATTGTCGACCACCAAGCTTTTCATAATTTGACCTCCTCTCAGCTTCAGCACAAGGGTGCAACAATTCCAGGTTGGCAATATTATCATCATTACTTTCTTTCTTTCTTTTTGTTTAACTTTTTGTTTCCCGTTTAGAATCATTGTCAGGACTTCCACTTCTTGTTAGAGGACATTTCCATGGAATAGGAGCAGCAGCAGCAGCAGGAGGAGGAGCTTCCCAAATTTCCAAGCCACAGTTCACTAAGCTTTTGAAACATGCACGTTTCAATCTTCTCCTTTCTCTTTTTTCTGTTGTCTTGCATTCGTTTCGCCGTGTTTATTATACAACCTTTTATTTCATATTATCAGGTCACAAGTCATATATCATCCATCTCCAACATTTTTGTTCATGACGGTGCTATCGGTTCATTACCAAAATGTGATGCAAAAGTTCGTTTAATAAGTGATTGTCCGTCTGCTGTGCTCTCACTATCCCGTATTCTCTGGGGGACTTCCACCCGTGCAGTTTCTCACGATTCATGTCCTTTGACAGTTTATGTGGCTACTTCTATAAGGTAATCAACTTTCATTATCTAACGTATCTTGGTTGAGTACATTGTGCAACCAACTAAAAGAAAACACGCTTTAAGAATTTCTCATGACATCAATGTTGATTACATGTTTATTGATATATATTTGATCATGCAGTTCAGGAATTGGGGATGTTATTGACCTTGGATCTAAAGGAATTAATGGATTTGTAGCTGCTGATATTGAGCGTTCATCACTTGTTTTATGTGGTAAAGCCTTCTCAGATTTAAATGTAACTAAAGAAGCACTAGCGGCCTTGTCTGGACCTGTTATATTTGCACGGGGAGGCCTTCCACTATGTGCAAGGTACAGGTTCTCTATTCTTTTACTGAGCATTACAGTCTTTATTACTATACCATGGGTGATTTACACTGGGAGGTTCAAATTTTCAGGCTTCTAGTGTCTGGTGATTCTGTGGTTCTTATATTTGCAGCCAAAGGTACCTTTAAGAGCTGCAGACATCTGTTGGTGCCTAAGGAGGCAGGTGTAATTCTTTCTTCTGAAGGTGTTGCACCATTGTTTCAAACTGGTGGCCAAAATCTGTTCAAGTTCCCATCTGTTGTAGTCCTTGCATCTTCTGACAGGTAATAGAATCTTGTAAAGAATTGTTCGGTTCCATTTGAGCATGTTTCGAATAGGAATGAGCATCGGTCTTTGGCTGTGCTAGCCAAATTGTTATCTTACACATATCACTACACTGTAACTGTCATCCAAAGGTTGTTTTGTGTTCATTCTAAGTATGTTGCGTATCAGTAATCTTTCAGAAAACCCCACACTTCCTGCTTCCGTTCATGTTAATCCTCTTTCCTAATGTGTCCTGCGCATAGTGACCTTGCATTGCTTTTTATTCTATTTTCTGTTAAAGCAGTACTGGCGTTATCCCTTCTGTTTCAAAGCTCTCCCCTGGCCAGGCAGCTTATCACTTCTTAGCTGGTTATCAGAATGGGAAGTTCATGCCCGCATACAACAAAGGCCCCTCGTCTATTCACCCAATGGAACTAGCTAAGGCATTTCTGTCCAAGGTCAAATAATAATTGTTTCTTTAATAATATGCTTTGCCCATTCATATAGATTTGTTAATGCCGTGTTATGAATTTGTCAATAATGTGAACAATTTACCTTTCTGGGTGGTTCTGCAGTTGCAAGATGAGAAGATCTCATCTTACTTATTGAATGTCAATGGAGAAGAAAAGAATGTAAATGGTAGAGAAAATGGGATGACTTTCAGCTTTCTTTTGGATAGGTCATAGGAGTGCGCCTCTTGAATCTTGATACAGTTACTCATATCCTAGAAAATTGTCTAGCGCTTGAACTAGCTGCAGTATGAAATCCACGACTTGAAATCCTACTTTTCTACCATGTTTCAAATCTGAGTTTTAACTTATAAGTTGGTGATGATTGCTTATACGTGAATTTAAGGAGTTTGCAGACTTAAATGCATTTAGTCAATATAATTCATTTGTTGATGTATCAGGCAAAGATTTGGCTAATCTGGTGCAATCAACTTTGTCCGAGAACATCCCACCATTTGAAGCTAAAAGTAACCTCATGACTGTTTTATTGCTTTCCCTTGTTGTTAAGTAAATTTTGTAGGTATAATTTTGAACTGGAAATGTTGTATTACATGTCCCCAGGTGGGGATCTTGAAGACAAGTACAAGAGCTTCCTGTTGAGCGAATTTCAAGAAGTGCCAGAAGAATTATCGTTTTGAGATAGTTGCGTCCCGTCTTTGTTTAGACCCCAAGGTTTTAATGTAATTCTCTTCTCATGAGATAGCTGTAGGCAGATGTTTGATTTTGCTTCTCACCTTTATGTCCGGTGCAGAATACCAGAGACTCAAAGAAATGGATAATACTTGGGTCCTGAGCCCTTACCGAAGGATATGTGCCAGTAATAATGCAACACGTGTGATTTTGTTTTGAAATTCCAATGACTTGGCTCACAAACAATTCATAACACATCCCTAATTTTTTAGAACAATGAACATGTTATTGACCCATGTATTTGGATAAAAGATGTTTAGGGCCCAAGTATTATCACGAAGAAATTCCTCCGGTGCAGGTGCTCCTCTTGTCTCGATGGAATTGAAGTTGTCTTGTGGAAAATATGGCAATACGATGAACTTGTTGCTGTGTTAAGATGGGTATATGAATAAGTGAACCAACAGGGACATGGCTCTGTTGCTTGGTCATTGTAGACATAACCTGCTATAATTCTATTGCAATTTTGGAAGAGGAACTTAATTGCATGCATCAAATTGTATTGTAGTTGTAGCCTGTAGGAAGGCAGGCTGGAATAATGGAATATGAATTATTATTTAGTTAGGTTCGTCGTTCCCCATCCCGGTCATGTATGTATGGACAGAATGAGCTCCATGTACAATAATTTGTATGGCCGGCGGGCCTGCTCGCTCGCTTTGCTGCAGAGTTGAGTTGTTTTATGCCGCTTAACTGTCAATAAACAAACAAAATTAGTTTTATGCCACCCTGCTTTCTTATCTGATTCTGTATGTTGATGATTATGTATAATATATATTATACAACCATCTCTCACCGTGTATACATATAATATATAATCTGATTCTATATATTGATGTCGTCTTCTTCTGCATTGCATTGGCGGTGTCCATACCCTTCTCCAACGGTGAACGGTCCAACCCCCACGCATTAACTACTACTCTTGCCTGTACTAGTTATAGGTTGTAGCTACGTGCCTACCTACCTGCTTCAATTCCACCATTAAGTGCTTGGACTTTGCAGCTGCTGCTATGTGCTAGCCCCTAATTCAATTGCAATCCAAATCCCAAGGCATTCCCTAGACTATATTTCAGAAATTCAGATCCCTCCCTCATTCCCATATAGCTGCTATCCATCCCATCCAATCCCATCCATCCATCCATCCATCGATGGCTTCTGCAGCAGATGCTATTTGTAGTTTTGATGATGATGGTGCTGATGAAATTAGTCCATGTTCAAGGACGACCACGGTCTGCGTCATGGATGCGTCCGGCCGCCTGGGCTCCTCTCTCGTCCACCGCCTCTTGCACAGAGGCTATGCAGTCCATGCTGCACTCCAAACCCATCACAGTACGTATGTTAACCTATTACCCATGTATCTATCTGTAATCTATAAATATCTTGTTGAATTGTTTTCTTCTTCTTCCTCCTCCTTGGAAATGCAGTCTTTATGTTATTTCCAATCCTCTGTCAGAGGAGTAAATAGAAACCAATCAACTAGCAAGCTGGATATATTGAAGTCTTTTAGCTCATACGTACACTGCAACTCGTCCTCCTTTCTTGAGAGTTTAGTCTTCCGATTTCCATTTATTTCCATTTGTTTAATGAATTATTATATGTGCGGGTGCGGGTGTTGGTGATGAAGCAGGGTGTTTTGATGACGAATTGGTAAAGAAGAAGAAAGTGAGCGTTTTCCGTTCGGACCCCTTTGACTACCACAGCATTATGGAAGCTTTGAAAGGATGCTCTGCCCTTTTCTACTCTTTCGAGCCTCCTTCGGACCACCCGACTTATGATGTACGTCTCCCTTCCATTCCAATACTCCATTAACCAACTTATTTGCCTTTACTTAATCCACATCGATTAATTATGTATAATATTTGATGCAGGAATTTATGGCAGAGGCAGAGGTCAGAGCAGCTCATAACGTACTGGAAGCTTGTGCCCAAACTGATACCATACACAAAGTAGTCTTTACATCCTCTGTAACAGCTGTGATTTGGAGGGACGACCGTACAACTTCGCCATCCTCCTCCCATGACATTGATGAGAGAAACTGGAGCGATGTCAATTTTTGTAAAAAATTCAAGGTATTATTTCATTTCATAAACATAAGCGATTTTGTTATTGCCGCGTAGATAAAGTGAGCCGAATGCAATCCCGTATGGTTTAGCTTAATTTTAACAGCTCAGTCATTTTACATTGATCAAAATGTTCTGATCAGCTGTGGCATGCCCTCTCGAAGACCTTAGCCGGAAGACAGCATGGGCTCTAGCAATGGACCGAGGACTGAACATGGTGTCAGTAAATGGCGGGCTGTTGATGAGCCCCGATCTCACCATCACTAATCCGCATCTAAAAGGCGCGGCTGAGATGTACCAAGATGGGCTGTTGGTGACTGTTGATCTCGAGTTCATTGTTGACGCACACATCTCCGTCTTTGAAGACGCGTCATCCTACGGAAGATACGTATGCTTCGACAGAGTCATCAATTGCTACAAAGATGCCGTTGAGCTCGCCCGCATGCTCTTGCCGCCTTCTCAAACTTCATTTCTCCAAACGCAAATCCAATCCCAATCCCAAACCCCAAGGTTTGATTTGCTCTCACTCGCTTGCCATTTCAATTCATGCTTTGCTTCTCTCTCTCGTCTGAAGTGAAATGATTTGAACAATTTGTGTTGAAAGTTGAAACGTACGATTGCAGTTTTGAGGAGACGGAGACAATGGTGGTGTACCAACAGAAGATAAGCAACGAGAAACTCAACAAACTCATGGTCGACTTTGACACCGCCCTTCAACTCAGCCGTTAACTTTACTACAGTTGATACCAAAACGTCGAATGCTTGTGAATTAAGTGTGCGTTAGATATAAACGCTTTGACAAGAATGTGTAGATTTTTTTTTTTGCTCTATCTATATATAGAATTGTTAACGGGAATTTCACTTTCAACCAATCCAATCTTCGCTTTTCCTACTCTAACTTGTAACGCATGCACATGCATCATGCAGCATCTCATGTTTGGATCCTTCTAGTTTATACCATATCATTGATTCTTCAACACAAGTTTCACAATGGCCTAAAATGAGAAATAGTTGGGTGCGACATTGCCATGTGATGTTACAATTCACACATGGGATAAGTAACAACATGACAGTTCTACAGTCGCACCCAAGTATTTTTCCTCCAAAATCAATTTAATGCATAACTCAAATTCCTATTAGCATTTCCATATGCCCCATATATCCAAAACAAATCAACAACGGTACAAGAGTCAAGATAATTTACACACATAATTCAAGGCTACTTTTTCCTACCTGCAGATCTGTAGATGCATACTCAGCAGGAGGAATCTTTAAGCACTCAGTGACATAGAGACGATCGAAGAGAGCTTAAACTTGCGGACTCTAGAAGAATTTTCTGGCTGGAAGAGGACCTCTGTACTAGACCTTACATTTACCTCCATCCACTCAGAAGCTGAAGCTCCTTCGCTCCGATAATCACGAGGCGAGTACAGAACTTGAAGCCTCGAAGGGGCTGCCACAAACAAAGGGGCCAATATTTAAGCATGTGGCTAAATGCAATGTCAATTCCAAAGCTTTTAAAATTCCAATCAGGATGTATGCCTTTGCATCCTCGATCGTTTAATATACTTCAGCATAAATAATACTCAACTGAGAGAGAAGAAGAACTTGGGGAATTACCAAATCCAAGCATGCTCGTCTTTTGGATTACAAGGCGGCCAATTTTTGATCTTTTGATATTTTTCAAAGCCTGAACATCTTCCTGCTTACCCTTGAATTCTAGAAATTCTCCAAGAACATACTTACTACCTTTGAGCTCCAACCTGCAGGCCAATAAAAAAACACCAAACAGCATCCACATAAATGAATTCATTGTGTATCAAACAGCCTATTTCTCTGTAGTTCCAACTTGCATAGAAAAAATTACTTAATGATTAGACTCAGGACAGTTAAGAAAGGCCTAAATCCCCACTGACTTTGCCTCGAGTGTTAAGGAATTCGACCCTTCAGTTCTTCGTAGTTGGTTCATTAACATTTTACATATCAGCTTACCCATATATTTATTCCTGTGGTTGTAGCGTGTATTGAGTTTCATAATTGTGAATTATATGGGGTTGGCTCTGAGCCGGCTTCACCATGGCTTATAAGATAATACCAAATCCCAATTCCGAGGAAAACTTTGAAAGGGCAACAAACCTATCCCACGTTGGAGCTGTACTAAGAATGAAATCAAGCTTCTGATGCACAGATTCTTGCATCTCTTTCTTTCCACCACGGAAGGCACCTTTAAACCAACCAGAAAACATGTTTTTTGGTTCTGGTTTCAGCTGCACCCACTGGTCATAGGTTACGACTTCTGATGGAAAATTGCTTGATTGAATGGTACTACAGAAAAATAAATACATATAAGTAAGACACTAAGACGTCGATACACAAAAAAAGTAAGAAATGTTATTAGCATGAAAAGTAATTAGATTCGAAGGGCAATTGCACCATCCTAAAATTCCTTCTTAAAAACAATTTGCAATGCATGGCTTTAAACGTCAATACCTCTCAACCACATATATCTACACCTACATGTCAAAACCTCTTAAAGCCAGCCACCCCCCACTCTTTTGATAGTTCAAGAAATGTTCAGAAATCAGTCTTTGTTCACTAGTAGACCAAGTAATAATGAGCAATTGAAAACATGAGAGGATTCCAGGACGTACCAAACTTTTGGATTGGAAAGGATTACTTTGCAAGACAAATATCCTTGTGGTAAAGCAACTCCTCTTTGTTCTAAATATGATTCAAGAATTGAAGCTCGTTTTTTGGTCTCCAACACCTGAAAAGTAGAAAAAATGAGGATAGAAAAGTAAAGACCAAATTCCAAATTCCTTATTTACGTGATAGATACTAGATAGGGCCGTAGATGTTATACTAAATGATCACAAATGAATATCCATGCCGCCATTGTCTACGAAAATGGAATGCATACAGAAAAAGGTATAGAGAATGCAAACCGTGCACTGGTAAGTCATGAAATAAACCTTTGAATCAAAGTATTACCTGGTTACAAATGATTCGCGATTGCATTTAACAGGCCACACAAACACATTGGCAGGCAGCAATGAAGATGCTTGCTAGGACTTAGGAGGAGAAGAAAAAAAAATGCTAAATTAAGGGAAGGGAAGAAGAAGGGTCTTACAGGGTCAGGTAGGTGCTGTGCCTTGTGATTACTACTGTAGCCCTCACAAACCCAGCTGCCATCCGCATTCACTGAAACTAATCCTGATACATTCTTTACACTCACGACCGCTGCCTCCCTTTTTTTTTTTTTTTTTTATTATTTTGAATTTGATTTTTTGTAAAGAAAAAACACAAGCAAACGAAGACGAACAACAGATAGATTCATCCATCAGCATAATAGATAGAAAAAAGAAAAACAATTGAAAATAAAAATAATAAAAATAGAGTCAGGAGGGTTTAGTTTAGGGGTTACCCTTCGGAGACGAGGACCAAATCGATAGTCTGAGGGGAAGCGGTATCAGCATCGGGAATGCGAAGGCCGACGTAGACCTTACCGCCGTAAAGCTTGGCCAGCCTGTCACCGACGGAGAAGAGAGCCTTGGAATCAGAGGTCTCCAGGTCCAAGACGTCGTCGTCATCGGAGGAGACGAACCACCTGTACAACTGGTATATTATCAGCCCGCAGATGATCTCTAACCACATCCTCTCGATTCGATTCGATACACTCTCTCAATTCTGAATTCTAAATTTCTGACTCGTGAGATTTTTATTAAGTTTCTAATTTCTTCGCCGCGTTCGTCTGATTTTGGTGAAAGTAGTGGTTAGACTTTGGGAAGGGAAAGGACTCATCAGTAATTTCAAGTGTCGGGGGAGGACCGACAATAGATTGGAGATAATGACCGCTTTCTTCCTTTGCTTAACGCGCTCTATTTATTTTTCTTTCTAGGTTTTATTTATTTTTGTGTCTTTTTCTATCGGTGCATATTTATTGACGTGCGTTTTAATTTGATTTGAGTGCATAAGAAAGTGTTAATATGGGGTGGTGGCTTGATCCGGATAAATGCTAATATTCAACTATCACGAATTTCGAATTTTTTCATGTGCTTATTATCATGAAAAATGATGAGGAAAAAAAAAGCTTTACATTATCAGTTATATTCTTTTCAAAAGATACGATGGATGATCTACATTCTACACATTTCTAATAAAACATGTTCTAGCTTTCCTCAGCCTTGCCATTGCTGACAACATTATTATTCTCTTCCCGTGAGTTTTCCTCATGGACTTGGTGCAAGCTCCATTCTTGGTTTCTGTTAGCGTCCATGCCCATTCTCTTCATAGAATTCAACTACCATTGGAGGCAAATCATAGTCTATCTCACTATCTGTTAGCTCACCATTTTCCTTGCCACGCTTATCCGCCACACCATCCTCCAGTAATCTAGACAATTCCTCAATATTTTCAATAGAAGCTGCCTCCTTGTCTCTGAGCTCATCTTTTTCATTAACAATGCACTGGAACTCGTTCTCTTCGTTCAATATGCTTTCCTTTAGTTTCATGTTCTCAGCCTTTGCTTCTGCAAGAGCTTCCTACAAGAAGATAACTTCATATTCAACTTCCTTCAAGCTATCTTTCAACTGGGCTTCTCCGTCCTTCAAAGCACAAGCTTCTTCATTGGATTTTGTGTGCAAATTTAGCAGCCTGTTTATTTCTTTTTCCTTCAAAGAGATTTCTTCTTCTGAATGTTTCACACAATTCGCCAAGTGAAGTTCTTTCTCCTCCCAGTCAGCCTTTGCGATTTTAAACTCGGTCTTGCATTGTTCAAGGTTACTTGTAACAAGATACATTTCGTGTTTTGCATCATCAAGCATGCCTTCATACTTTTCGTTGGTTGCTTTCAAGACCATTTTCAGGTCTTCTATCTGCAACTCATTACTCTCATACTCAGCTTGATTAGACAGCAGTTTTTCTTTGGCTTTTCTTGCTTCTGTGGAGACTTCATGTAAGGCTGAAGCTAAGCTTTCCATTGCTTTCTTGCTCCTCTTTTTTATCCCTAGGATTTTCCAAATCATTTATGAGTTTGTTTTTCTCTTCTAATAGGGTTTGATATTGGATGTGGCAAGCTTCTCATTGCTTAAAGCCTGCGTTTTCTCCTCCTTCAAAGTTTCAAGCTCAGACTTAAGTGACTCAACTCTTTTTGTCATTTCATATTTTTCTTTTTTGGCCATCTCAAGACAAAGTTCTGATCCTCAAGATCCCCTCTATGTCTTCCAATTGTAATTTCCAGCAACCTCACCTTCCCTTTATGAGCAAAAATTTCAGATTCTGCATCATGCAACAACTCAATGTTTCCCTCGAGTTGTTTCATGACTGAATCCAAAGATTCTGATGCAGACCTCTCCAACTTATTTGCTTCTTCAACCTGCATCTCTAATTGTTCAACCCTAATTTTGCGCTCCTCAACTACACTACGTGCATAAGATTCAGCCATCTTGGCTGATTCTAGCTCAATGTTGAGCTGTTCAATGAAAGCCTCTTTCTCTGTCAATCTCTCTCCCGTAACCTTTTGATTTCTCAAGTTCTTGTTTGAGATAGTCTACCTCCGATATAAGGCTAACCTTGCTGCTCTCGCTAGGCTCTGTTTCAAGTTTTGCATCTAGCAAGGCCCTTAACTAAGTCAACTCGGCTTAAAGAATCTCCACCTTATTGGCATGAATCTCAACAATCTTGGTTGCATCATCAGCATGAGCCAGTGCCAGATTTTTGGCATCACAGGTCATGGTCAATTCTTGCTTCACCCTTTGAAGTTTCTGAGTGGTAGAAAGTATAGTGGATACGTCCAAAGCATGTTAGTTCCTCACAACTTCAAGCTCTTTCACCCATTCCTCTTCCTTCTTTTGCGATGCTTCCATTCCTGCCTGCTCCAACTCAACAGCGCGAAACTTCTCAATTTCAGAATTGTCCTCGGCTCGCTTTTGAGCCACCAAAGCCTTTCTGAGTTTCTCATGTGCCTCGTCGGCCACTTTCTGCGCTTCTTTCAATTCGTCAATTGTTTTTTACTTCTCTTTCTCAATCAGAACAATCTGCTCCTTTGCCTTCTTCAGATCTTCTTGAACAAGACCTAAATGAGTTTCTGATCCCTTTGCAACCCGTATCGGTTGGTTCTGAAAATAATATAAATCAACAATGTGGATCAAAATACGCAAATAAGGACTGATTTCATCATTTACGTTTGCTGTAATAAGTTCAAAGGAACTAAACGAAATGTAGTACCAAAAAAGAAAATACAAGACTACAAACAGGTGTAGTTGGTAAAAGTAAACTCACATCAAGTGGGGTGGGGGTGGGGGTAGTGATCTTGGGTGAGCAACGCTCAACAGCAGCCTTGGAGTTGACAGAGCGCGGGGTACGATCAACTGAAAGGCGAGAATTTTGCAAAGGAGAAGGAGAAACGGATTCGAATTTAACAACTCCCCAGCTGAATTTACTAACACCAGAATTTTGCTGGTGATGCTTTTTTGAGGAGTATCAGATACAGTATATCAACAAGAAGAAGCCATATTATTGAATAAACAAAACAATGCAAACATAATCGAGCAAAGAAGAGATGGATCTGCCACAAAATTTGGAAATTTATAACCAAACACGCGCGCGCGCGCGCACAGAATGTAAATGTAAATAATATGTGAAAGTAAGGCATAAGTTGTTCAACAACAGATCCAACGAAATATGGATAAAAATCAAAGAATTGAAGGAATAACTAATATGAGGATCAAGAATTAAGAAAATAAGTACAACCCAGGTGGAGAATAACCAACCAATATAGAACCAACGAAAGTAAAAGGTTGAAAATTGGAGCAAATATCAGATTTTTTTTTTTTGTTGGGTTACAAGCAAATATTAGATTTTTGAGTTGATGAGAAGGGAAAAGGATCATATTCTAGGGACTTCGTGATCACGACCTTTATTGTACATCGTGTGGTCAGTTTTCGTTAAGTACTATTTACATTTAATTTTAAATTTTAAAATGATTTCTGACCGCACGATATACGAAACGTTTCCAATCACGAAATCCCTAAAGCCATCTCCAACCGAGGGCTGGCCAGAGGGCTCGTTTTAACCCTCTGACCCTCTAAGATATTAATATTTTAATGAACAGTACATGGTCATATTTGCCTCCATCTCCAACCGAGGGCCATATGGCTTGTTTTAGCCTTGTCACAAAAAACCGTCTCCAACCGAGGGCCAAAGGGTCATAGGACCAGACATAATTTATTATTTAAATTTAAAAACTACAATAACTTAAATTCAAATCCAACAACTTAAATTTAAAAACTACAACGGTAATTGGCCCAAAAAACCAAAAAAATTAGAACTTAAATTTAATGAATGGTTTAGGTATTTATAGGAAAAAAAATAGAATTTTTAAGAATTTAAAAAAAAAAAATTTGTCCCAAAAAACCAAAAAAAAAAAAAAAAAAATTTGAATACAATGGCTAGTCAACTAGTCGTTGGATTCAAATTTTTGTTTAAGCATTCCTGTCGGTTATAACCGACATGATTGCTCTATTTTCCAACCAGCCAGCCCTTTGACCCTTTCAGATTCCGTGGGGCCCACGAGCCATCTAGCCTAGCTCTCAGTTGGAGACGGTTTTCGGGTTATTTTCGGCCCTCTGGCCTTCTAGACCCTTCGGTTGGAGATGGCCTAAGATCCTCGGCAAAAGGATCCAACGATGATCCTTTTCTGAAGAGAAGAGAAGAGAGGAGACAAAAAAGGATCAAGTGTTGTAATAAAAGCAAATCCCTAGCGCCCACTAATCGGGAAATGGAGAAGAAAAATCCGAAATCAATTGAAAAGGACATACATCAAATCCGAAAACACCAGATATCCCCGTCCTGTCTCCTCCTTTATTTTGTTTACATAACATTGTTTTTCTTCCAACTTGATCTGAGTTGCAGTAATCTAAACCATATATAGAAACCATCATCCCATGAAACAAACATGCAAACAGAGACATTAACAATTATGCATCAACTTCATTTTTATATAAAAGAGATGAGATTATTGGAGAATGGAGATAGAGAAACTTGATTAGAGTGCAAGAGCAAGACTGAATGAAATGATGAAACTTAGAAGAGAGATATTACATGGTTCAATTGTCATCATATGAAACATGGAAACTGGTAGTGCAGCCGGATGCCTCAGGATCCTCAGCCCCACAACAGTCGTAGAACTTAGTAGCGTATGGTGGATCGTTGGGTCCCAATTCATAGTACCTTCAATTCAATAAAGAATAATAAAACATCAATCAAGTTAAGGTGTGTTTTCTAATTAATCAAATATACCAGACCCTAGGAAAGATAGAATCATAGTTATTGGATCTCTCTCTCTCTCCCGATATTTCTAGTCGACTGGGAAACATTCGCAGTTTTCCATAATCTTGAAGGTCAAGTAGAATAACTTGACTTTTAAATATACTGTTATTTGATTCTCAGTATTCCAAGTTAGATAATTCAAACCTACGCAGCCTAAATTGTAAACCCGACCTGTGAGAATATATGCTATTCCACCCCGCCCCCTAGTGCCCCTACTTCCTATACTAAATTCCTGATTCCTGCCTGTGAATTGTGATATGCAACCCGAACTCAAAATCAAAATCAAAGTCGAAATCGAGATCGAGGAAGAAAGTAAGTAAACCCATCTTGAATCAGAAACACAGATTATGCAAATTGGCATCCACCAGTTAGTTAAACAATGACTCAAAAATTCTCACTCCATCCATCCACTACACTAATCAAAGATCGAAATTCAACGAAATTAATTACAGTAAAAAAGAACTCAGGACAACACATTGGAATGGAGAGAGAGAGAGAGAGAGAGAGAGAGAGAGAGAGAGAGAGTTCAGAGTTGTACCTTTTCTGGTCGTCATGACGGCGACAGACGAAGAAAGAAGGGTGGAAGCGGCATGAGGAAGAGGTGTTAAGAGGAGACTCTGTAACTTTCTTTACACCTCTTGCATACCTTTCCCTTATGCTCCTTCCTCTCCCTCTCACTCTTTTTCTCCATCTCTCTCATCTCTCTCCGAGAAGATCTATATGGTGGCAATCCCAAACCAAAGGAGATAATTGACATGGACACCCTTTTTATTTGCGTGTGACAAAGAAACGTGTCGTCAACCCAACCAGGAGTTGTTATTATCCAATGTGTTGAATCCGAACGTCATCTAAAAATAACTGGCAGTCCATATGTTTTGTTTCATTGGCAGCTGACGCCATGCGAAGTTATACCGTAAGTTGTTCTCAAATAAATAATTCAACCAAGTGAAACGCCTGGTTGGCCAACTGGCCATGCGTCCCTGCCATTGTTAATAATTGTCAGTCGGTCCAATGGACGGACCCATTTAGGTAGAAGTATTAAGGAACGAAAATCTCCACAACAAACATGACTGCTGAATACAGAGAGTTTATTTTATTTCCCCAGCAGGGTTACAGATGGAATTTACTTTAGTCTATAGCTCAGTACCAAGTACCAACCAAGAAAGCTAAAAAAACACAGCAACAAATGAATTTTCAAATAACCAGACAGCCCTATAAAATGTAGTACTCAAACACATAAATATGTAAACCACTACTACTACTGTGACAGAGACACCCCTGCCCTTCCTTCATAAACATCTCTTTTGGAGGACAATACCATTTAGACTAAAACGCTGCCTCATTGCTCCGCCATTCAAAGGAATGCATCTCTAAGCCTGCAAAAAGCTCGCATACTTGGCACCTAGGAAAAGCCTTTGGATACATAGCAGGGCATTTTTGGTGACCTCGGCACTCTCATGATCCATCAGTTTCATCACGCGTTCCTTGGCCTTGAGGTCCGTCACTATGACTCTTCCAGCCGGATGCTGCTGGACAAACTGTGAGATATCAAAGCAGGCTACGGCCAAAGCCCTAGGATCACTGGATGTGTCCAAGATAGTAATCAGGACTCTAAGAATCTGCAAGACAAGGTCATGCATCATTAGTTCTACGAGAGCCACGAGTTTCTTCAAAAGATCTGCAATTACTTTCTGCATATAATTTAATACTGCCTTTAGAACCAAGTAAATGGACCCAATTCACTACCACTTTTCCATGGAATGTAATCCAACAGTGTCTCGGAAAACAAAGCTATCCAGGAAAAACTAACAAAACACATGAAACACCTTGAGTAGTCCAGTAACCATAATACCATATGCATTAGCATGTGTCTCTGTGTGCACGCTCAAAGTAGCTACTACCAAGTTTTAGCTATAAACCTAGGACTCATGACAGATACCCTATTGCGATTAATAACAACACAACATCGGAGACACATCTTATGGGACAAATAATTTCAAGGATTAGTTCAGCCCCACTGAATTAACTAAGCCCAATAGAACCCAGAAATAAAGTATACAACACCAGCCATTAAGCAAATAATCTAATTTCTTCCATAAAAGGAGAAACACTAGCAAATTAGAAGAGAGAAATCTTGGGCAAGAAACAAAATAGTACCTGAAAGTCGTTCTCTTCAAAATTGGTAATATTCTCTCGCCAGAATATTGGATCCTTGTGCATGGGTGACCAGTCAAGATGGCCAAGGAGGACTTCTTGCTTATACTTGTCAAAAGAACTTAATTTCTTGATGTTATCCTTCATACCTTCTTCCAGTTGATTTAATCCCTCCAGGAGATCCTACAAGAAACTTCATTTCATTAGGGAAACCGCATCAATGATTTATAATTTAAAAGAACGCATGTACAAGAACAACAATAGCTCCACGAGCAAGTTGGTTCCTTTCATTTAACTTGTTATACCAAGTTAGTCTGAATGCCGTCCTTTTGGTCCGACCACATAAAATGCAGACTATCAAAAGAAGCATATAGTCTCTCGGTTTTTCACCTCATCACTCCATGCTTGTGCTTTCAAACTCTGAACGATTTGTGGCAGTCCAAGGTCCACCATTTGAGCACCAAACGTCCCTTTTGAGAGCAAGTTCCTCAGGGTCAAAACAACAACTCTGACAACCTACCACAAATAACCAAACCCATATTACAAATAAAAGATGCATTTACATGTACACCTCTGTTATAAGGACAAGTTTAACACGGACAAGTATACACAAATTAATCTTGAATGAAACAATATAGCATCCCGGAAGGCAAGATCCTCACCTTCTCCTTTGTGGAACTCTTGACAACTTCTATCAGTCGTGGTAGAGCTCTAGAAGTAGCCAAGTACTCGATTGCAGGTTCATAATAAGATAAGAGCCAGATGCATAGACATGTTTCATAAAGAAGCTGTTTGAAACAAAATATATTGTCAAAAAAAGAAAATCACAAAGTCAAGAAACTAATATGGAAGCTGTCTACAATAAGAGTTACCTGAATAGATTGTTGGGTGGAAGCTGGAGAAATTAAGGGAACAAGCAACTTCACCCCATCTAATTGAACAAAGGAAGATCTAACTACAGGTTCCTTTAGTAAGGTTGCAAGGCAATTGATGGCAGTTGGGATACCACGACTGGGATGGGAAGGCTTCTTCAACTGCAATTACATATACCATAAGAAGCATGTTTAGACAACCAATATCATCCAAAATGATAACCACTAAGCGATAGCTGCGATATCAACAGAATAATTGATTAAATTTGAGGAAATGTGGAAATCACTGGTCCGACAACTTTTAAAGTACTCTATTGCATTTCGTAGAACGTGTAACCCCAAGCTGAAAGCATACCTGTGCACACAGCCATTCCACCAATCCTTTCAATACATCATCAATAGTAGTTATTTTTCTCTTTGAATTTGAGGCTTCTCCATTTGCAGAAGAGCCATCTTGGAGTTTTGGCCTGGCACTATATTAAAAGAGAAACATTAATGAAAATAAACTGCACTCTATTGATTCTTTAAATATTTGAATTTCACTTTAGATGTGTGTCATGTTTGAGTACCTCACTATTAAAGCAAGTATCTTACAGCTCTTCTCTTGTATGAACCAATTACTCTTCCAGAGCAACCTGAAAAGAAACGCGGTGGTTTTTTTTTTTTTTTTTTTCTTTGCACAGACAAAACGATTACTTAGGGTGTCACAGAATTGGTAAATATGTGCTGACCTCAAGAAAGGCTCATAGATATCTTTATCAACAAGACTACTATCATGGAACAATCTTGCTCTTTTTGGGTTAGCTAAAAATAGAAAAGAGAAAAGGTTATGGATTTATGAAAAGGCGTGCAATCTTTAATCCACAAGATGTTCCGATTTGGTACCTGTAAGCACTTCATCAATTAAAGCAAGGACATACTCCACCGTTTCTTCCTTGAAAATATCACGTAAAATGCCAACGAACATTTGAACATAAGCAGGGCCATCCTGCCACATTTGAACAGCTTGCCAACATCATTGTGAGAAACAAACCAGAAGACAAAGAAAAATCAATCTTTTTCAGCCAATCCAGAAGATATCTCCACTAAGATTAAGGAAAAGCAAAGCATGGAATGAAGCCAGGCAGCATCGAGCAACATGGATGTGGGATGAATGTACAAATAAAGAAAAGCAAAAGTAAAACAGACAAGGAAGGAGCAGTGGGCGGAATTACATCATCGAGAAGCTGTGATCTGTAGCTCTCGGATCTTTTATCGTAGCGCCTCAAGAGCTGAAGGCAGGTTCCAGTGATGAGTTTAGTGGTCATGTAAGTCTCCCATGGGATGTCCCTATTCAAAACCTTGACAAGGAAAAAATGGGAAATCAAACAGCTTCATCGACAAAACAAAACAAAACAGACAGATCCAAAGATGAGATTTGCGAATTGTAATTCCCAATTCCCATGGAAAGTACGGCAACAAGTGATCGGAAGTAGGACGAACCTGTTCGGTGGTGAGCTCAGCATGGTCCATTGCTCTAATTACACAAAATCAAGTTCAGAATTTCAACAGTTCGAGCACCTAGAGATGGAGAAATAAACAGCCAGATCGATGCATCAGACAGATTTACTCCACAATTTCAGTTAATGATTACAGCAAGATGAATTGAAACAATGCGAAAGTATCAAATGTAAGTGGTAATTGACACTAAAATTCTGGATCGGCCGGGGGCTCACCTCTCTGTGTCTCTCTCTCTGTCTATCCGTGGCTTCGTATCGTATGGACTCGCGAGAGAGCGAAGCAATTACGTTTATTTTGTAGACGTGGCCCTATGGGACCGCGAAACGTAGTAAGTACTTTTGTCTTTACCATATTATGGAGATGGACTAATGGGTTGGGCCGAAGCTAAAAATGCCAGGGGATGAGTGAACTGGATAGTAGCCGAACCCAACCCAAGTACAAATAATAATCAAATTATGAAACAAAAAATGATAAGAAACATAAAATAAAATAAATGGAAAAAGATGCAAGGAAAGTTGAAAAGATTAGAAGATTTGACGGATTGAACGGAATGAAAAACAAGTTGAAGAAGTTGCGGTTGAAGGGGTCTTCCTAATAGGAGGCACGAGTGCTTGAAAATTTCGATAGAAGTAGATAGATAGATAGAGAGAGAGAGAGGAGCGAGCGAGCGAGAGGAGCGAGCGAGCGAGAGAGCGAGGATGTCTGTATCGGTTGTTGTTTCTCCTCCGCACATAATCGGCGCCACGAGTGCGGCCCTGACCCTGGGCTGCTCTCCACCACTCTCTTCTCCACATTCCCCTCGCATTTCTGTCTTTTTATACCCCCCTTCCACTCCCCCCGCGCCTTATCCATCGCGTCCTTCTTCAAAAAATAGAGTTACTTCCTCCTCCTCCAGCTCCTCTGCCGCCTTTGCTTTTCTCCATCACACCCCCGCAACCGCAACCATGACCAGAGGGCCACGTGGATTTCTCAGTGCCTCCTCCTCCTCCTGCTGCTGCTGTAGCTTTAGAGCTCACTCACCTGATCACTTTGAGAGCGCTGATGACGATGATGAAGATGAAAGTCCTTCTGCTGATACTGATGAGGAGGAAGAAGAATACGCCGACGGGGATTTTGGGTCGCCTGATAGATGGGACGTTTTGGGCCTGGGACAAGCCATGGTAATTTTACTCTTCTCTTTCAATGCTTCCTTGCTTGCTTAATTCTGTGTTCCGGTTACGAATTACGAATTACAAATTACAAATTACAATGCTGCTGCTTTGCTTCAGTTTTAGGAAAACAATCGAAATCAGGAAACAACCAGCCGCCCTTTGTTTGATATTTGATTTATGACAGCATTCACTTAACCAAACAGAAACAACAAGGATTGTAATTTCAGTCTTCTGTTTTCAAATCACACAAGGCACATACGTCATTTGAATTAGGGCTCACAAAAAACTGATTACTATTATTTCAATACTCTTTGCCTTTATTTGCAAATCGCTTTCATCTGCGTTTACCTGCACCCCAGGCCCTGTTGTAGCCAAGCAAATTAAGGGGTGGACATGAAAATTGTATTTTGAATCTTGTAGCTTATGCTGTTCAAGTTTCTAATGGAATTAGAGTGGTACTTCGTACTGAGCTGACCTAAGTGTGCAAAGATGTTAATTTGGTATGGAATGATATAAACTAATTCTTGCATTTGTTATGATGTCTTCCTAGGTCGACTTTTCTGGGACTGTTGATGATGAGTTCCTGGAGAAATTGGGATTGGAAAAGGGAACAAGGAAGCTTGTGAATCATGAAGAGAGAGGTAGAGTTTTGAGAGCTATGGATGGTTGTAGCTATAAGGCTGCTGCTGGTGGGTCTCTTTCCAACACTTTAGTGGCCTTGGCAAGGCTTGGTAGTGGCTCCATTGCAGGCTCTACCTTGAATGTAGCTATGGCAGGGAGTGTCGGGAGTGATCCATTGGGTGATTTTTACAGGTCAGGCTCTTACAACCATAATTCAGTAGGGTTTTTGCTTTTTGATTATCACTACAATATAGGGATCAATCCTATCTTCTTCTTTTGAAATCTCCTGTAATACAGCAACTATCACATAACTGAAGGTTGCCATATCAGTCGTTGGCACTCAGCTTGTATTTAAATTTCAACTATTTGGTTACTGTTCTATAGGTTCTTTAATATTTTGTTGAGTGATCTGACAAAATTTAGAATCTTTCACATCGTATGTATAGGACCAAGTTACGTCGTGCAAATTTGCATTTTCTTTCTGAACCTATCAAGGATGGGACAACAGGGACGGTGATAGTTCTCACAACTTCAGATGCCCAGCGTACAATGCTTGCATATCAGGTCAAATATGTTTTGATGACTAAAAGCTTTACGATATTACTGACACTTACGTTCTTTTCTTGCTGTTAATTCTTTCATCAGTATATATGATTTATTCATGTATCCCTTTTATGAGGTAAATCAAATTAGGCCCTAATATGCCTGTTTTAATGGTCCCAGGGTACATCTTCAACTGTTAATTATGATCCATGCTTGGCTAGCACAGTTTGCAATACAAAAATATTTGTAGTCGAGGGTTATTTATTCGAACTTCCTGATACAATCAAAACAATTACAAAAGCATGTGAAGTAGCACGCAAGAGCGGTGCCCTGGTTGCAGTTACAGCATCAGATGTCTCCTGCATTGAGAGACACTATGATGATTTCTGGTATTGTTAATTTGTTTACGGCATGATACTTGTACATTTTATAGATGACATTCAAACTTTATTCAATAAGCCATGTATTGTGGTGGCTCTCATGCTTTAACACAAACTGAATGCAATGGTATGATTTCTGTTATATTGCATATAGGGAATAAAGTTTTAAAATAATGGAGGCATTAGAAACTTGATGATAAGTTACCATCATTGTTCTTGTGGGTCCCTGTGTGTAAGGTATTGGAAAGAATTCATGTCCTCATCTGAGACTGGTGTATGAATTCCTTAGCAGTATAATTGATAAAGAGGGTTGTAATATTGGACGTTTGGTTTTGTCAACACTACACCATTTGTGACATGTAGGATGCATGGATGGTGGTTATGATATTTGGGACTTGGGAGTGTTCTGGTATACATTCGTGGAGTGAACAATGATTTACGTGATTTTAACTTTATACAGGGAAATTGTTGGAAACTATGCCGACATTGTTTTTGCAAACAGTGACGAAGCAAGAGCATTCTGCCATTTTTCCTCAAAGGAGAGCCCCGTTTCAGCTACAAGGTATCTGAGCCATTTTGTTCCCCTGGCATCAGTTACGGATGGACCAAGAGGCTCTTACATTGGTGTAAAAGGAGAAGCTGTATATATTCCTCCTTCTCCATGTGTACCAGTGGACACTTGTGGTGCTGGAGATGCATATGCTTCTGGAATTTTGTATGGTATTCTACGAGGAGTGTCAGATTTGAAAGGAATAGGTACACTAGCGGCAAGGGTTGCAGCCACAGTGGTGGGGCAGCAGGGCACACGACTTAGGGTTCAAGATGCAGTAGAGTTGGCAGAATCATTTGCATGCCATGTTGATAGTTCCCGCATTAGATCAGACATTGGATCAGATCGTTTATCCAGCTTCTAATTTAATTAGGACCCTTTGTTGATTTCGCAAAATTCTTTTGTGAGATGTATTCGTTGTTCATATTTGTACATTTGATTGTATAACATTATGGTGCAATGCAAAGCTCTATTGGAAGCAAAACTTTTAATTTATAACTCCAGGCACTTTTGACAGAAACCCTAATCACTTAACCTAAGCTTACCTTTGTAATTGAATGAGTTTTTGTGGCCGCCACCTAACTAATCTTCCATCTTGCTCCTGGTGACTTATATATAGTACCATGCATTGCCTCCAAGAATGTATCACACGTTTAAAAATTGGGTAAATTACACTTTCATACCTCAGGTTTGAGATCTATTTCAATTCCTTACAACATCTTTAAAACATTTCACTTTCATGCTTTAAGTACTATTTTATTTCAAAATAATACCTCCGTTACATTTTCCATCCATTGATCTGTTAAATGCTGACGTGGTTGCCACATATGTGTCACGTGGCAAATAAAATATTTTTTAATTTTTTTTTTAAAAACCTGAATTTTCTCAAAAAAAGAAAAAAAAAGGGGTAAATTACACTTTCATACCTCAGGTTTGGAGTCTATTTCAATTCCTTACAACATATTCAAAACATTTCACTTTCATACCTTAAGTACTATTTTATTTCAAAATAATACCTCTGTTACATTTTCCATTCATTGATCTGTTAAATGCTAACGTGGCTGCCAAATGTCTATCACGTGGCAAATAAATTTTTTTTTATTTTAAACCTGAATTTTCTCAAAAAAAAAATTGAAACCCACCATCCCTCCCCGACCCCCCCCCCCGGGGGAACCCACATCCCTATCCCTAACCCAAAACCTACTGCAGCAGCAAGAAGAAGAAGAGGGAGGAAGAAGGGAAAAAAAAAAAAAAAACCTGCAGCAGCAGCAGGAGGAAGAAGAAGAAGGAAAAAAAAACCCCAAACCCAATTCGTTCCCGCCCCCCCCCCCCCCGCGGCGCCGTGCAACCTTCCCCGCCCCCCTCGTGCAGGATCTCATGATTTTCAGTATGGGTGCGTTTTGAAAATACTTTGAGTTTGAGATGATTTTTGGACTGGTTTTGTGGTAGATTCACCTAATCTCGGGTGTCGGGTGGAATTTTTGTGGGTGATGGGGGATTTTTGGGAAGGGTGATGGGGGATGGGAGAAAGGGGTGGCTCGGGTGGGAGGAACTGGGACTTTTTTTATTTTTTATTTTTTATTCCTCCCTCTTCTTCTTCTTCTTCTTCTTCTTCTTGCAGGTTTTTGGGTTCTGGATTAGGGTTGCTTTTTTTTGGGGGGGGGGGGGGGGGGGGGGGGGGGGGAAGGCATTGGTTTCTTTTTTTTTTTTTTTTTTTTTTTGAGAAAATTCAGGTTTTTTAAAAAAAATTTAAAAAAAAATTTATTTGCCATGTGACAGACATTTGGCAAGCACGTGGCATGTATGTGGCCGCCACATCAACATTTAACAGATTAATGGATGGAAAATGTAACAAATGTATTATTTTGAAATAAAAAAGTACTTAAGGTATGAAAGTGAAATGTTTTAAATATGTTGTAAGGAATTGAAATAGACCTCAAACCTGAGGTATGAAAGTGTAATTTACCCTTTTTTTCAATTTTTTTTCTTTTTTTGATAAAATTCAGGTTTTTTTAAAAAAATTTAAAAAATATTTTATTTGACACGTGGCATATACACGTCAGCATTTAACAAATCAATGGATGGAAAATGTAACAGAGGTATTATTTTGAAATAAAATAGTACTTAAGGTATGAAAGTGAAATGTTTTAAAGATGTTGTAAGGAATTGAAATAGACTCCAAACTTGAGGTATGAAAGTGTAATAATTTACCCTTAAAAATTTTCTCTCTTAGTATATGTCGTCTCCAATGTCTTTTAGTACTTCACCACTCGTGGACTTCGCTGGCCTATTTAACTGACTTTTTTCTATTCCGTCGGTTCGCTGCCGAGTTCCAGTCGAATAACCAACCTGACTGAAATGTGCCCACCTATAATAGGAACAATCGGTATCTTGTATTCTAGAGTAGGATTCGTTCTATAGCATTGGTGTCGGCGTTATCCCCTCTCAATTTCTCAATGTCAATGGTTTCACAGCTCACTTGAGTCATTTGATCCTAATTTGCGGAAGAGGATCCTCTCCGGATCCACTTTGTCATAGCCGTTCATTGTGTATTGTGCGGTCAGTTTTCGTCAGCTACTATTTTTGTTTACTTTTAAATAAAAAAATTTAAAAGATTTCTAACTGCACAATACACGATGAATAGTTAAGATGTAAGAATGCTTAGGATTTCCACAATTTGGATCTAGATGAGATCCAAATCCCTAATTTGTTGAGTCCAACCCTAATTTATTGAGTCCAAGACCAACAATAAATAAATAAATAGGATAATCCCAATAAAGAAAACAAATAATGGGATAAAGGTAAATGTGGTTATTTCTATGGACAATGATTGTCTGCCCCCCAACTTTCGGTGCCCTCCCGTGCTCTCCTGTTTGTGTGGTCACGGTTAAGCCACGTCAACATTTTATATTACTATTCATATTTGTCTTATTATCTCTATAAAAAAATTAATATAAAATGTTTACGTGCCTTAAACATGACCACACAAAACAGGAGGGCACCGGAAATGAGAGGGTAGATAATTCTTGTCCTATTTCTATTAATTAATGAAATCCTTTTTGTCAATCAAAAGATGGTGAAAATATTACTTAGTCTTCTATCACAAAAAAAAAAGGGCAATAATGTAATTTAACAGGTCCAAATTTTAGTGTTTTTCACAGATCCAAATTTCACAAATGATCTTAAAATACCTCCAATATTTTTAAAAAATATAAATATAAAAACCAAAAACAAAAACCTCCAACTCCTACCACATTCTCTCTCTCTCTCCCTTTCTCCTTCTCATTTCTTAAAAAATGTATTCATACACACAAAATGTGTAGGCAAATGCTAGTAAATATAAAGTTAAGGTAAGAGAGCTTAAACTTGCAAATCAAATTTTGTAAATTATTACTATTGATTAACATGTTTATTTTTTTATTGAAAACAGAGCATTTAATTTGTAAATTTAATCTATAAATTTAGTCTACCTAATATTATAAATACCAAAACAAAGTCATTCCTCATTTCTAAATTTTAACTTCTACGATTGGCCGATTGGCCTTTCGCCTTCGAATTCCAAGTTCCACCCGCCCACCTCCCTCTGCTATCGATTAGCTCTTAAAGTTTTATATAAATTTATTTATTTATATACATATCACTGTCGTCTTGGCATTCTCTCTTATTTCTCTTGCAAGTTTAGTTTGATTTGATTTAATTTTGAAAGAAGGAGAAGAGGAAAAGCGGAAGAAGATGGTTGCTGCCGCCGATGAGGGAACCACAGGTACAGGTATAACAACGCCGCCGAGGAGGAGCGTGGTTTTCACGTACGGCACCCTAAAGCGGGGGTTTGGGAACCACGCCTTAATGGAGGAGCTGATGAGAAGCGGAGACGCCGTATTCTTGGGCAGCTACCGAACCCAAGAAAACTTTCCGCTGGTGTGCGGGCCCTACCAGGTGCCATTTCTCCTCAACCTGCCAGGATCGGGTGAACGGGTAACGGGGGAGTTGTACGGCGTGTCGAGTGGCGGGCTGGCTCGCATGGATGAGTTGGAGGGCACGAGTCGCGGTCACTACGAGAGGCTGCCCATAAAGCTGGTGGTCCTGGAGGAGGGGGAGGCGGAGGAAGCGGAGGCGTATTTTGCGCACAGCAGCTACGCAAGGGAGCTGTGGATGAAGAACGGGAGGAGGGGTTTGAGCGCGTATTCGGAGAAAGAGGCGCGTGGGTACGTGAAGCGCAATGAAAGGCCGCAGCATCTCACCTTTCTCGACCACATTCAACTGTTTGTGTCCGCCGCCTCCGACGAACCATCAAATTCATCGGATCCATTGACTTGCAATGAATGAGACGCATTGAATTTGAATTGAATTGTAATGCTTGCATTTTCCTTTCCTTTTTTTAGTGGTAGTAGTCACTGCATGGACCGGAAATTACTGGATGGTAATTATGTAATATAATAAAAAAGAAAAGTAATATTTAAAGTTTAAGTGTAAAAAAGGAATATTGATTTAAATAAAATTTTCCTTTGTTTTTCTAAGACCTGGTTTGGTACTAAGGTGATTCTGAAAAAAGCTGCTATCAAAAAATGCTGGGAGCTATTTTTGTGTTTGGTAAACACTCAGCTTCAGCTTTTTTTTCACAGTTTTGGATGAAAAAAAAGCCAAAAACAAGAAGCTGCAAAACCCAGCTTTGAAAAACCAGCTTTTTTTCACATCTGTTTTACATAAAAGTTTACCAAACACTCTAATACTGCTTTTTTTTTTTTTTTTCAAAAGCACTTTTACAAAAAAGTTTACCAAACACTCTGCTGCTTTATTTCACAGCTGCTTATTCTCACAGCACAGCAGAAACATCTTTTTTTCAAAGCACAGCAATACCAAACCAGCCCTAAGGCTCACTGGGGAAGATGCCCCCAGTAATTCGTTTGTTTAGTTGCAGACTACAATTATATAATATACACGGGTTATCTTTGAAGAAAATATATGTATCTAATATCCAACATACATTCATTCTACATATACTCCATCTCAAATATTATATGAGCAATAGTGCTCTTATTCTGTCATTCAGTTATTTTCGGTTGTCCCTACTAGAAGAAATTTATGGCTCCGTCCCTGAGTCACTAATGCACTTAAGGTTAAGGCATGGCATTGTTGCTTGAAAGGCGTCAACAATATTCTCTCAATTGAATGAATGCGCATTGGCCGGCAAGCATTGGAGTATATATCTTTTGATTCATGTGATTGTATTGTTTCTGTTTCTTCTGCTATCGATTTCTGGTATTAGCACGACGAGTCCTAGTCTCCCCCTCGCTAGCTTCCTCTCATGTGGATTTTCTACTGGATGGGGCTCCTTGGAAGGAAGCTAAGCTTGAAAAGGGATCCAACCGTCGCCTTCGTTGGTCTTGTTGCTGTTGGATTAGGGGTGAGTACCTGTACCAGTACTATTGTATTCATCCAGTAAAAACTGTAAACAACTAATTAATTAAACGGCCGGCCGACAGCCGTTGAGGGGCCTAGAGCTCAAGGTGCAGCTAGGAGCCTAGGATCATTAGCATCGACAAAAATGAGAGGAAAAGAGGAAACGGAGAAGCATTCGGAATGACTGACTTTATAAAACCGGATGACGATTGTGATCGTAAATCGGATTCTGAGTTGATCAAACTCAACAGCTGGAACGGGTGTTGACTATTGCTCTGAGTGCACTGCTTTGCCCCCCTTCATCAATGAAGCCCTTGAAGCCACAAAATTGGTAAATACTTCACTTTTTTTTCATACAAGTACAAAACCTCGACTACAACAAGCTTTCAAATTAATTCCCCTTCTCTATTGTGCGGCGGACGAACCTTGAAAGGCTCCATGTTTGGATGGCACAAATCGAAGACCGACCTTCCCGTTATAATCGACAAATGGATGAACAAGATGAACTACTAGCTCCTAAATTATTATGGACACAAGGAAAAAATGAACATTGATTTGTTTTGGGATCTCTAGCATCTGAATAAGTAGTGAAATATGCATCACCTAATGTTCACTCGCATCACAATATCCGAATAAAGAGTGTCATACAACATAGATAAGCACAACCAGCACCAGAAATAGATAAAGCACAACCAGCACCAGAAACTTCGATAAGTAAGCCCCAACTCAACCTAGCTTAGAATCAAGTCACAGCCCTAAGGTTCCTAAAATAATGCAGCACTCTAATCTAGCAAAAATAACAGAGAAGGATAAATCCTAATCCTACTTTGCAAATAAAGAATACATAGAGAAGACCACATATGGCCAGCTGAAAGAAAACTAGTCAGATGTTATACGACGCTGGGGAGTACAACTCCCAACACTAGTAAGGCGATCGAGCACAGGACTATTTTCTAATCTTGACCAAAGCCTTACAGTAAAAAAATACATGCATGCACAGCACAGGACTATTTTAATTGAAGCCAAATAGCCTATCAGCTACATCTTCTGCACTCCAAAAGATCAATCATGTTCATGTGAAACACAATATACTAAATTGTAACTAGGTTCAGCTCACTCAGAAGACATCTGAACCAGGACTTTATCCATTACCAACAAATCTCAAAAGGCTGAAAATCCATTTTATTAATCCTCCAAACTTGTAATCAAAATTATGTTTGAAATGACAGCTTTTGCAAAGTCTGACTACTATAACCAAAGTACTGAAATAAACAACATCCACCAAAAGATTTATGGTGGCAAGACCACATAGTTACACATCCAGTTTTAAACATATATTGATCTCAAAAGATTTAAACCCCATTAATTAGCACCATTGGTAGCTCAAGAGACTGAAACGAATCTCACATGGTAGCTTCCACTTCAGGATCATTTTTTATTGGCACCGTGGGTGCATTGTTCCCACCTCTCAAACGAGAAGACACATTATCAATGGCTGAATTGAGCTGGCTTATTTTTGCATTCAAGGTCTGCCTAGTCTTCTGCTTTCCAGGAAAATGAAAAGTAACCATGAGATTTTTTTTTTTCTTATAGAGAAAAAAAATAGGGAAAAAAAAAACAAGAATAGATTGCATATCCAACAAGTGGGAAAGGCTGGATGTCCAGTTACCTCCAAACCTTCATCATAATATATAGGTCTTCTTGCCTTCCGGAATCCATATTCATCTTCATTAAGGAGAGATCTTCTAATCTGCACAAGATAAAAGTGACATCCAGAATCAAAATCCAGATGAAAAAACATATTCGGAATAGTCATCCTATAACTTTAAGGCATGGCTGGATGAGGGTTTTGTAACGATCAAGGGATTGGACTACAGTAGTAAGAAATGCATTACAAAACATTTGATAGATCGACTGAAAATGCAAAAATATGAGAATTACAAAGCCACTCAACAAATAATTTTCAAGGGACTCCTTTCTAGTAGTCATTTACAAATCTCTCTATCTAATGTTTTGCAGTGCATTTCAAACCCCTTGGTACTAAGAGATCGCTAATCTAAGCACAAGATTAAGGGCCTTGGTGTGAAGGTATGTAGTCAACAGGAATCAAGACCACATAAAGAGCACTACATTTAGACAGATAATAGTAATTTGCGAATAAGGAGCACACATTGCCAATCTTTTCATTCATATAGAGCAGTTTGCATCCTGAAATCAATGGAAGCATGGGAATCTAAAATCTAAACTTAAATTACCAATAATAATAATAATAATAGTAAGACTCGGCATGTCATCAGACAAAGTTGGAGCACCAAATTTCTGCACTAGAGCATCATTGCAGTGATCTCTTTGCTTGCATCAACAGTATAATAAATCACATAAAACTACACGGCAAGGATATAAAAGTAACATCCTAAAACAGTCAAATAATGGATTTACTCTACGAAACAGTATTTCTTTCTTCTTTGTTTAGAGTACTACAAAAATAATATTCACCAAAAAAAAAGGTGTAATCTTAGCAATGATTTATTCCAAGGAAGCATGGTAATTAGGAGAATATTAGTCAGTTTTCTTTTGGTAAGCATACAGATTTGACTTCATTAAGCAGGAGTAAAATAGATAGACATCCATGGGTGAGAAAGCGTATATTTAGGTAAATAAATAAATATGATGAACACAAGTAGAACATGATGAATGTTGAAGCTCAGAAGAGTTAGATATGGAAGCACCTGTGGAGCAAAAACGTAAGCCAAAGTCCCAAAGACAGCACCTCCTAACACAAAACCAGCGACGAAATCAGCACCGCCGCCGCCACCTCTACTATCGTCACTGCAGTGCATGTACAATGGAATCGAATAAAACAGAGAGCAATTGAGAAGTTGGAAAGTGGTTATGATGAATTGGATGAATTTGGTATGGAAACGGAATATTACCTGTACTCGGCACGAACAGTGAAATTGCGACCGGTTCGCAGGTGAATACGTTTCCTTTGGGTTTGGGCCTTGGCCTTGACGCTGCCGTTGCCGTTGGCGGAGGACCACAAAACCTCACGCGCCTTCAGCTGGCATCCGCCGCCTGCACCCATTAAAATAAACATCACTATAACATCAGACTAAACAATACACACACGATATTGTTGTTTGTTTGTTGTATGAATGAATTAAGAATAAGAATCTGCTATTCGAGATTTCCGATTCAGTCACATACCTGAGAATGAGGTGGATAGAGGAGCAAAGCAGATCGCCATTAGAATTTAGAGACACACTCAGAAATTACAGAGAGAGAAGCTGAGGAGGAGGAGGAGGAGGAGGAGGAGGAAGAGGAAAGGCCGATCTAAACTATTTCACTAAACCTGGAAGAAATGGTTGTTATATATTATAGACTGCCTTATAATTTGGATAATACACACCCGAATCATTTAATTTCCCTAATTGACCCCGGTGCTTCGAAACATAGAGATATTATATTTACACATTTCAAATTACTTCTTCTACATTCTTTTAATTTTTTTAATATTTTCTACACACCATTAACTCTTGATAGAAAAATATTTAAAAAATTTTAAAAATATAGAATAAGTAATTTGATATGTGTAAATATAATATTCCAACGCATAATTAAACAAGAAGGGTAATACCAGAAGTAAGTAAAGTTTAAAGTTACACGGCAAAGCTAATCCCTAAACTTTGTTGCTTTGGTTCCTCCGCCCCCTTTCGGTCTACCGGCCACGACCTTGGATTATCTCCTCGAACCCCGATTCGGCTTAACTGGATTTTCTTTTTCTTTTTGATAATTGAAATGATAGAAGTGAGTTTACCTTAGTCTCTCATTTATAAATTAAAAAGAATATTAATAAACTGTAATATTAGTTAGCTACTAATGCAACGTTTATTGCTCGCTTTTTGATAATGCACCTGTCGTGTGTATAGTCCTAGACGTTGGGAACAAATTTTAACTTTTACTAGAAGGAAATACTAGAAAATAGTAACGAGACAATAACTTTTCTTTTTCTTGTTAAATAAAGAATATATTAACAAGGGCAAATCTCAAAGAGAACAACAAAATAAAACAACGGACTGAGAGGAAAACTCAAAGCACCAGCAAACAAAAGGAAAAACCTGAAAACCAAAGCCTAAGCCACGCACGGGAAGGTAACAAACGTCTTAGAGCCTAAGGAGCAGCAACATTCCAATTATGGAAGACCCCCATGTTAAGGTGGAAGGTTTAGCTTTTAAAATATACAATCAACACCAAATCATATTGGTGATTAACTGAATGACTGAAGTAAGAATTTTTTTACAATTATTAAAGATGCGGTTATTCCGCTCACACCATATACATTATAGTGATTACTATAGAGAGTTTTCTAACCACCATAAGAAGAAATTTCCCCCACCATTAGGCCACCACATATTCCACAAAAGAAGGCCAAGATGGGTGAACCAGGGAACTCCATAGTCCACATTCCACACCTCATCAACACATGCCGTCAGAGACCTTCACTATAACGGCAGTCGAAGGAAAGGTGAGAGTGTTTGAATTTTTTTTTTTAATATAAGAAAAGAAAGAAAAAAAAATGAAAAGGGGAGTGAGATAAAGATTCCAACGTAGAGTCATACAACACAATTAAGATTGGCAGGAGGAGCAAACTGACCAATGTGATCACGCGTGGTCAGCTTATTCTTCATGGCTAACCACAACACAAAACTCACATGTGGAATAAACGCACTATGCCACGCCAGGATCCCAAGAAAGTTTAGGAGCACATGCCGGATGCAATTCCACATAGAAGTTGAAGAGAAAATACAATCATTGCTAGGAGCTCAAAAGGAAGAATCCAAAATCTAAGAAGGCACAATGTCGTAATAATCTAATTGAATGAAATGGAAAGTCTGGTTGGTAGTAAACGGCCAACACCACAATGTCGTTGTAATCTGACTGAATGAAAAGGAAAATCGAGTTGGTAGTAAGTCGGGTCGGTAGTTTAGACAAAGACCAGAGGCCAACACCACCTCATTGCCCTAAATGTCTAAGAGAGCCAGTTATCATACCACAGAAAGGTAGACGACCCATCTCCCACTAAAACGAGGCTTAATAAGTTCCTGACGCTTTAAAATTTTCCTCCGACTCCAAGAGCTAGTAGACGGCACTGTTAGGCTCTGAAAAAACTTGTCTTGAAGGAAATAGGCTTTGATCCATTTAGACTACACATTATCACCCCTATCCACGACAATTTATCAAAATAATTCCCCGATACCTTACCGGACCAAAGAAAGCGGAGAAAAAACTGCTCCAGGAAATAAATTTGGTTTGTGTAGTAAACAGGAGTTTAAATTTGTTTAACGTTCCAAAGTAAAATTATTAACTGCTTAAATTTGTCTTCCATTGGATTGGACTGGATAGGATCGGATCGACAAATACAACGCAGTACGCAGCGCATCAAAGGACAAAAGACGAAGAAGAAAAATGACGCAAATGCAAGGGCAGACAGAGCAGCAACATCTGGGATCTGGCCACTTTGTTGGCACATCGGCAACACATTGGCTTGCAAATTCCTAATGACTTCTTAAAATTATGGTGGCTTATTTCTCTTTATATACAAACAGCCGTAATAGTAATAGTAATACTACCGCACTCAAATACCAAACATCTAAAAACAGCACAGAAACACTAGAAAAAGTATTGGTAAATCCTATATTTGAGAAAGACCAACGACGCATCCAGGCAAGATCATCAGCCACGACTGCCACATGCATTTCAAACGCAACATAATTTACATAACGCAGCAATTCATCTTCACTTCATTTGTCTGGCAAGCGCCCAAAGAGAAGCAGTGATGTATTCACATGGTGTCTTTCAGGCAGAAGCTGCTCCGGTTTTGAAACAGGTTTCCCAGGTTGTTCCTTGTCTGGGAATGGGAATGAAAGGGAAAGGGAAAGCGATGCAGACACATCATCATCTTTCTCATCCACTACCGCTGCTTCTAAAGGCTCATCTTGGTTGTTGTCCTTCTTGTCTGCTGACCCAACAAAGAAGGGCAGCATTCCCTTATTTTGTGGTTTTGTTTCTCCCCCTAGAGCTAGCTCGAGACTTGGGAACCCTTCGCGAGACTTATCCTCATACCCTGGAGAGAAATCTTTCCACGGCACTGAGTGGTCAACTGGCCCAAAATGATGAACATGCCGTGAATCCAAAGGAAAGAAGTACCTTTCAGTATTTCCCAAGTCCTCTGGAATAACTTTCTCCTCACAGGCTTCAAAGCATCTCTTCTCCTCAACCACAGTGCTTGTACCTCTAGAAGTGCTACAGCTATCAAATCCACTTGAACCAATTTTTGGCTTCTTACTACCAATCTTGGCATCCATCTGTGTAATATTCACCTCATTCCATGGCATTTCTTGACTTGCTGCAGAAGTTGTTCTATCTGAAATAGGTATGTCTGGGTGTTTTCTATCACTAGGCTGACAAGAGTTGACTCTGGCTGCTTCTGGTTCCTTATATCCATGATCTCTCCCCAATTCCCTCTCTTGTTTAAAATCAGCTTTATCCATGTTCACTCTGTCCAGAATCACCTCCTCAACCCCTCTGGCGATACCAACCCTTTTCTTTCTATCTGGAAATCTCTCCTGACCCACACTCCCAGCAACGGCTACCTCTTGATGGGAAACAGGACGAATCTCCACAGAATCAGTGTCTTCCCTTTCAACAGAAGTGACCCAATGCACTTGCCTATTCTCACCTTTGTTAGAGCTATTTGACCCAGTTGTTGGAATAAAAGATTTAATTTCTGTGCCAACTCTGCTCTCTCGAATACAACTTTCCTGCTGCAGAATGCGAGACAATAACCCTTTAGTAAATATACGCAAATCTCAATGTCAAAACAAAACTGACCCAAAATATATCAACATCACAGTACCAACTTTTAAGAAATAAATTTTGACTAGGTAAGTTGAACCATGAGATGAGGGCCAAGCTTAAAATCCCAAACCTTCCTTACAAATTGTCCCTCTACAATACGGTTAATTAGTGTAGAGTACATCACATGACATATCACTCAGCGTGTCAACACATAGCACGGGTATCAATAAACATTCTTAGTCCAATGGATGATCATTGTGGAGTCATGTTCTGTGACATCAGTAATGCCATCTGTACTTCTACACCAAAGTGCAGGTGCTAAGCAAATAAGGATCTTTTGACTAAGAAATAATGTCATTAAGTCTTTTGACCACTGGTGAAAATATATGCATAACATCATAATCTAAAAACATCTAAAACAGCATAGCAACACTGGTCAAAATTGTTCAGCTTCACATTTTTAAGACTGAAAAGAATGAGAACAAGGCCTGCAATGACCTGATTGATAGCATCAATGAAGTCTAGTTCAGACGTTAGAAAGATACAAGAAAACTGCAAAGCAAAATGCTGAAAGAAATTAAACTCTCAGCATGACACACACACACAGATGACATACACCATTATGCACCTTATCAAGCCATATACATTCTGGAAAAGAAGAAAAAATAAAGTTACCAGGCAAGAAGTGATGCATTCAACTCCTTCAGACAAGCCAGTATTGTTTGTTGTGTTGGAATCAAGTCTACAATCCTGTACCACCAAGTTCACTTTTGAACCTGAACGCACCTCTTCAGGATAAGTATCTTTGTTCTCACGATCCTTACTAACTGTGGGGCCCATATGCAGACGCGCCTTGGAAGCACAGGGAACATCACAAGATCTGTCAGAAGGAGAAGATTCATCCATATGCTTAGGTATACATATGTTCTCACTCTCAGACAAAGTCATGGCATCAGTAGGAGCTTTATTGAATGAGTTTCTCGAGCTGGGAACACATGTCTCGGTAAAATCTAAACAATGCACCCTCATTGTCCTGAACACACCCCAAAGGAAAAATAGCATATTCCAACCTGCCAATGACAGAGAACAGATTTCAGCAGACAGTACTGACTCTAGCCTCTAGGTCAGCAAGAACAATGCTATTGCCACAAACAGTTGGCAATAAAGAGCAACTACTGCACCAATAACCAAAAATGAGGTCAAGCTGAAAGCACTCGAGGACAGGACCAAAAAGGCAAAAACATCAGCAAGACAAAAGAAGCAGCCAATTATTTAAAAGAAGACACCATCATACAGATTACACAACATGAACATTATCCCTATTTCTATACATGCTCCACAATTACAGGTTCGCAATATCAGCATCAGAACTTATTTATGCATTAAGCAGTTTAAGCCACAACTTGCACACAGCAGAACCGCATCAAACATATTGTCACTGGGTAGAACACCTAACCCAATATAATGAAACTTCAGAATTCCTTACGTTGTGATTTCTCAGGAAGCTGATTGGATGGGAATATCAGAAGTTCAACACCATCAAAATTCCCTTTGAGGGCGAGATCATTCTTGACCATAGCATCCAACAGGCTCTTGTAGTGTCTTTCGTAACTGCATCGAAAATTGAAACAATTGCATAATAGGCAAGAAAAAAATGATTTGGTGAAATAAAGAATTTGAAAATATTAAATGAAAAGAGTATATTTATCACTACCTATCAAGATCTTTGGCAAAGAAATAAAGTGCAATATTATCTTCTTTAGCACCACTTTGATGAAACTGTGATGGCCATACACTCAGGCGAGGAACTTCATTCAGAGGAATTTTGTGCGGAAATTTGTTTACCACTTCAAGGACCTTTGGCGATGCACAAGTTGACAAGTGAGCTTGAACTCCACCACATAAATCCAGAAAATTTCCACCTCTCCGCACTTCAAAACTCCCCCTGCATGAAAATAAGATAAACCTATCTTATAAGACATTTTCAACAAACATACAAAAAGGAAAACAGAAAAAATAACACCAGAAAGAAAAGGAAAGAAAATGTAGAGTATGAAGCAGACAAGATTTGACAACTAATAGAAACCAAGAGAACCATACTGCCAGATGTATTCATATTCTGGAATGGCTGTTGTCTTCACAAGAACAGACATTGCCCCTAAAGCATGATTATGAAAATCTTTCACTGTAGGCTTGCCCTGAGAATGAACAACAGAAAAAGAGTCTGCCACTTTGGAAGGGAACCCAGAATCAATGGGCTGCCCTGTAAGCTGCTTTAAATTATTGACAGTTGTATTATTGTAAGAGTCAGAAGGAGAAGTCCCAAGGATTGCATGACCATCAGGTGACTGCTCTTGAGTAGCTACTTCATAACTTAAGTCCATGTTCGACGTGGACAACTCGTCAGATTGATCGAGCACTCTGTTCTTTCTGTATATTTCAGGCTTTCGAAGCAAAGCTGCATGAATAGCATCTTTCAACCTATTACCTCTCTGTATCTCCTCCCTAGAACTTCTAGGAGCACAAGCATCAGTACCAGAAGTCTGTGAAATTCCAGCTCCGCCAAATTCCGTGTTATTACCTCTCTCTTTAAATTTTGGACTAGCTACAACAGCAGGCCTACAGCGAACAGAGCTCTCCCTGGCCTTATCATCCTGATCTGCCATTTCCCCTGATTGTGGTAACACATCTTCTAATGTTCCATCTAAATTAAAGCGTGATGTCTCAACGGTCCCAGAATAGCTGGATAAGGATTCATCCTTAGAGCTAACCTGGTTTGACCTTTGTTCAGAAGCAGAACTAGACATTCCATTCATAGATGAACCTCCACCTGCAATGGAAAACACATGGTGATACTTTAGATTATTAACACCACCTTGTCCAAGATACATAAACATCAAACTATACAAAGAAACATAAATGTATGACACAACCACGAGCTTGAAGAACACAAGTACAGAAATTGCCCAATTTCACCATCAAGAAGGAATAGACTTACCTGAAGCAACTTGAGTGTCAACACCTTTACGAGTAAGATTAGATTTTGATGAAGTACTTAATTTTCCATCAGGCAGTGCAACCTTTGGCTCTCGATTGCTCACAGATGAAAGCAAACTAGTCTCACCACGAGATGCAAGGTCACTCTTAGGAGTTGAGAAAATAGGACTAGCTGTTATCAAATTAGCCTTGGGGCGGTCTAGTTTGGACAAATTTTTTCTTTCAACTGTGCTCCACTCTTTTGCTTGTTTCAATCCTTTAAGATCTGGAACATGGCTAAATTTTGACGAGAGCATTTTAACTTTTGTTTCAGACACATTTGAACGCCCTGAGCTAGCAGATTTGAAAGACATAGATCTGCCCATCATTCTGGACACCACCCTCTCCTTCATATCAAGGGAAGCATGTTCTTTAGACCCCTTTTGCTTTTGAGGAACAACTTCATCTACAAGTTTGACTTTTGGTTTAGAGATTAAGGTGTTGAACGAATTTGACTTTGAAAATGTACCTGCAGACAGAAATACAATGAACTGTTGTTCTTTCTTAATATAGAACTCTCAAAAATGTTAAAAATGAGAAACAAGAACCCCACGAGACATCAGAAAGCAAAAGAGTTGCTATACAATAAAAAGAGGGGTAGAGATGGAGCATGAAACATGTGACCTGCATCAACAACTACTCACCCTTGGCCCGTAAACCGTTTGAAGGAGAACGTGCAGTTTCTGATATATCATTAGTAGACTGAGAAATCGGATAAGCTGACCTCAACCTGTCCTTATCTAAGCTTTTGAATGAAGATTCGCGTGATAAAGCACCCATTCTCTTAGGGCTAGATGCTTTTGGTGATCCCACACGCATTTCAAGAGCCTGCCTTTTCACAGAAGGAGCCATTTCTACGCTTTCTGCAAGTCTCTTGTTAGAGATTTGTGTACTCGTAATCACTTTCTCCATTCTTTTCACCTCCACATCTGAACCTTTAGAATTCAAATACAGAAAAGAAAAAATTAGTGCGTTTCACAACTAAATAACAGCACATTAGCATGTGTTAACTAATATAATTCAATCTGCTTTACCTTGCTTCTGGTTATCGGTTTCCTCGGCAAACTTGCATTCTTCACACAGCCATGGACCTTTAGGAACTCTCCGAAGCATTTTTCGCATACAATAGCTGTTTTCAGCAATAATAATGTTTTAAGAAATTTTTTATCAAAAGCATGAGAACAAAATAAAATATCACAAGAAAAATCCTGACATCAAAAATAAGATGAAAGACTATTACATGTGTTCTGCACCATCGCTGCACCTACTACACATGGCAAGCATATCTTCGCGGCCTGCATCCCCACAAATATCACATACTTTTACCTGTTTATGACCCCAAAAGAAAAGGCAACAGTTTTTAGTTTTTCAGCTCAAAAATGAAGAAGCCAATACAGGAAAGGAGAAGCTATAAAGCATGTCACTTACAAATAAAAATAACAAAAGATAAAACAAAAACGTTCACAAAGCCTCCACAAGGAGCCAATAACAAAAATGGATAGACAACCCCTCCTTACCCTTAACATGATGCAACTATCTAAAGTCTACTATCTCTAACATAAAGCATAAGATAATTAGGCCACAATATAGTAGAATACATCACGCATACCCCTCCTAACGAGCACTGATCCACTGGGGTAACATCCTTCAAATTAAAATGTGAAGTACTAGCGCAAAAAAAGAAAACATTTAACAATCTCTTAACGAATATCAGGGGATGTTTTCTTAATGACACTGAAAAAAGCTGCAAATACTTGTTATCTCTATATTATCTCTGAAATCTGCTAATCAACATTAGGCTAATCATAAAATTAAGTGACAATGACAACATAAATCAAGAAGCTTATATTTACAGACCTTCGGAGCTAACTACTAGCAAGAAAATATCATTTTATATGAAACCATATAGGGAGACACGTGAAGCCAGAAAAAAATTGAGGGGGAAGAAACACAAAGAACAAATAGCAAACAAATCATACATTCAACTTTTATGGGGGATGGAACTCACATCATGCTCCACAATGTCCGATTCATCACTGTCATCCCCAGATGCAGATTGCAAGGGCTGCATGTCAGCTACTTCAACCAACTCACTAGACTTAACATCTTTCTTACCGTGATCCAAACTCTTTGAAGCATCATCTTTTGGGTCTTGTCCATTACTCTCTACTTCTGTCTTTGGACATAATTTTGTAGGGACCCCTAAACTTTTATAAGAAACAAATTTCTGGCCAACAATAATATCCGACTTATTCTTAAATGATGAATCCACATGTCCAAAAAATTCTGGCAGTTTTCCCTGCATATGGGAAGATGTATCCTTTCCTAAATCAGTTAAAAATTGCATTAAAGGAAAGAGATGTACCAATTCGTGAGTAAAAGCAAGAGGTTGCACCTTTTCTGTGCTATCACCAGAATCTCCAGCTTTTACTGTGTCCGACATGACTGACTTATGTGCCTTTCCAGAAGCTAAACTACAAGACAAATTCTTCCATTCTACATTCCTGTTATGGTTACTGACTGCTTGATTTGCATCATTGGCTCTACTTATACATGAAATGTTATCATCATGGACTTCAACAGATGTATCAGAAGACCTCATTGTTGCTTTGCTTTCAGCATTTTCAGACAAAGAATCGTGACTTGAATTAACACTAAGCAGGTTACTAGTCTCACTGGTGGTATGTTGTAAACTGTCACATGCTTTTCGCTTAAAAGAAGATGAAGCATCTCCCACATTGATAGAATATTGACTAGCCGCATTAACACGACAGGTTTCATCAGAAAATTCATCAGCCTTTGACCCCATAAATGATCTATTAAGATGCAGACAAGATGAACAGGGAGCAGAGCACACTTTACAAGCACCACACTCGCCACTAATATGAACTTTCCCACCTATGGAATGCTTACCAAACGCTTTTACAGATTGAGATGACACCTAATAAATACAAAGAACCAAGTTAGTAGTGGCAGCAATACATAAATTAACAATGGAGGATTAAAAAGATATAGGAAAATCCTGACTTCGCAGCATTGAACGTATGAGAGCATGGGAAACATAAACATCAAATAAAATCCCACACCCAATGTCACTCTCAGCTTAAGGGAGTAAGGAAAAAAAACATATGCAGGAAGATGCATGTGAGAATCTCTTCAACTGGCCTGTTATATTCCCATGAATGAAAATTACTAAACTTGGAATTTGGAACAAGGAGAGAACTTTCAAATTGACATACAACAATTCCCTTGTTTGAATTTATAATAAACAAAGAGATATACAATTTGAAGTTCATAATTTCCACCTAAATAGCTGTAATTTCTGAAATTCCAAAAGAGTGAGTAATTTAAGAAAAAACAACAACTATGTACACCACCACCTCCACTACCTGGTCATCACCACCATCAGTGCCACGCTGAACACATCTACCAAACACCACCCCACATTTACAGATTGGTGCCTATAAAAGAACAAACATAAAATTCCGTCTTTAAATCCCATTACACTTTAGGTTAGCCAAACAAGACTTGACAAATTCTACAACGGCCAATTCCATCATTTTAAGTTGTATCATTTTGGAATTCCTCAGTAAATTCCTCCAATGTTCCTAAAATCTGAATTTAATCATCCATTACAACGCACTCCAAATCAGCGAGAAATGGCTAGAGTGAAATTATTTCTACCTGAATGATCGCCGGATGGTCAACAAAAAACCCGAAGTTTAATAGCCTATTTTCTTTGAAATAAGGGCTACTGCATGATATAGGAAAAGAAAAAACTGAAAATAAACAAAGGAAAAGAAAACTGAAAATAAACAAAGAAGAAAGAAGGCAAATTACCGAGAGTCATCTCACCATAGTCCTCTGAATATCATAATCAACACTTCAACAGGCCGGCCTTTGCATGCGATCACTACCTCTCCAGACTCCAGACTCCAAATTTCAGATTCCAGACTGATGCGATATAACCAGAATTACATTAAGCCCAATCTACGGTACCCAATAATACAGTACGGACTCCAATCACTGTATGAAAAGTAAATCAATTTAGAGAGAGACTAATGCAGCAGTGAAGATGCAAACCAAACGCAAATTAAATAATTAAAGAGGAGTTTTTATCAGGACCCATAAACCCAAACAATGAAATCCTAAATTCCCAATACAAAGCCATCGCCCATTGCCAATCAATCCAATTATCAATTCAGCGAATAATCCGATCACACAAAACAAAATCAAGTAATCAAATCAAAAGACAAGAGAAGAGAAGCAAGTCGGTTAGCAATTACGCGCCTCTGATTTCCTAACTCCCCCTTCCTCCCTTCCTCCCTTCCTTCCAACCTTCGTTCGCCGAGGCAATCGTCCGTCCAAGTCCCAACCCCTAGTCTAATCTAATCGAAACCCCAAACAAACACTCGGTATTGCAATGTCCTTTGCGATGCTGCCGCACGATTCAATTAAAGCCCTAACTTTCCCAGCATATGACATTCAAATCAACTCTCAGACAGAACCACATAACCATCTACTCTAACCACACACAATCTCATTCATACATATAATAATGTTTTTGTAAATACAATAATACACGCATATGCATACATATATATAGATGACATGGATAGACACAAATCAAAAAAATTAAAATCATCCAATCATAAATAAGTTAATGAACATAACTAACACTTGGTGGTGACAAAAAAATACACCCCATATGTATAGGAGGCGGTGGATCAAGTGGCAAAGATTTTGACAAAAGATAGTGTTATTCATAGGGGTGCAATTTAGGTTGGGCCAATCCGAACCCGACCATGTCTAATTCGACTTTAAATCCAAACAAGCGAGTTTTTTTTTTAGTTATAACCCGCCCTAACCCAACCCAATTTCAACCTGTTCATTGATTGGGTTTAGTTGGACTGACCATTTTCCCGTCCAATCCCAACCAAACTCAACCCAACTAACCAAACCCCAATCTAACCAGATTGTAACTTATACTATACCCAACTGAGCCAAGTCCAAAAATCAACGCCCTTTCTAATATAATAAATTACCGTTTATAATTACTTAAGTTTTTAGGGAATAAGAGACTTTGATTAGTCACCCATATCCGTAGTCTCAAATCCTAAAGCTGTATAGTAAATTGATTTATGAAATTTAAGTTAGTTAGTTTTGATGCTACTTGGCTTAATTTTTTTTAGGAATTCTTGGAAACTAAGTTGTTACAAGATTAAACTTGAAAAAATTGGGCAACTCGAACCCAACCTAAGTAAACTCTAACCCAATTAAACCCGAGCCCAAATGAACCCGAATGAAGCCCAACTCGAACCCGACCCCGAATTGTAAAAGTTAGGTTAGGATTCGGTTGACCTTCCAACCCGCCCAACCCGTTCAACCCGCCCGAGTTGCACCCCTAGTTATTCAACATCCATTTTTACCTTTCTACACAATCCTATTAATTTGTCCTTTGATTTTCTTTAATTCATTTGATCCGACGGTTGAAATTTAAGAGAACACGTGAGAGGTAAGAATGAGTATGTGAATAGCACTATCATTTAACAAATATTTTTACACTCCTTTATCATTAAATTTTACAATATTTAACAATCTTCATTAATTTAGAAGTGATGTGAAGACTTTTAAACATTATAGATTACAACTAATAAGAAAAACACTAATTTAAATTAAAAAATAACTAATATAATTAAATTCAAATATCTAATTTAAATTGGTGTTCTTCTTAGGAGAAATTACACATAAAGTATACTTTTATTACTTAATCTTATGTTAAGACAACACTTTTTTAACATTTCATAGAGGACAAAAGGTAATATATGTAAAACATGACATTATTAGTCTTTTTTTTTTTTTTTTTTTCTCTAGAGTGTAAGCTACAAAAATACCCTTTATAATGGTAAAGTCTTTTCACACTTTCATCCCCTCATTTGTTACTCCTCTGTCTCTTTCTTTCTTCAAGAAATATTAGGCCGAACAAAGCAGAGCTTGAAATATTGTCAATCGGCAATTTGCCTTTTGATCCAGTTCAAATTCGTTCTGATTTCTCTATTTTTTTTTTTTTTCATTAATTCAACTTTGGGGTCGTGTTGCAAGTACAAATTCCTAAATTTTTGTATTTTACTTTCTTCCTCACTTTCTAGGCAGCCAAACAGAGGACAAACAAAAACTAGAAATGAGAAGCAAAATGCCCATATGGATGAGCAATCAAGAAGCCCTTAAAGGAGTCACAGGGAAAGGGGCAAACACTGAATTGAAGCATGACAAACTTCTCAATCGAGTATTTGACCTTGAAGTAACAGACGTCAACGTGGTTGAACTGATTTTGCAAAAATAGTCGAGGACGGGTTGAATTGATTCTGCAAAAATGGTCGAAGACGGCTTGAGCTGATTCTTGAAAAATGGTCGATGATGGGTTGAACTGATTATGCAAAAATGGTCGAGGATATGTTGAACATATTCTACAAAAATGATTGAGAATGGGTTGAACTTATTATACAAAAATGGTGGATGACTGATTGAACTGATTATGCAAAAATGGTCGAGGATGATTTGAACTGATTCTACAAAAATGGTCGAGGGCAGGTTGAACTATTCTGCAAAAATGGTCAATGACTGATTGATTTGATTCTGCAAAAATGGTCAATAACGGATTAAACTGATTCTAATAGTAAAGGATACAAACTGATTCTACATATAGTTTCAAAACTGATTCTATAGAAATAGTGGAGGATGAGTTAAGCTTATGGTACATATTAATTTTGTTGGAGTTAGTGAGGTTTGGGTTCTATTAACAGCTCTGATATTTGAAAACATTGTTTCCATGTTTTTAGGCAGAGCTTAGTTGATCCTATGTATGCTTAAAAACTAGCGAAGTTCCTTGACATAATATAAAAGCACTATTTTGGTTCCTACTAAACACCAAACTACTTCTTTACTACTAACATAAGCTCTACTAAATAAAAGCGCTTTATAAAGAAATACTTTTTTTTTCAAGAAGTACTTTCAAGTGCTTTTTCTTTTAATTTTTTTTCCTTTTAAATAATAATTCCAACATATGTATATTTAAAGTACTTCTAGAGCAATCTCAAACTGCCATAATTCTCAGGAACATGAAGGTTGATCCCAAAACACTATTTGTTGATTCCAATTCAAGCGTCAGAAAACTTGAACAACTATAAAAAAAAGTTTAATTAGAAGTTGGAGGCTCCATTTTTTCTTTAAAATAATTCCTACTTTATGTGAAGGGGAACTAAGCTAAACCAAACGAAGCGCTAACTACAGCTAAGAAATTAAGAATCAAATCAACATAAATATTTATAAGTTTTTATCATTAATGCGAGTTTTTGCTTAAATCTCTTACTTATGCACAAATGAAGAGCCTAAGAGCATATTTAATGGCCTAGGCAAATTGATCATCTTGACTCAAAATTGAATTAACAACTTTTAGCCCAACAAACTTTGCCTAGTCAAATTGAGCTTAGGCACCTTGAGAGACCAACCTAGTCCCAGCCCAAGCCTCGGGCAACGTGGAACTCACTTAGGTCATGTCCAACCGAAGAAGGGCCAGATGGCTCGTTTTAGTCCTATAGGCATCCAAGAAATTAATATTTTAATGAACAGTGCCAAACCATATTTCTTACCATCTCCAACCGAGGGTAGGCCAAATATAGTCCTGTGACAAAAAACCATCTTCAACCGAGGGGGCCAAAGGATCATAGGCCAAACATAATCTATTATTTTAATTGAATTAATATGGTTACTTAAATTAAACTACGTTAATAATTTTTCGAGATGTAATCTCAATAATTTTTTTTGATAAAATTTCGAGTGACACGTGTCGATAGGGTCATTAGATTGCATGCATTGGCAATGGAAATGGAAGTGGAAGAACCGTCTCATTGGATGGCAATGAGGCTTTAGCGGAATGTCGAGAAAGCCAACTATTGTGTTAGAGGCGGTTGCCTCGTTTGACACATGGATCTGGCATGCTTTCTTTGGAGTCCTTGGATCCCAAAATAACATTACAGTTCTTGGGCGTTCACCCCTCTTCAATAACATGACGGAGGGTAAATCACCTCAACTTGACCACTACATCAACGACCATCAATACAATATGAGGTATTACTTGGCAGATGACATCTACCCAAAGTGGGCGACACTTGTTCAAGCAATTCCAAACCATGTGGATGACGTCCAAAAGTGGTTTACCTTACACCAAGAGGCATACCGGAAAGATGTTGAGAGAGCCTTTGGTATTCTACAAGCATGGTGGAAGATCATCAAGCAATTGGCAATAGGGTGAAATTGAGGTAAATTGAACTCCATCATCATGTCATGCATCATATTACACAACATGATTGTGGAAGATGAGCGCAATGACTATATTGATGGAGAATCTGATGATGACAACCAAGATGATCCAAATAGGTCAAGGAGGGCTCGTGCAAAAATATATGATGGGCCTAATTTGCCCTTCGATCCAAGAACTGGTAATATCTCGTTAAACGAGTACATGAGACGCAATACGATAATACGCTCACGTGTCACAAACAAGTACCTACAGCAGGATCTTATTACACATCTTTGGGCCAAAAGAAGCATGGAGTAGACATTTAAGTTTTATGTTGTTAAATGTTTTTTTTAATGTTGTTTAAGTTTAATGTTATTTAATGTTGTTTAATGGCTTAAGTAGTTATAGGGAAGAAAAAAAATTAGATTTTTAAATTTTTTTTTTTTTTAAATTTGGAAAAAATAAAAAAAAATTCAAATCCTACAGCTAGCTAGCGTCAGCTAGCTAGCGTCAGCTAGTAGCCGTTGGGCTTCAAAATTTTGGATCGGCCCAGGCTGGCTGGTTGGCTAGTTTGGGCCAGCATGTTGGCCCGATTATGCAATTGTGGCGGGCCCACGAGTCCTTTGGCCTAACCTTCGGTTGGAGACGATTTTCATGTCATTTCGAGCTATTTTTGGTCTTATAGCCCTTTGGCTGGATCGGTTGGAAATGACCTTAGAATCCTAGTCTTTAGCTCTTCACCACTAAAACAAAAAAATATATATTAATAGGTTAGATCATTGTATTGAAAGGCTAGATTTTACCTCTAGCCTTCGACCCTTCCCTACACATTAAATATGCTATAAGTAACATATGTGGGTGCAGAGGGAGGGATTTACCCACGTTAAGCTTTTAAATCAAAATCTTGTACGGAAAAAGATGCATCTTTTCTTTCTAAGGTAATTGTATAAATGATCTTTCAATTTTAACCCAATTGGAGTAATGGTCCCTCAACTGAAAATTCATGATCATTAGTCTCTTAACTCATCAAAACGTGCAACTATGGTTCTTTTTGTAACTCCATTAGAACTTCTGTCAAAATAAGTCACATGTCACGCACATGAGGCTGAATCAATGGGCAAATATGAAAAACCCAAATGTGAAAATTTGTAACAATAGTCCCTTAACTTTAACTCAATTGGAGAAAATGATTCCTCAATTTTAACGCAATTGGAGTAATAATCCCTCAATTTTAACCCAAGCGTAATAATGGTCCTTCAAACTTGACTCATTTTGACATAATTGATAAAGAAGACTATAGTTGCACGTTTTAATGAGTTTAGGAATCAATGGTCATGAAATTTTAGTTCAAAGCCCATTGTAAGCACCCTATCCTCCTTCTTTGTACGGTTCATTTCTCATATATAGAATATCTTACTTTCTCAAAAAAAAAAAAAAAAAAAAGGTCATATTTTACCTATTTTTATTTTTATTTTTATTTAAAAAGTCATATTTATATCAATTAAAATTTATTTTTATTCAGTTGGTTTGTTTTTTTTTTTTTTAAATTTTGTAGTCAATTACTTTAATGTCAGATAATTTAGAGCTCATTTGATATTCTATTTAAGGATTGGACTTTAAAACTTGAATTTTCTTAAAAACAGGGGTTTTAAATTCATACTTCATATATCAAATGACTTGTTTGGTATGGAATTTTATTAAATTCTTGAAAACAATTTTTAAGGAAAATTGAAATTAGATAGAAACAAAGCTGATCTGTTATAAGAAAACTGAAATTAGATAACAATCAATACACGTCTGAATCTAGTGATCACCAACATCAATTTGAATTAAACATGGTTATTTTGGTGTCCGATGAGAGAGAAGCGAACGGGAGGAGAGAGAGAGGACAGAGAGAAGGTGAAGAGAGCGGAGAACAGTGAGGATACAGCGATCCCTTCGAAGCCTTGTTGCCGGCGTTGGCCACACCAACCTTTCCCACAGTTGGTGATCTTTGCCTCTTCACTCTTCTTCGACCGCTTGGACTCGACACCAATTTCAAATCGCAAAGTCACAGCGAAGAAGAGATCGGGAATCAGGACTAAGAAAAAAAAACAAAAACGAAAACGAAATAAATATGGGACTAAATTCAAAGCGTGGGAAGAATTCGAGCTTTGAGAGGAAAAAGTAGAGAATCTGCACATGGCAATGATGGCATTATGGCAGAGAATATGACAAACAAACTAATAAGGAGGAGGACCCCGTTCATTTCCTTCCTCCTTCCCAGTCTCAGCTTACAATACAACGCAGCGCTGCAGCCCTTCGGCCCGTTCGTGTAAAACCATCCTCGCCATCCACATGACAAGATCATCAATCAATACACGTGCAAAAAAAAAAAAAAAAAAAAAAACCTAAAAATTTGGCCGACCGTTGGATGTAATACATTCGGATTCCTCATCCTTTGGTTGATCATGTAAGAAGTGTTAGCTCCAACATACCATTTAGCACCTGCTGTAATGCAAATAATACAAGAAAACCTATCATATCATTAGAAAACTTTAATAAATTAAATATAAAATTATACTTGTCCATATTTGAGAATCGATATCCATAATCTTGCATGTGCTGCTTAAGCAATTGGCATGCTACTATATAAGATACCTAGGTTACAAATTACTTCATAGAATAATTAGACTGAGTGCATATCAGATAACTAGATGAATTATATTTGAAATAACTATTATGCAATCGGCCATTTAAAACCCATAGTTTTCTTCTTTTTCTTCTTATTAAAATCTTGGCATATAAGATAGCAATAGTCTAAACAAACAATTTAACCTTTAAATTTGATACAATTCTTATTCTTTTTGGAATTCAAAAGGTAAATTTGTTACATACTTGCCATTAATCAATCGGGTGTTTGTCAGCTTGCCGAGAAGTATAATGTGCAGAAAGCAAAAGCAAAGAAAGGAAAGCACTGGCCACAAAGATTGCATCAAACCACCGGTGATAGAAGTCAAACTGAATATCTCCACCCAATACGTCTGTTATGATCATCCTGCCAAGAGATAATAGCTCTCTTTAAAACTAATCCAACAGGTCAGAAGCTACCTAAATGACGGACTGAAAGCAATCAAGCTTATATGACAGAAGACCGAAAAGCTTCTGATGGCCATCATTTGGAAATCCGCACTTCTAGACAGGACATGGCTAAAGCCGCAATCATTTCCTTTACAAGCTTCACGTTTTCATTTAAATACAAATATGGTAATATACTTTTACAAGGAATAGGATAGTAAACCTTTTTTCAAGTAATATGATTGTTATTAAACTTTTGAACATTTAGTCATCCAGTCATAATATCTTTTATATAGTATGGTACTATAAATTGTGAGTTCCATATTTCAATTTATTACATAAAAAGATATTAATTCCAAACATATTGTGCATGTAGTTTACATTTACAAAAGGAAATATTCTTCAAGCTGATACTATTGTCATTATATGGGTTCATCTTACAAGCCAAAGTATTTTGGCCGGTTACTCTTTGTCATTAATCCCTTGCATACTTCTATATGTAGTATAGATAGAAGAACATGTTTTATTTAGAAATTGAGAACATAGGCAACTTATAATTTCATGTAAATGTATATAAAGTTCATTTCAAAGTTTTAAGGCATGTTTCTAGCCTAACAAAACACAACATTTAAGGAATTCCAGGTGCACTGTGTACACTGGAGTAAATTAATCTTGCAATTAAGCTCAATACAACTGACCAAAATTCATAAACATAACCACGCCATTGAACACCAAGGGAAGACAGAAGAACAAAAACAAGAGTTGACAAACATAAAATATCAGCACACCTGTACTCAGTTGCCAAGCTTTTCCTTATCAATAGAATAGAGGACACAAAGTACATTCCCATAATTTCAGACAGAAACAATACAACATTGCTAGAAGATCCACTTCCAACTCTGGAAACTGCAAAAAAGAACTGTGCACAGCAAAGCCAGAAAGTTAAGCCGTAAAGATGATCTGTTTTATGCTTCCATCAGTTGCTCTTCAACAACCAAATACCAATGTGGACTAAGGCCTATTCCCAGAAGGTGATTAAAACGGGACTAAGGCCTGGGTCAGCTGAATTCATTTATTTCCTTGATATAATTACAGCACTAGCATGTAAAACCTAAGACCAAAGTGGGAGCATCTGGTTCTTATCTCCAGATCCAGAAAAAAACTCTGGTTCTTATCTCCAGATCCAGAAAAAAACTGTCTTTCAAGTTTCAACTTTCAGTATGCAACTCAGTCAATAAAAAAAACAAGCATTCAGAAATCATTTCTTTTTCCTCAAGAAACTGCAGGCTGTATTTTGAAAGTCAGTCTGAAGAAATCCAATCAGTGGATTGAGGTTCTCCAACTTAAATTAGAAATAAATAACAAGGCAGGCATAAGAAGGGTTACCTTCATTAAATTAGTCAAGAATCCACGAACTGATATAACAATCAACATTCCAATGAACAAGAGTGAAATATACTGTCAATAATGAGAACAAATTAAGTATCAACCATGTGTTCAATAGTCTGACCAATCATCCATAATAAAAATATTTGCAATCCATAGTAGTAAAAATGGAAAATGAAAACTAGCACATATGAAAATAAGGCCAAATCAGGAGTCCAAATGTATGAAATTGTGATTGGCATATAGTCTGTACCACGAATATATATTATAAAAAAAGTAATATAATATGTAACTGCAAATTTTTCCATTGAGAGGGAAAACACCAAAATACATTATTCAACTGCAAGCTTGCAGGTTTAGATAGAAAACCAAAAGGTCTGCAATGAAGGTGTAAATGTTAAGCTAACTAACCTGTGATAGCAATGCTGCATTGATACCAATGTCAAAGAACTGCAAGAATATGCTAATTGTCATCGTCACAGGATCCACAGAGCCAGCCTGTCAGAGAACATATTACTATTTACCGAAAACAAAAATCGACACTAATAGGGTAGAAATCAGAAACAGACATGTAAGCAAGTGATTATAGGCAATACATGAGACATGAAAGAAATACCTCTTTGAAAACTACACTTTGCAAAGACTGCACAGAGAAATTAATAGTCAGCACTTTTTCAAAAATCAAAAGTAGTAACTTCAAGAAACACTTGGACCAGTTTGAAATTTTCCCTCTCCATTAACATGAAGAAAATAAAATTAACATCAGCAAACTATGTAACTAAAGTATCTTCAATTCTAACAACCTCATTGAGTACAAAAAAATAAAAAAAAATGCATCCCATACCTTAATCATTTTATATACACAGTAGATTGAACATGCATAACCTAGTAGGTTCTGCATATGACCCCTCCAGGTTCGAGAATAAGCAGCAGCCTCCTGTCAAGTAATAATAATTTAAGTTCATATGCCTTCAATCAGGCACAGGTTTAAAGTATTGAAACAACCAGTGGTTCATATAAATCTTCGTTTCATCACCTTCAAGTTTCAATCACTATGCTTCAGCACATTTTGGCCATTAAATATGGGTAAACATAATTATGCCCTAACTTTAGTTAACTGTGTCACTTTTATCATCTACTACACTCTTAAATGGCACATGGAATTGAGTTTTAAATAGCCTACACAAATTTCCAATCCACAAATCTTCACTTGTAAGTTGTAATACCTTCAATTGAGAAAGAATAGTTATTAAAATATTATCACGGTGAATTCTTAATGGTTTTGAAGAGAAATTTCCCTTCATCCAAGCTAGCACCTAAGTTCCAGTCTTGCACCTAGGCTGAAAAGCCATAATGCCTGAGGTGCATTTTAACAGAAGTTCATGAAAATTGTATTACTTAAAATAACAGATGCATGGTTCAGTACAAGCAATCACATAGATCAGCAGTCCCATAGGGAATCATTTAAAAATTATATCATATAACTGAAATTACAGAACTGGAAGTAAACCTTTGCTTGACGAAGCTCGTATATTTCTAGGAATAGCTGCTTTGAAAGCTCTTCCAATGCTAGCACTTCTGCTTCCATGTTTCTGATATCTGTGTAACCGAAAAGAAAAAGGGGGAGGGAAAGAAGGGGACATAAGTGAAAACAGACAACTGTGAAGTCCTTACAGAGTAATCGCACTATGTTGATGGTCTGGAAAGCTTAAAAGACAACATAACTAGTAGGTCTCAACTCATGCAAGTAACATGGCTGGAGAAGTATTAGAGAACTTTACAAATTAAAAAATCAGTTCTTTCAAAAGAAAATATGCAAGATCTTATCATAAGAAAAAACATAAAGCAAAACCAACCTTGCTCCTTTTGATCGTCTTGCACAGATCGCACAACAGTGCCAACAATTCTTTTAAAGAAAGATCTAGCTTTTAATTTCTGCAACATATAACTTTATTTAGGCACAAGTCGGGATTGTGTTTATAAACACTGCTAACAACGAAAACCATAAAGATACGCTAATACAAAATGCAGTTTATAAGTAACACCATTTTGAACAACAGAATAAGATTATGATAGAGTTAGCACAATGATATGCAATACAAGTAACTTTGGGAGTATAGAAATCAAGATGCACGAGTATTTACACCCGAGAAACAGAAAAGTATAGGATAGTGAAGAGAACCTCTTCTGATCCTTGAATGCGTTCCATCTCCATTTGAGAAAGAATGATTTTCTTCTTCTTAGCAATACAAGTCTCGATGGATTGCATGAGCTGTCTTTCCAAGGACTTGATCTCAGTTTCCTCAATTTCTCGGATAAAGAGAGATAAGTAACTATAGGGTAAATTGACAGCTCCAAAACCAGACAAGACAGCCATGACAGTAACGCCAATGACTCCAATGCGACTGACCAACTGAGGCATGGTGAAGAAGCCTTTATCAGGGGAAGGCATAGGGAAGTGAATGCCCATGCGCCAAAAAGCATAAAGGAAGGCTAGCAAGAACAAGAAGGATCCAAAAGCAGCGCGTTCCTTCCGGAACCCTGAGATGAATAGATGAAAAGATTGAAGTTAAAATTAAGTATGGTAGTATAAGGTGTTTGTATGAGGCTAGGGGCCCTAGAGGCAGTGGGTAGGCGTACCATTGTTGCAGAGCATCAAGAAACAATGATAATAAGGCAACATGAAAACCAGTAACAGTATGAGACAAAACAAATCCAGCTTCCAGTTGAGCCATCGGGCCCTGCAACCAAATCATACAATTTATTTTATAGAAATCAAATGCAAATGCAAATAATTAAATTATGCAATCAATCATGAAATCATAGTTTACTTGTAAACAGAAAAGGAAATGAAAATAAATATATTAACCTTTGGGAGAGAAGGGGGATGATCTCGAAGAGGACGAGCTGCAGAAGATTGCAGGAGAAGGCGAAGACGACGCTGAAGATGATCTGAACTAAGACCCTCTTCTCTTCGTACTCTTTGTAGAGCCTTCGGTTCAAGAACCACAGCCCCGCCCATCCCAGCAGCCCTAGCGATCCCAACGCCACCACTCCTTCGTAGATTGCCCAACCCCAACCCATCTATTCTCTCTCTTGTGGGAATGAATTCGATCCTTGATCCTCCTCCTCACTATTGAGTATTGACTATTTACTATCCTGATTGAATTCGTAATGGCATCCTCCTAACTTTTCATACAAACCATAATTCAATGCAATTTCGAGATGTTAACTCACTGGCAAATTCTGTTCCAAAAAAAAAAAAAAAAAAAAAAAATCACTGGCAAGTGGGAACCGAGAACGATTTCTCCTGTTTCTTTTTTTTTTTTTTTTTTTTATCTGGGGAACCTTTTTTCGATTTTCTCGGCAAATGAGAGAATGAAATTTTGTTGCGGGGAAAATTAAGTTACGTTTGTTTACAATTGTATTTTTTGGGTGTTTTAATGAAAATGATTTGGGTATAGTTTATTTTGACAAAAAATCGTCTTATAATTTTATTTAATGAAAATAATTTTGTGTTTAGAAACAAAAAGGAAAAGATCTTCAATTTTAACAAAAATGATAAAAGTTTTTTATAACAAAAAATAAAATAGAGAAAAATAATAAAAAGTTGACGAGTGTGCTTCTATCACACACATATGATTTCTGAAACTAAACGTACTTATAATATTTCTGAAACTGAACCGTACTACATTGTTTCTGAAAATGAACACTATTTTTTAAATTAAATGGTACTACAATATTTTTGAAACTGAACATTATTTTTGGAGACCGAATACTAATTATTTTTGAAGCTAAATACGAGTACTAAATTATTTCTGAAATTGAACACAATTACTACATTATTTTTGAAACTGAACACATATGATTCGAATCTCATATGTTCTCAGCACTGGCACTTACTCTATTTGGATAGAAGAATTTGGGGAAAAATAAAGGTCTATAGGCGGGTTTGATTGTCCATGGAAGGTAAGAAGTAAATAGTAGGATATTTGAAGTGGAAAAAAAAAAGTCATTTCTTGAGAGCCTTTTCGATCACCTTGTTAATTACGTGAACAAAAAAAATTTACGTGAACAATAAAAATTTGAATCAAGCCCATTCTGAACATGTAAAAATCTCTGATCAAAGTGACATCAAATCTACTTCTCACTAACATTTATGTCGAATAAAAACATAACTTAAGAACGATTTGGTCATCAAATCATTCATCTTTGGAAAGAATCTGCAAAACGCACTATCTCAAATTCAAGAACCAAATCTTCTTCTCATTCTAGTAGCTATTTCAGAGTGATGTAAAGAACATTCTAACAGTGAATAGCCTTCCTAAATAATTATTCTATACACGAGAATGTTGTCAAAAGTATTATGATGATCGATTCTCTCCTTTCGGGAGAGAGCTTCTCTCCTTCTGTGAGAATTCTCCCCCTTGGTGTGGGTTTTCATCTCTGTTTTTCTCCTTGCTGCCACCGATCCTAGCTATGGCTAGGGTTGGTGGTAGCCCCTTACTCCTCTTGTTTTCCTTTTCTTTACTTTTGTTCCTGCTTGTTTTTTCCTTTACCTTTTTGTTGGTTCAATCTTCTCCTCTTCTCTCTGGTGTCTCTGGTTTACTTCACCAACTCCCCCTTCTTCATTTACTTTTCCCTCCACCTCCTTTATTTTCAACGTTCCACACCTTACCCTTTCCACTTGGCTCACTCCTCCATTTATCTCACACTCTAGATCGGGTTCCACTAATCACCACAGTGAACGCGAATCTTCACGATTCTCGTTTAGAAGGAAGATGTGTAGAGCTTCAGATTTTATCGATGCTCAGGTGTTCTCACCACCTTCTTGCCTCAACTTGGCCTTGTTGCCTCTATCGTTCGTGGGTTGTTTCCTGCGAGCTTCCTTCGATTCGTGGTGCCGATCTTCAATGTGCTCTTTGGAGGTTGTTGAAGTCTTCTTTTTATTCATTTTGGGGGCTTGATTTGGCTTGATTTTGGGCCACTGTTTCAAGTTTGGTGGTCCTTCTGATGGCAGCAGCAGCAGAGGATGCAGCGGTAGATGATGCAGGCTCTAAGGGTTTTTTTCCTATTTTCTGTTGTGCTTGGTTTTGTTGTACATTGGAGGTCCATACTTTGTTGTTGTGTTTGTTTTGTATGTGGGTCTCTCTTGTAAATGTGTGTTGTTGGTAATAAAACAACCCTTTGTCAAAAAAAAAAAAAAATAATAAAAAAGGTATTATGATGGTCGAATCTCTTTAGGAAGTGTCATCCCAAGCAATTAGTCATATTAGGAAAGACAAGAGTCTACTCCATTCTCACAAAACTTCAAATGGGAAATCTTGGGTTATGATTATCATGGGAGATATTTTGTTACATTTTCATCGAAAATGACGAGAGCGAGAATATGAGGGGAGCATTGAAAGTTCTTACTATTGTCGGTAAAGCTCCCAATAACTAAATATGGAATAAAGGATGAGGAAGGAGGCACGTGGGGCGAATAACGCTAGGGTTTGAAGCTATTAAGAGCACTTAAGGCCCTAATGGCAATCGACAATTGAATCTCCTCCACTGTAAATGCCGTTAATAAACAGTAATTGTCTTTTACATTTCCACCCCTAAACTAAATAGTAATGGCAATAAGCAATAAAATATTAGTATTTTTATTTTATAAAATAATAAAAAATAATTTTATTTGTAATTTCGGATAAGATTTTTAACCGGTCTCGTTATGCCACGTGTCATTATCCTAAAGTACAATTTTTTGTGATAGATTTCGATAAGATTTTTATCCAATTCCGTCGCACCACGTATCGTTACCATTTTAGAATCATTGAAAAATTGAAATATGGTGTAAGTTGGGAGAAAATGGTAAGGTATTTATAAAAAATAAAAAATAAAAAAAATTAGAATTTAAAAAAAAAATTCAGATTTTTAATTAGTCTTTAAAAAATTTATTAACTTAATTAAGCTGGACCATCGGATTACAAAAAAATTGAAATCTAACAATCCAGAATGAGACATGTGGCCCACCCAAACATTTCTGATTTTTTTCTAAAAAATTTTAAAGTTGAAAAAACTGGACCATTGATCTATAAATCAAACAGTTTAGATTCAAAGTGATTAAGTGGGGCTGACACATGGGCCCCATCATCTGAAAATATACCCAAGACATGCCCCCACACGTACATGTTTCCCATGCGCATGATGCAAATTTTTTTATAACATGGCTGACGTCAACCTTACATCACTCCCCCTCAAGCACTCGGCCCTTGGACACCCGCCTGCCCTCTCCCAAGGGCTCCCCCTTAGCTTAATTGCCTGAATGGGCTGGAGCTAGTTTGGGAGAGGATTAGGTTGCAAATGTTCCCTGTCCACCGGGCTAAAGAGCACACTGGAAATGTTCTAAAAAAAATAGTAAGCTTTTGTGGGTTATTTTTTGTTTTTTGTTTTTTTTTCTTTCTCTTGTCTTTATCATTAAAAATAAATTGTAGCAATAGTCCATCAACTTTAACCTAATTGGAGTAATGGATTTTCAACTAAAAATTCATGCGCCCCAGTTTGAGGAAAGAGAGAGAGAGAGAGAGAGAGAGAGAGAGAGAGAGAGAGAGAGAGAGAGAGAGAGAGAGAGAAAGAGAGATTGCAAGGGCAAACAGAGAAATTATACAATGATACTGCAACCATGGGGGAAGAAGGAAAGCTGCGTTTGAGGATCATCATTTTTCTCTAATTAATTCTCTAAACTATTTAGATAAAGAAATCGTTGAAGTTAGGGTTTGAGGATGAAGGAAAGCTGGGTTCAGGGAAGAATGAATGGCTTGGGGTTTGGGGAAAAAGGTAGGCTGGGTTTTTGGTGCCCCTTTCAATTCTGGGCCCTGGATAGTTGCCCTAGTAGCATTAGGGCTGGGTGTAGGCCTTGAGGCTTGCAATCAAAACTAACTAAGTGTTAGGGGTGCCATTGCTATCTCAGTATAGCAGATGTAGAACAAGTGTGTTTAGTCGATTACTTGCGCCCTAAGTTACTTGGACTTCTTGTTATCAAAAGATTGTCGTGGATGGGTTAAGTCCACATTAAGTTCTTTTTCTTGCCTTGTAAACAAGGACTTTTAGTTCATAATCTTGTATGTTCGAATAAAGGGAGTCTAGATCCCCTTTAAGTCATTTGTTTGGTCCTAGATTGCTTTTAATGGAGACACACTCATTTAAACTAACCAGATCCATATACAAATAAGACTCTTAAAGTAGGAAAGCAGATGGATATGACTTGAATACATACTGGAGAATGCATTAAGTAATAGATCTATTAACTTAGAAAGCAAACAAAGAGCCTCGAGCAAGATTTCACCTTGTTTGGCAAGGTTAAACTTCTTGCAGTCACTTCTCTTTGAGATTATAGGGTTTATATGCTAAAAAATGGATAGATGGTAAACAAGTTTACACAAGGAAATCGATAATAGGCACTAAGGGAGGTAGTAGAGCTTTAAACTGGACAAGAGATAGCTTGTCGCTAAAAAGATTTGAGATTTGGGCTGATTACAGCTTTTGGATGCAAATCTGGCTTAAGAGCAGAGTTTGCATGTTTGTTTGTTTGATTGATTGAGTATCCTTGTCTCTAGGACCTCTTCCTCCTTTTATAGGCGATTTAGCCTGACTGGTGTAGCTTTGTTCTTGCCCAAAAGCACTAGGAGAGTAGTCAGTCATTAATTTTTTACTTGGAATGCCACTAGAAAGTGTTCTTTGGCTGGTAGTAGGTTAATCTCCAATCACTTGTCACTTCAATAGTAGGCAAGTGGCTTACATTTGGTTGAGAAGGCCTCAATTTGCTTATGAGCTTGATGATGGGGCTTCGGGCAAGTCCCCTTTAATTAGGTAATCTTGGGCTTTTCCTCATCTAAACCCAATGTTCAAATATTAACCCAAACAATTGGAACTCACTTGAACAGGGTGCAATCCGGAAAACTAGCACGAGAGTTTCGAGCAGTGTCTTTGGATGCATAATAATATTTGAATTAAGTAACCCTAAGAAATAAGGTTGATCATAAATTATCTCAACAAGATAAAGCCATCCGAAGGGACGATGAATCCTCAATTGTTAAAAAACAAAAAACACATAAAAATGGTCACAGAAAAATGAGTACTAGAATTTAGATGCACAAACAGATTTCACCGGATAGCAAACAAGAGACGGGTTACATCCGAAAGTGAAACACAAACGATCCCAATCCCAATAAGTAACAACAGGTAAACATAGAAAGACAAAAAACCAAACATTTACAGGGACCTCGCATGGTATAAGTTGCAGCGGCTAAGGGTCAAATAGAAAATAATACAGAAGAAGGCTTTGGTATATGGATGAGCGTATAGGAAAGATTCCCTTAGCATCCGATATAGACCTGCAATACACAAATCAGGCTAATTTCTAAATGCGACCATCCCACAAACACTCAGAGCGAACTTTGCCACCTTTCAAAAGACTCTCCACTTCTTTAGGAGGGTTCAAACCTAGACTGCAAGCCCTCTCCAACCGTGCAAGTCTGGTCATCCCAATGCATGGTCCGTATGCCAGGTTCATATCAAATTTCCTCAGTAGCTCTTCTTGCTCGTCATAATCATCTATCAATTAGGGAAAAACTTTTAGCCCATAAAAAATAGAAAATCTGCATGGAAAAATCTACTCAAAATGCGGTTACTGGTTTCCTTAACCCTTGTTGACAGTAGAGAAACTTAAGAATACATAGAAAAACATATTATTGAAAAACAATGATAAAAGACAGCCTAAGATGTATTAGTTAAAAAAATAAATGAAAATTGAACTCCTACGTTCCTAAAAGAAATAATGAGGACTCTAATATCTCAAGCTACTTCGGAAGTTTCAAAATTTCAAGGGTTAAAAGTTAGGGGCAATTGGATCCTAATACCAAAAAATTTAGGATGCCTTCAGATATCAATCTTAAGCCCAGTTCCCTTTAATTTTTTTAGCCATGTAGGATTCATTACCTACTTGTGCCTATTTTTTCCCCTTGCTATCAAGTTTTACACATTCTTTGCTCTATTTTGAATATCTAGAAGAAAAAAATATACAAGTTTCCAGGTATCAAATAAACTGTCTTATGGCCACATTTGGTGCCTAGAAATCAATATATGTTGAAAGAAAGAATCAATGAAAGTTGAAAGAAGAAATTTTGTTCAAGTGGAGTTGGACATGGTCCCAACCAATCACCACAAAATGATAGGATACTTCTAACTAATTCATCTCATTCCTTCAACTTCATTTCTTACTTCAACATGCCGTGAATCTAGAGAATTAATTTTTATAGTCCAGTCCTAGTGGTCAAGCGTGACTCATGCATATTCATCATTGGCAGGTATATAATCATATAACAACTACATAATGATTCACAAACAGCAAGAAATAACACTTCCCCTCATGTAAGCTGACTCTCTTGAATGAATACACTCGAATCAAATCCCACCTAGTGTTATATTATATCACACCCGAAATTCTACCTTTGTATTAAGCTTATAATTATAAACCCCTTCAGTTAATACACCTACAGTATACCCTTCGCTAGTATATAACAAAAACAGTTAAAAAAACAACAGCAATAACAGTTGATGCGAGTTTGCATCTGAGAACAAAAACAACACTGTAGTTGTAGTGGAATTGAATGCAACTAATAAAATCTCGTTACGATCTAAATTTGGGGTTTCAACACTAATGTAATCACAGAATAAGATGCGAATTAAACCAACAAAAACATACATTTTGGATCTATATCAAATTTTATGTAAACTTTAATGATAATCCAATTCCGCTATATTATTGTTTTTGTCCTCGGATGCAAACCCTAAACCCAAATATTCACACAAAAGAATATAATCCATGAAAAAAATAGTAAAACAGACCTTTGACGTCTGGAGAGCCGTGTGAAATAAGGGCGGTGGGTTGAGCGACATCCGAGCCGAAAGAGGCAGCGGCAGCAGCTTTTGGGTGAGTGGGCGATTGGGATTTTTTCTTCTTAGAGATATCCCCGCCGATGCTACTGTTGCTTTTCCTTTGCCTGTAGAAGCCCTTCATATTCTCTGCGTTTGATCTTGATGCCATCCCCACCGCTCTCTCCAAACTTTCGAATTTTGAATTCCTTTCTTCTTTAGAGAAAATTGATATAATTTGAACAAAAAAGAAAAAGAGAAAATTGATATACGTATCCTTAAAGTCCTTTCATAAATAATATTTTCTTCCTGGCCCCGTTGGATACTGTCAAAAATTCAAATCGCTTTTTGACCAAAATAGTCATTGAAATTTGCACAACTCTTTATTTTGGTCACTGAAAATTTAAAATCAATAGAAGTAGTCACTGAGTTTATCCACCGTCAATCATTTTGGTATTTCTTTGAAAAATCTCCATTAAATAAGAATAAAATGACAAAAATACCCTCAATTTTTATCAAATCATTTTGGCCCATTGTTTATTGAGGGTATTTTTGTCATTTGGTCCTTATTTAACATAATCTTTTAAGGAATGACCAAAATGATTAATGGTGAACAAACTGAGGGACTACTTCTATTGATTTCAAATCTAAAAGATCAAAATGATGAGTTATACAAATCTCAACGATCATCTTGACTAAAAAGCCAAGTCAAAATCATAGAGAATTTTTCTACTCCTGCACTTGCCACCGAACTACTAATTCAGAGAAGATTCACTCAATGAACTAAGGTTTTATAATCAAAATAATTTTAGGGTGAAGTTCATGAGGTGTCACTTCCTTGAAAATTAGGTTGTTGTATTATTTTTTTGGGTAAAGTAAGTCCTTAAATTTATTAAAAATTGCTAATTTCATCACTATTATCATATTCAAAGCTATTTTATCCAATTTTTCGTCAACTTAAGTCATTTGACACACTTTAAAGTGTAATATCGTCATTTTCTCGCCTATAAGCCCCTAACATTTCATATAGGTTGCGAATCTAACCTTTAATTTACCTCACAAAATTAACTCCATACACTATTTCTTTATGAAAAATTACCAATCTACCTTCCAGTGTGTATCACATGCAAATAATGTAACTTAAATTGACGGAAAATTGAATATAGTAGTTTCAAATATAATACTAGGGATGTGTAATTGGCATATTTTTATAATTTAAGAACTGATTTTTCTAAAAAAAAATAGTTTAATGACCTAATTTTCACTCGTGATAATTTAGAGACTAAATTGGCAATTCACTTTAATTTTTAATATTAGTATAACTATGCACTTTGGTCATTGAGCTTCAAAATCAATAGAATTGTCCTTGAGTTTGTTCACCATCAATCATGTTAGTCATTTTGTTGTTAAATCATTTTAGTCCATGGTTTAGTAAATTAAGATTAATTTTTGTCACTTTGATCCTTATTTAGCAGAAAATTTTCACATAATGAACAAAATGATTGATGATGAGCAAACACAAGACCAATTCTATCAATTTTAAGTCTCAGGGATCAAAGTGAGGAACGTCAATTATAAGAACCCTTTTGGCTAAAAAGCCATGAACTAAGTATTATTGTTGTTTGTATAATAAATAAAAACTTCTCTTTACAGTACATATACTAATCATACTAGAAGCCAAAAATTCCAGTCGTACATTAATACGGGGACAGCAAAATTTAAAAAGAGAACATACTCAAATATTTTCTTTTGGTTTACTGGGGGTGCAAATTCCAATCCAAGCCAGAGGGGACTCAAAGAAGCAGTAGATTAGCATATTTCATTTCGGCTATTCCTTCTTCTGACGGGATTTTGATTTTACATCATCAGGGATACACGATGACCAATATAGTGGCAACACTGTGAGCAGTGCTTGTATTAGTAGGGCAAGTGGAAACCCTGAAAAGTCATTTCCCGTGACCCCAACATACGATGCAAGCACAACACCCAGATATCCACTTACTATGAATGCAACCGCTATTGCAGACATCGCAAACGCCATTAGAGATCCCTCGCATCCTCGTGGGCAGAGTTTGGCTATAAGAATGCTGAAAGGCAAAATCTTCATAAACAAGAGAACCTCCGAAATGCCAGAAAACATCACGACGTAGAAATTGTCTGGCACCCCCATGTAATTTTGATAAATCCTATTTACAAACAACGCATCAGAAATCATAAATATAGCCATTGCAACCTGAATGGCAGAAACTAGTTTCCTAGGTCTGACCGACTTCAAGTGACGATTATAAATGACACTCCATAGAAGCATTGCCACTTGGCCAAACACCTTTGAGATTCCCAACAGAGATGAGTCAATATTCAAGCACTGTGCCTGGTAAAAGAACATGGTGCCTGTCAATGCTGGAATAATGGCATAAGATGCCGCAAACCATGATATTGAGTAAGTGATCTCAGGTTCTCTTAATGCAACCAAGAGCTCAGAAAGTTTCTCTCGAATCCCAACATTGGCTGTTCCTTCGGTATGGTTCAAGGAGCTTTCCTGGACAAAAATGCTTATGAAAAAGTGGACAGTGAGGAGAAGGCCATAGAACAGGAACATCTTTTGGGGAGATAATCTGTCAATGGCAAGACCACCTAGGAGACATCCAAGGACTCCACCCATAGCTGAAGCCATCGAAGAAAATGATTGGAGCTCGCCTGAGGATGACGGTTGGGAATTTTTTGGGGGAGTAGACTGTTTTCCTGCCTCTGCAACAATGGCATCATTGGCTACCTCAGCAATTGAAGCACCGAGATTACTGAGGAGGAGATATAGTGTTATGGTCCCAATTGAGGTGCCTGATTCAGAGAGCATTGCTATTGCTAGCCATGACACTGCTTGTAAGACCGCTGAAATAACAGATGAGACAAAGAATAAAAATTAAAAGTAACAAAAAAAAAGAGGTTAGAAATGGACTTCCGACTAAAGAAAAGAATAATAAGAAGTTAGAAATGAACTAGAACTAAAACTATGATGGTGGATTTAAAAACCATATTTAGGCCTAGGAGAATGAAAACTTTAAATTCACTTTTTTTTTTTTCAAGAGGAACCATTATAAATTTATTATGTATCATGTGAACAAAAGCAGTGTATAACAAATTACAGTTGCCTGTAACGAACTAATGACAGAGTTTGAAATTTACGAAAATGATATTTTCAATGTTTAAACCTACATTTAAACATCTTTGAAACTTTGTCATGTGATGGCACACCGTGTATTTCTAGACACAATCAAAGGAGAAATTACTTACTCAACAACTTCTGTAATCACAATGAAGGTGCATCTTTATTCAAATTAGATGGGGAAAGAAGAGATGCAAACTGAATTTAAATAGCTGTGGAGAAGCATCTACAAATCTGCTACTTAAGCTTTTGCTATTTTGCTCCTCCAGAATCTTAGAGCAAAGCAAGGAAACCAGAGAAAATGATCATTGAGCTTCTGAATTATACAAATTTTTATCCAACTCCCTGTTGTATTCAGCACTCCTTTGAAGTAGTGGAGGCAAATAGCTCCAAAGAAACTGATTCCTTAGATCAAATGATTATTTTAGACTATAACCCGTTTGACAGCCATTTTTGTTTATAGTTTATAGTTTTTATTTTTGTGCTAGAGATAAAGTATATGGGAGAAATGGTGTAGGGAGGAAAGAGAAAAGTGAAAACAATGTTAATATCAGTTTTTTGTTTTAGTTTTCATTCTGTGTTTCATTTTCTATACACATTCCTTTCAAACTTGTTCCACCATAATTCCTTTCCTTGGCCCTTTTTCGTTACTCCTTCCTCCCGTGTATTGATTTATTGATTGCCTTTAGATGAGATACAAATCTTGAAATTTAAACTCATCTACCAGCCGCTATCAATGTAACCCTTTTACTCTTATCTATAGTATAGCACAAAGAAAAGAGTGAACACTATAGAATCCTACGGGCAACAAAGAACAGGAATCATATTCATATGTACCAAAGCCAGTACCAGCCAAAAAGAAAAGCCCAATCCTGTAATAACCAATCCTATTATCCTAACCAAGTTCAAAATTCTTGACAGCCATCCAAAAGACGAAGCAATTCAGCAAATATAGGCCAAAAAATACAGAGCAAACGGAAATTAAATGGGCGTAGACGTAGTAGTTACTAGTTAGGCACCTCCAAAGGCAATATAGGGAATACGGTGCTGGCCAGCAATGTAGACGGCGTCTGAAACGACACCGTAAAGGGGCTTGGCGACCATGGGGAGGTTGGCGGAGTTCTGCAGGAGTTGGAGAGTGGAGGGGTCCACGTGGAGGCCGTCCTTGAGGAAGAAGTTGACGGCCATCCATGGGAAGCACCTGAAGCCCTGCACCCAGTACCCCAACCCCACCAACTTCCGGATCTTGTCCGCGTCACCCTCCGACGATGGCTCTACCATTTTCCACACTCACACAAGTCACCGCACAACTTTTATTATGATTTATATACCGATAAAGAAAAAAGTGTTAGGCTTTTATAACAGGGTTCAAGTGGGAATGCTGGGTGAGTCTTTCTTAATACCCAAATTACTTGTCTCCTATAATAGGGTCCAACTGATTAAGACTATTATTATTTTTTTAAATATATTTTAATAAAAAAGAAAAAAGTGTTAAGCTGTTATAATAGAGAGAGGATCCTCGCCACATCCTCTTTATGAAGAAATCGAGAATCCTCTAATCATATTACGTCGTGCGATCAGTTTTTGTCAGATATTATTTATATTCAATTTTAAATAATAAAAATTTACAATAATTTCTGACCGCACGATGTATGATGAACAGATGTAATTGGAGGATTCCCAAGATCCTCACAAAGAGGATCCAGCGAGGATCCTCTCTCGTTATAATAGGGTTCAACTTCAAGTGGGGAAATTGGGTGAATCTTTCTTAATACCAAAATGATGAGTTTGATCAATCTGAAAACTCTTTGTGATACAAACTTTTTTTATAATGAATTTACAAATAGAGATTTAAAAGAATAAATATGACATCCCACATTGCCCAGGGGAGTGATCCTTATATGTATATTCTCATCCTTACCTAGCACGAGGCCTTTTAGGAGCTCGCTGGCTTCGAGTTCCGTATGAACTCCGAAGTTAAGCGAGAAGGGGGCTAGAGCAATCCCATGATGGGTGACCCACTGGGGAGTTGCTCGTGAGTTCCCAAAAACAAAACCGTGAGGGAATGGTAAACCCAAAGCGGACAATATCGTGCTACGGTGGTGGAGTCGGGCTCGGGAAATGATTCGCCCCGGGCCGGGATGTGACATTTGGTATCAGAGCCTAACCCTGACCGCGTGTGTGCCAACGAGGACGTCGGGCCCCTAAGGGGGGTGGATTGTGACATCCCACATTGCCCATGGGAGTGATCCTTATATGTATATTTCCATCCTTACCTAGCACGAGGCCTTTTAGGAGCTCACTGGTTTCGAGTTCCGTAGGAACTCCGAAGTTAAGCGAGAAGGGGGCTAGAGCAATCCCATGATGGGTGACCCACTGGGAAGTTGCTCGTGAGTTCCCAAAAACAAAACCATGAGGGAATGGTAAGCCCAAAGCGGAACCACTTCCCGAGCCCGCTCCACCACCGTAGCAATCACATCCCGCCCCGGGCGGGACCACTTCTCGAGCCCGCTCCACCACCGTAACACGATATTGTCCGCTTTGGGCTTACCATTCCCTCACGGTTTTGTTTTTGGGAACTCACGAGCAACTTCCCAGTGGGTCACCCATCATGGGATTGCTCTAGCCCCCTTCTCGCTTAACTTCGGAGTTCCTACGGAACCCGAAGCCAGTGAGTTCCCAAAAGGCCTCGTGCTAGGTAAGGATGAGAATATACATATAAGGATCACTCCCCTGGGCGATGTGGGATGTCACAATCCACCCCCCTTAGGGGCCCGACGTCCTCGTCGGCACACACGCGACCAGGGTTAGGCTCTGATACCAAATTGTCACATCCCGGCCCGGGCGGGACCACTTCCCGGACCCGCTCCACCACCGTAGCACGATATTGTCCGCTTTGGGCTTACCATTCCCTCACGGTTTTGTTTTTGGGAACTCACGAGCAACTTCCCAGTGGGTCACCCATCATGGGATTGCTCTAGCCCCTTCTCGATTAACTTCGGAGTTCCTACGGAACCCGAAACCAATGAGTTCCCAAAAGGCCTCGTGCTAGGTAAGGATGAGAATATACATATAAGGATCACTCCCCTGGGCGATGTGGGATGTCACATTTTATCAACATTTTTATCAAAAAAAGATGTAAAAATACAACAATTGGTAAGTTTAGTAGCACTTTTTTCTTTTTTGAGAAACCTCAATCATACGAGAGATATTTTATTGATAATAAAAAAAAAATTACACTTAATCGTATACATAAACTTTATCCTTCATAACACAAAGACAATAAAAAGCAACAATCATTATTATAACTTTATAAAGATTTTTATCAAGGGAAGTGTTATTGGCATTCTAAAAATCTCATTCTACACTCCTCACAAGTGTATTTTTGTTTCCAAATATAGAAAATTTGGAGTGTAGAATGAAATTTTTGAAGTGCTAATAACAATTCCCTTTATCAATTGGATTCTTGGGAGATACATTCTTGGGTTTTTGGGACGGGGTATGATTTTCTCCCCTCTTTTTTTTCTCTCTCATTCCCTCCCCTCCTATTTGAACAATTACGGTTAAGCCACGTCAACATCTTATATTAATTTTTTATAACAAAAGAAAAACAAAATTAAAGAACGTGAAAAAAAGGGACGAAAGAGTATGGAAATAAGAGGGGAGAAAATCCTAGTTCTTTTAGGACCGCTTCAGACCGTATCACATTCACTGGTGTTATTACAAACAGGTAAACTCATATCTTATATATTCCCATAAGAGGCAGGAGATTAACAATCATTTTGGAATTTGGAGGGAGGGATAGTGGATTTCTGCATCTCATAAGAAACGGAAATAAACACGAGTAAGTGAAAGGAAACAAAATATGTGATAATCATTTTTCACATTTTAAAATTTTTCATCAAAGACGAATCAACAATCACTAGGTAAAGTGTTCCTTTGTGGGTCTTAAACAGACGAGTGACTCTTAAAGGAACCATTGACGTTCCTTTTCTAAAAGATTTACCAAGTAACCAATCATTAACTTCCATGACATGTGTACAAACTTTTGTCTACAAATTTAGACTCCCTAACATTACTCTTATCAATAATGTGAAAGGAAAAATGAAAAGGGTGGAAAACTTCGAGACTGCCTAAAGAATTATCCCATAAAGCACCCAAGGGAAAGCAAGGAAGAAAAAACCGCAGTATATTCGACATCTTTGTCCATTGATTCTACTTTGATTTGTTTTCCATATGAGCCAAACTAAAATAATTAAGGCAACTGGATGAGTTACTAATCTCCTTCCAAGTCAGTCCACTCTTATTGTACATCATCATTGTTCCTAAATATGACAGTGGAGGAGGCAGAACATAACAGAACATACAAATAAATTCTCATTTTTATCAACTTGTCTGAAAAGGGAATGCATAACAAAACTACAAGTATTCTGCAAACAGGCAACATTAAGCACATCTGTCACAGAAGGTACTTCTCAACAACAGTGCGGCCAAACTTATCTTGAACATCCTTTCGAGTTTCAATCTGAAAATTCACATATAGAGACACAGATTAAACTCAATGAATTTAAGAAAATCCAACACACCGGTTAAAGTGACTACTGACCGCATTAAGGGATTTGAAGAGAGCCTTGACTGTGTTATAAGGATTCCTTGAGCCTACAACCTGACAAGTGTGTGGAGGTTAGAGCAACAAACCAAATTGCAGGAACCACCCCCCTTAAAATGGATTTCTTTCAAAGTCAATACCTTAGACTTAACATTTTTGAAACCAGCTAAGTTTAGAATGGTTTCAACGGTTCTTCCTGCTTTCATACCCGTCCTAGTGGGTGCAGGCCAGAGATACACCTGATACGAATTACAGGTTAAACGTAGGCTCTATATCAAGTGGAAAAACAAGAAAAACACAAGAATGAAAGAATGCTACTATAAGGACAAAAAACCAGTACACCACAATGAGCCAATCACCTTTGTTTTTTTATAACTTGTTTGTATTGCATGCGCAATTGTATGCTCCTCGTGTCGTTCAATGTAGTGGAGATTCTGAAAGCACTTCTCATATGCCTGATTGTTGTAATATCATCAGTACATAAACAAGAAAAGAAAAAACAAAAGAAGAATAAATTGATAAACTTGTTCAAGTCTATGCTCAATAGTAGAAACAATTAAGACACCCTTAATTATTTCAATCAGAAGAAAAACAAACCCTTGTCGTATGTTTCACAAAAACAATAACCGGTACAGAGAAAAAATGGATAAACTTATTCAAGTCTATGCTCAATGGTAAAAACACATAAAGCACCCTTAATAACTTACTTCAGAATAAAAGGAAATCTCTTTACAGTAAGTTCATAATCCAGACATGCAAAGAACTTAGCTCAATTGGTACTGTTCAAATTTTTTCTCTCCATAATTTTACAATCATTCTGGAAGAACGCAACAAAAGTGAAAATCGTCAACAATCTAACAAGGGTAGTTATTGCTACACATGCCGTCCTAGTAACAGAAAACCTGGTCATACTTCCTCAGTTGTTTTATTAAACTACACATCTTAATTTACAGAAGGCGATTTTCATGGGGGTGCATTTTCATAATAGAGATGAAAACCAACAAAAAATGGGTGTGCTTAACCAAAATAGGAATGGAAGACATATATGTCGCATGGATATAGATTCAAGAATCAAGATGTATAATATGATACAATACAATACAATGACATGACAGCAAATCAAAAACTAGAATGTGATCATCGTGCCCTTCACATTGTAAACTACCACTAGATCTATTTTATTCCAAAAACAATTTCCATCACTGTTTAAAATCAATTATAAGCATTTTTAGGGTAGTATTCAACAAGGCAATAAGCACGTATTAGGGTGGTATCGGTCTCGAATATGGTTTTAGAGTATCTGTGACCCTTGGACAACAAGGGTGAGAAACACCACTGTCAGTTGTTGTCAACTGCCCACATTTATATCTTCAACGTGTATTATCTGTTATTTATAGTCTTTTCACCAATAAAAGCATTTTTATTCTATTATCTGTGACCATTAAGACATAAAGTTGTAGGAGTTGAACTTTACTAAGCCTATCTTGTATAAAAAAATAATAACAATAATAATGATAATCATAGTAATAATAGTAAGATAGCAATATCCGACTATACCAAGATATATCCAAAAAACAACCACTGAACTTATCCACATGAGATCCATCTAAAATAATCAGTTCGATGGATATTACTTTGATCACAATGGTCACATCTAATATACTCAAACTATAAAAAAGTAACACAGCAATTACGCACAGATGTGCAAGCAGGGTCATGATAAATCAACATACAAAAAATATATGTTTAACACTGTGCAAGACATTGGAACTCTGCAGTGTTCATAGACCACACATACCTTCTGAAGAGCGATAGGGACTGCTGGGCCTTTTGCTTTAGCATAACCAACAACACCATGATAATTGCCACAAGCTAATATGGCAGTGTACTTGACCACTTGCCCCCCCTATAGAGCATAAACAGAAATGTAAAAGCATTGATCTCTGTTAAGTCTTGAAGAGAAATCAAAGAAAAAGTTATGTACACAAAATATAAACCGCAAGGTGGAGTACCTTTGTTACTTTACAAGTTCGGTTCACATTGATTAATTTAACATCAAACCCCTGCCAAGATGTAATGAATAAAATGGTCAAAAACATTGGTGTTTCCACACCAAAAACAAGAATATGTTATATGTCTGCATGGGAAGCTGCAATGAAGTTCAAAACAAATAACATAAGGCTCCTCAAAGTACAAATTTTAGTAAGAATGATTAGAAAATATGGAAAAACAAAATTGTGAAGACTTCACTCAAACTTTGAAGCATAACAAGGCTAACCATATACCAAAAAAATAACTCATACTCTTTCTACAAACATCATACGTAGCAGATGATATGTTATACCAAAAGTGAACAGATTAGCTAACAGCAACAAAGGGAAGAAAAAAAAAAAAGGCAAGTCCACGAAAGATGCACAGATATTTTTAAATACTAAAGCAAGCACAAAAACATGGGAAAGTTGCATCAAAACTAACCCAGAACAATTGTTCAACTTATAAATACTTATGACAATTATTTTGTCAGTTGTCGCTGAATTCTGAACTATAAACATTAAAAAGTCAACTTGATGACACATGCACTTACTTTCCTGTAGAGAGGTCTCCTCTTCTTCTCTGTCAAATCATTTCTTTCCTCTGCTAGGTCTCTGATCTCTTCCTCTAGAACCTTACCCTTCTTCCCAAATGTATGATCTAACTCTGCTAGCTTCTCTTCGAGTTTTTTGTCAATGGCATTAAGCTTCTCTAACAGTATGTCATCTTTCTCCTTCATGTCATTGAATTCTTCCTCGTCGTCGTCATCAACTCCTTGTATAATTTGCTTTTCTTTTTCAAACCCAGCATGTTCCAATAAATCAACTGAGGGCTCCACTTGTTCATGTTGGATGACTCCATAATTGGCAGGATTGTTTGGATCGTAGGCTTCCTTCCACTGCACCAATCTCATAGCCCTGTTTAGTTTCTGCTGGAGGATGAATTTGTCCTTTCCCTCAGCTACTTTGAGACGGTTCATCAACTCACCAATGACCCTATATTCGGGGCGAAGGCGGAAATGTTTTTGCTCAAACTTGTCAATTTTATTCATCCATTTATAAGCATCGTCAAGTGTCTCTGTCATGTCGTGTCAGAGAATGCAAATGCAACGTAAGTAAACAAATATCATATCCTGGACTAGACTAGTACACAAATACATACAAAAACCATCATTATGTAATGTTTTAGGGTACCTGGAGTCGAAAATTTTCACCCACAATTCTATTTTTTCTATTTCAAAAGCAATTGGAATAATTAATACCAAAGAAAAAAAAAAAGCACATAGTTGAAAAAGCAGGGAAATGGGCAAATTACCAGCCTCGGTGAAGTTGTTGAGCAACTCCTCGTGGCGCGTGAACTTCCTCTGAAACTCATCAAATCTCTTCTTGACGGCATCGGGAGTGAACCTTTCATCGTCTTCGTCGCTATCGGAATCGGTGGGCTCCTCGTACAAGTTCAAGTCTCCGGTGTCCTTGAGCTTCTCCTTCTCGAGCTTCTCAATCAATGGCATAACGCCCATGTAGTCCTCCTCATCTTCTCGGTCAATGTCTTTGGTGTCCAGGCCCGCCCTCTTCCTCTGCTCTCGTTCTCTCTGCTTTTCTCTCTCCACCTCCGCCAGAAGGTCTTGGGCCGCTCTGGATGACACTGTTGAATAAGGGATTTTGCTGGAAAACGACCATTTGGGTGGCTGAGGGGTAGCGGGAAAGTGTGGCCGAGTGGAGATTTTCTGGGACAAGGGGAGTGGGGCTTTGCTGGGATTCTTGATGCCTTGTTTCACGATGAGACGCGACCACGAGAAACCTTGTGATTTGTTCATTGCTGCTGCTGCTTGTTCATCTGAATTTTATTTTGAATGATGAAATGGGAGAATTCCCTTCCGAAAATATTTGATTCGATGGAAACCAGACCAGACTACGAAAGGGAGAAAATGAGAGAAATCTTCAATTAGGGTTTTGGCGTTGCAAATTTACTCTAGTGCCGCGTGTTTAAATACACATTTAAATATGAATTGTTAATAAAAAAACAGAAAGTAAATTATAAATATGGTTACTTGTATCTATGATTTCGGAACTAAAAATTTATTAGATATAATCCTTGAACTTAATAAAATGTGGAGCATCCATTCTTTTGTTCTAACACCGTCAAATTTTCCGTTTGAGGTGCTTATGGCTGGCTGATGGGACCCATAAGTAAATTAATTGGAATTTGGATGCATATCCAAATTGTGGAGATCTTAAGGATTTTCACTTCTTAACTGTTTATAGTACCCATGTGGCCATAAATCATTTAGAAATTTTTTATTTAAAATTAAACACAAATAGTAATTAACGAAAACTAACGCCATGATATACGATGAATGACCATGATGTGAAGATTTTTAGGATCCTTACTGGATCCTCTTTGTTGGGATCCACAGAGGATCCTCATCCCAATAATAAGGAATAATATTTGAAAACCTAATTATAGTACGATGAATAGTTATAATGTGAGGATCTTAGAATTCCAACAAAAAGAATCCAAAAAGAATCCTCATCCCATTAATAGGGAATAACATTTGAAAACCCTAAAAACATAATTCTATGTACAACAGCAAAAATGCCGTAATTACCACTAATTGACTTCATCTCTGTCAATTTTGCTTCGCCCACCCCCCCTCAAACCCTTTGGAAATAAACCCCATTACTTTGCCTTGTCGCATATGATTTTTAAAACCCAAACAAACCCAAATCGGGGATGAATGGAGCAGCACTACCGTAATTTCGAGGTCCTGTCTACCCAAATAATGAAGATTGAAGGTGGTTTACTCTTGGAGTGGGGTAGGGATGGAGATTATGGAACGGGGAGGATGAAAGATCGGATCAGGAGGGGGCAAACATAATTTTTTTTTTTTTGTGGGTCACATTGTACTGCCACACAAGCACATTAACGGTAAATGTAAAGGAAAAACAAATGCTTCATAGCTTGACAAATTATAGGACTATATCTAATAAATTTTGAGAACTCAAAGCTATAATTGATTTAGGGGATGTAGTCAAACTCGGATTTGAGAGTATTTTAAAAGACTTTAAGGGGGCGTTTGTTTGCCCTCACTAACTGGGACTGGACTAACTATTAGTCCAATACTGTGTTTGTTCCATGCTGGGACTAACATTAATGAGACTAAAGGGGACTAGCATAGACAAAACTCTTCACTAAGAGGTCTTAGTGAGACCCCCAAATAACCATGAGACTAGCTAAGACTACCCTCTATTTCTCGTCCTTGTCATGCTCAACGATCACTCCCGACAGACTCCTCGTCATTGCCGGTCACCTAGATCAATCATTAACTTCCCGACTCTCTTTCAGATCCATTTCACAACCAACTTTCATATAAAATATACCAAATTGAAGCTGGGAGTGACAAGATTACGATTTTACTTGAATCAAGGCCAAAATGTGGTCGAATGTGGCCGGAAAATGGCCTGGAAGTCTCGGTCTGTTTGGTCTTCTTCAAATCCATGACAAATTTGAGCATGCAAAGCTAAGATCTCGGTCCAGGGATGGTGATGAAGTTTTTGGCGGTGCTAACTTCATCCAATTTAATGAGGGTTGGCCAAAAAACACATCGGGAAACCTGCAACTCGTCGGAAAAATTGGAGCCGTGAGGTTCCGTTCGAACAACGGATAGCTAGAGAGGGAGGGAGGACAGAGAAATAGAGACTGGAATCAATAAGGAGTTTGACCAGGAATGAGAAAGAGACATGAATTGAGAGGTCTGAGAGGAAAAAAAGAGGGAGAGGGTGGGACGATGAGAGAAGAGGAAAAGAGTGGGACGGAAATGGTAGGAAAAGATGGAGAAAAATATAAGATCATAATAAAATATTAATAATTTATATATTAAATAAAATAATATTAGAATTTGTTATTATCCAACTTCTTAGTCCAATACTGCATCAAACGCTTCACTAAGTTAGTCCAGTTTAGTCTAGTCTAAGTCAGTCCAGCTTAGTCCTTTAAGCTAATCCAGTCCGAGATAGTCCGGCACAACAAACGCCCCCTAAAATCCTAGTATAGTCAATTAAAAGATTTTAAAGGATTTTAGAATCCATTCAAATCTAGGTGTAATCAATTAAAAGATTTTAAAGAATTTTAAAATCCATCCAAATCTAAGTGTATTAAAAAAAATTAAGATTTTGGAGGGTTTTCAATAAGTTGTAGATTTTGTAGGATTTGAGAACAAGAAGTATATATAATCAAGATTAAAAAGAATCCAACCTCACCCCCTTGGATTTCAAATCCTTTTCCATATGCCCATGCTGTTGTCCACCGCTGTGCTTGTTCTGATTCCCTTCCCAACGATCTAATCACTGGCATCATGATCAGACAAATTCACCACCATCTCACACCTTTCTTGAACGTCCTGACGAACCCAGATCTTGAGTTCTCCTCCTGCGCCTCCATCCAAAAGCCCATATTTGAATATGTTGCTCAACCCATTCAATTTGCCGCTGCTATACCCTTTGCCTTAGAACCACTCTCTTGCTACTGTTTGTTCGCACCGTCGCGGCACCAATGCACCACACACCTCGCACCTCCAGTTTGATTTGATTTTGTATTGTCAGTCTAGAAAGAAGAAAAAAAAATTTCCACCAAAATCAACAAACTAAATCCATTCTAATTCTTTAAAATCCATATGAATTTTGTAGGAGTCTTAAATCCTCCTAAATCCTATCAAATCTATCAATTTTAAAATTCTTTAAAATCTTAGTTTGATTACACCCCCTTAAAGTTCAAAAAATATAACTAAAATTTACTCTTATGAAAAATATAATTCACGTTACAGTCGCATCCAAAAACCCAAATTGCAAACCCGGTATAATTCAATTCATGTACTCTCTCCTCTTTCTCCTCTCTTCATCCCAGCATCTCTCTCGTTGTAAGCACCTCTCATCAGTTGGAACACCTTTTTCACTTGGATCATGTGCAATGGCATGATTTAAAAATTAAGGCCCTGTTTGACACTCTATTTGAATTCAACTTTTTAAATTCAAAAACAATTTTCAAGTTTTAGATCTTAAAAACTTGTTTGGTAGGACTATTTAAAAAAACTGAACTCAAAACTAACTAAAAAATATAGCATATTCTCTAAAAACATAAAAAGTAAATTTTTAGAATTTTTAAACTTAAACTAACTTATTTATTCTCTCTCTCTCACTCCAAATCTCTCTCTCTCTCTCTCTCTTATTCTTTCTCTCTCCTTTTTTTTTTTGTTTTACTTTTTTCATGTCTCCTCTAATCTGTCCTTTTCATTTTTTCGGTTCTTTATCTCACTCCTCTTCCTCTTTATCTTGTTCAATCCTCTCTCTTCTTTCTCTTTCCTTCAATCATCTCTACTTTCTTTCCTCCTTTCTTCAATCATCTCTACTTTCTTTCCTCATCTCTTCAATCATCTCTTAACTTATTTCCTCCTCTATGCTATTTCTCCCTCTTCTGTGACCTCCTAGTTTTAGATTTCTTTGCTTAATTTAAGTCGTAAGATTTAAAAAATTTAAATCGCAAATCAATTAAGTCTTTGAATTTTAAAGAAAATTATTTTTAAGAAATGTTTTTAAAAAATTCGAAAAATAATAAAAAATTTCAAATAATATACCAAACAAACCCTAAATTTTTTAGACCCCATTTGATATTCAACTCAATTCCAAAAAAAAATTTTAACTCAAAATCACAGCCTACTTCCAGAAAACTGGCTTTTTGCTTTCTGAGCCCAATTCTTCTGCACCCAAAATTCTTTGTGGCATCTTGTGGCCTGCCTTATTTGACATCGGTCCACAAACCCGTCTAACTATGTCTACTATTGATTAAAAATAATGAGAACCGTTATTAGTATTTTAAAATTTTCATTTTACAGTTCTTATAAATGTATTTTTTTTAATTATTAAAAATTTAAAATGTAAATTAATATTTTTGAAATATCAATAATAATTCACAAAATAAAATAAAAATGAACCTCAGTCACCAAGCCACCCAACCCCTCGTCGTAAACAAAATTGCAGGCCTCTAATCCAGTCCCAGTCTTCGAATTTCTATGAACATCGAAGATTTGTTCTTAAATTTCTAAAAAAAGCAACGATGGGTCCAGATGCCGATGATGAGGGCGACACAATGAGAGAGATGATGGATCGCGGGTTCGAAAACAGAAATGTCATCATCTTCGAATTCGATTTCCCGCGGTGGAGCCTGGACACTAGTTTCAGGTCAAGAACCAAAGCCCCGAGATCTTTTGAGTCCTAGAGCGATGCCGCATTGAATCGTCGCCGAAGGAACTCAAAGCTCTTCCTCGTCCTCGTGCTCGTGGATCGTCGATGATGGGTCGTGGATCGTCGCCGATGATGGGTTCTCTGTTTTTGAATTTCTCTATCGTTTGTCTGCACGGCGAAGTTCACTGTTTTCAATTCCAGTATTTAAATGGTGAGAGAGAGGAGGAGGGGGAGAGGGATGGTTGCGCGTGGTGGTGGTCTGGGTTTTCGCGTTTCATTTTTTAGCTGATAGTGTTTAAAGTATGGCTAGTGATGGACAAGTGTCAACCTCTTAGATCGGCCACAAATAGGTTGCAGAGGGTTATAGGTGTAGAAGATTTTATTTTTGGACATGTGTCAACCTCTGAAATAGGCCACAAAGAGATTGCAGAGGATTTTAGGTGCAGAAAATTTGATCTCTTGCCTTCTGTCCTCCCTCTTTCTTTTTCATATTCTGTGTCCTTACTCTCTCTCTCCTCTTCACTCTCTTCTCTGTCCTATCACTTATAATTCCAAATAAAATTGAGAACCCATAAAAAACGAGCACAGTCTTCGATGCGATTGTCGTTTAATTCCGATGATTTTTATTTTCTTTTATAGCTTCATGTATCTAGTAACAGTATAACTACTCAGCCTTGCTCCAACGAAACCATCAA